AAYRWWACSRYGMCCMCMGMGATCTACACGCCCTTCTCAACGGTCCTCATGGCGGTGGTTGTTCTTCTCGCGCTGGGATTTCCATTCCAGATTCTAGCCGCGACGACATCTCCCTCGAAAGAAGATGATGACGCGAAGGACTTGTTCTCTCATCTTGAAGATTTCATTGGAGGAATAGTACCTCTCCATCCCCTCCCTCCGAAAAATTGGAGGGATACAACATCCTCTACTTCGATTAGCARCAGTATAACAACACCCACAACAACCCCCTCATCATGGAAACTCCACCCCACCCCAGGAACAACATGGAACATCCAACTCTCCACCGTCCCTCCCGTCTCCCTTGCGGAAGAAAACTATGAAATCTGGGATTTCGACATGGCAGACGCCTCACCCTCCACCATCGCCGCCTTCCAAACAGGAAACCACTCGGTGATATGTTACTTTTCCGCGGGAAGTAGGGAGGAATATCGTGGTGATGCGGGGGATTTTCCACAGGAGGCCGTTGGGAAGGTTATGGCGGGGTGGGAGCAGGAGAGGTGGGTGGATACGAGGAGTGAGGGGGTTCGGGAGGTGATGAGGAGGAGGATTGAGGAGGCTGCTGGGAAGGGGTGTGGGGGTGTTGATGCTGATGTGAGTTTCTCTTTCCCCCTCTCCCGCTCTAATATCATCAACTTCAAAAATAAAAATGCTGATTCAGTTTTTTTGTCGCGGGTAGAATATCGATGGGTATAGTAATGACTCCGGCTTCGATCTCACGGCCGATGACGCGGTGGATTTTGTACGATTTCTCGCACACACGACGCATGAAGCGGGTATGGCGTTCGGGTTAAAGAATGGAGGGGATATTGTGGAGAGGGTGGTGGATGTGGTGGAGTGGTGTGTGCAAGAGGAGTGTGTGAGGTATGGGGAGTGTGGGTTATATCGAGCGGTGATTGAGGCCGGGAAGCCGGTTTTTCATATCGAGTATGTGGATGGTGGTGGGGAGGGGAAGAGTCATGATGATGGGGATGAGGAGAAGTTTGTGGAGGAGGCTTGTAAAGGGGAGGGAACGGAGGGCTTTTCTACTTTGGTGAAGAAGTTGAGTTTGGATGGGTGGACTCGAACTTGTTCCGCTCCCTAGGGTGTTGGGTGTTGGGTGAGGTTACGGAGAGATGCGTGGTTCTGGCGACATGTGTCTGGTGTTGGGGAAGGAGGAAACGGCAGCGATGGATGCATTGTGCTGTCCGGTAGCTAGCTGTAGACTTTCAACCATGAACCATCAAGCTTTGGAGACGCGGCATCATCTCGGCCCAATCGAATGTGGTATCCCGAAGACTGGGGTCATATTTTCGTATCACTACCCTACCCCGGCCGAGAATCCTTGTGAACCTCATACATCATTCATCATCCCCTCTGCACGTGCGAACGCCGAATAGACGGCCGCACCATTTGTCGACCCAATGCCACTCAATTTCCAGGGCTTCAAAGGTGTCACATTGTAGGTGTAGATGTAGATGCACTTTTGGATAATCGCATCGGATCGGCGTGCACTTGTCGATGGAGCCCCACCAAGTCTCCTCCAATCTTCCCCAGAAATGGAATGGCATCTTCCGTTCCGCGGTGGCATGCGACAATAGGGTTTGAAGCCACGAGGAAGGCGCGTGAAGGTAGATTTTGTACTTTTCTTGGACGATCTTGCCTCATCAAACCTCGTGGCAAAAAAAGAAGGTGCCGTGACGGATATTTCTGTCCATCTACCTTACCTTGTTCGCCATGTGCTGTACTGTTGTATGCACCCCATCCCGCCAAGATGGTGCTTTTATCCACTCTCGATGCGATGCGACGCGATGCGATTGATGTCATGCCCGCACTGAGGCTGGGGTGACAATGGTACTTCTGAAGCAGCCCTAACAGCACAACGCTCCTCAGCCGTTTGCTAGTCCCATTGCCCTGCAGCTGCAGTTATTGGTTTGGCATTCATCCGTGGCGCATAAAGCTCTTTTAGGCGACGCCTCCCAAAAAYATCCATCACATGACATGGCCCTCGCCTCGGAAGTAAGGTAAAGAAAGTAGTGCATCAATATTGAATGTCCTATACCATACCATACCATGCTCATCTCTTACACAATTGTCTGGGAGTCCCTGTCTTGTGGTTGATTAGAACATTCATTGTGTTGATCACCTGCCATTCATCCATAGATATATAAACCAAATGTGAGGTAGCTGACAAGCTGTTCAGCAGTAGGATTGTGCGCAAAGGTAAGCGAAGGATTCGCAGAGGTTGCTCGTCACTGGTCATCAGCACAGACAGCATTTCCATTCCTCCCCACCCGGGGTCTCCACGACCCACCAACCATCGACTGGCCCACCCTGCCCTTGGCAGTGGGGTTCATCCGCCGCATGTGCCCGTCGAAGCAATATAAATCCGTTCACCATCCCCGGCCGACCTTTTCTTGGTCCTTGCTTGCCGGGAGTTTTGGCAGCCTTGTCGTTTTCTTAACTCGCTTGGCTAAACAACTATCATCACCAGCCATGGCCGACAACAAAGTCACCTCCGAGGGCGAGTATCCCTCTCACAATGAAAAGACGACGGCCATTCATGAAGATCGTGAGCCGGAATTGGCCGATGCCGATKGTCGTCGTCGCTCTGTTGCGATGAACATTGTTCACAATCCTCTCAAGGTAATCCACATCTTCCAAGCCATCTCCCACCCAAGCATTGGCACTGATATTGGCTTCCTCCTCCCCAGCGCGTTTCCCCCGATCAAGCCGCCAACGATGGCCGGAGCTTTGCCATTACGGCGGGCATGCCCGAACACGCCGATCTCTTCGCCCGAGCGGCCCTCGTGGCTCGCGATCCCGACGACTTCACCCTACCACATCTCGAAGATGCCGAGCGCGATGCCCTCACGTATGAGCGCGACCACAAATGGCACGGCCCGAAAATGCTGTGGTATTCCATTGGCCTCTGTGCCATTGGAGCCGCCACGCAAGGTTGGGATCAGACGGGCTCCAATGGTGCAAACTTGGGTTTCCCCCAGGACTTTGGCATCAATCCCAAAGCGCCTGGCATTTCTGCCGCCGAGGCAGACGCCAATCGATGGAAGGTGGGATTGATCAACGCCATTATTTTCCTGACGGCCGGTTTGATGTAATCGTCTTGATTTCCTCGTATCCAACACCCCACTGACCTTCTTTCCCAGCGGCGCATTCATCGTCGACCCTCTCAACCACTATCTCGGACGTCGTGGTGAAATCTTCCTCACAGCCCTCTGCCTCACCGCCACTCCCATCGGCTCGGGATTCGCTCGAACATGGCAAGAACTCTTCGCCGCACGATTCGTCATGGGAATCGGCATTGGTGCGAAGAACGCCACGGTTCCAATCTACTCCGCAGRAATGGCACCCGCACGCATTCGAGGTGCTCTGGTCATGTTCTGGCAGTTATGGGTCGTGGCCGGAATCTTCCTGGGTTTCTGCGCCAATGTCATTGTTAAGGACGCCGGTCCCATTACCTGGCGTCTTCAACTCGGCTCGGCCTTTATTCCCTCGTTCATCCTCGCAGTCGGCATCTTCTTCTGCCCAGAATCCCCGAGATGGCTGATGAAGCATGGCAAGATAAAGGAGGGTTTCCGCTCCATGGATCGTCTGCGAGCTCATCCCATCATCGCCGCGAGAGACTACTACTACTCCTATGTCATCTATCAGGTATGTCATATTCCGATGGAAAAAAGATGGTTGGACGCGGCTAATGCATCGTCTCTTCTAGGAAGAACTCAAGGTCGCCGGTGGCTCGGGATACTTTCAACGCATGTGGGACTGTTTCGCCGTTCCCAGAATCAGGCGTGCAAACTACGGTGCTTCGACGGTGATGATTGCGCAGCAAATGTGTGGTATCAACAGTATGTTCCCCCACTCCCCTTCCCCGATAACGAATGTAACCGCTCCTAACATGCTTTAGTCATCTCCTTCTACAGCTCCACCATCTTCGAGGACGTCGGATATACCGCCACCCAAGCTCTCTACGCATCTCTGGGATATGGAGCCATCCAAGTCGTTGCCACCATCCCCACCCTCTTCCTCATCGACACCAAAGGACGCAGAACTTTGACTTTGGCGGTAAGTTGCTCGACGTTCCATCAATCAATGAAATCGTCCTAATCTCTCCATCTAGACGTTCCCCATGATGGCCATCTTCCTCCTCGCAGCCGGTCTCTCCCTCCTCAATACCGCATCCCAAACCGGCCACGAAGTCGATCGAAGCCAAGCCTCTCAAATCGGACCCGTCGTATTGTAAATCCACTCCATCCCTCTTTGAAAAAGACCCACTCTTTCTAACCCAAAGTCTGCAGATTCGTCTACCTCTTCACAATCATGTACTCTCTAGGCGAAGGTCCCGTGGCATTCCAATACTCGGCCGAAGTCTTCCCCACCATTCAGCGTGAACAGGGAATGGCTTGGGCAGTGTGCATCAACAATACTTTTGCCGGAATTCTCTCCCTCACGTATCCTGCGATGAGTGATGCCATGACACCTGTTGGAGCTTGTACGTTTCCCCTCCAGAATACTCATCATTGGATTGTAGCACAATACTGATTGCATGTGTGTGTGTGTACAGTCGGATTCTACGCCGGATTAAACCTCATAGCCTGGGGCATGATTTTCTGTTTCGTGCGCGAGACCAAACAACTCACTCTGGAAGAATTGGATCGTAAGCTCTCCCTTCACCCTCTTGCACAAAAACAAAAARAAAAAAGTATCAATTACTAACACCCACAATAGAAGTCTTCTCCGTCCCCACGAGGGAATTCCTCGCCTACGAGACGAAAGTCTGGCTACCCTATTTCATCAAACGCCACATTTTCCGCAAGAATATCGCGAAACCCCCACCGATCATCGCAAAAGCCGAAAAGGAGGATTCGGAATTTTCGAATTGAGATATTCGATTACTAACTATAGCGATATATCTGTGATGATGATGTGAGAAAGAAAGGGAATATGGAAGAAGGGATTGGTACCTTTGGATTAATGATTGTGGACTTTGTTTGTTTGGTTTGCGTATTATATACCTAATCGAATCAAATCACGTCAAATCACGTCAAATCAAATGAAATCAATTCTATTCAATTCTTATGTTTGTTCTTTTACACATGTTGTCCTTTTAATAGCATCTATCATTATACTTGGGTTTATCTACTACTTCGAATTTACTTGCTCGCCGATCTTACTTATCCTACTTGAAACTCATCACATAATACTCAATACTCAACAATACACATATGCGCATAAACCAGACAGAAAGAACTAGTAAGTTCTGAATGAAAAGGAAGAAAACAATCGTGTCCAAGAATGATTCCAATTCCAATTCACAAGCCCATTCAAGTTGCCCTCTCGCTTACTCGAGAGGGTGGGTAGATAGGGTAGGTAGATAGGGTAGGTAAAGTAAGTTGATCCATCCATCTACATCTAGATTCTCATCCTCACGCCCCGATTCATATATCCAATCACACTCTGCAAGAATCCTCCGATACCACCACATGATGATGATGATGATGATGATGATGATGATGAAGGAGAAGAAGAGGACGAGCCATAGCCTGCCGGGAGAAAGATTAAAGTCAGCACTTTGCACTTCGAAAATCAAAAATAAAACCCCAAAACAGAAAGAACATGGGTATTCAAGAAGAGAAAAGCAAGAAAATCACCAGCACTCACCCTTCGAAGCCTTATCAGCAACCAGCGCAATCAGCGCAGCCCCAACTCCACTCCCATCCTTAGCAATTCCAATCCTCACCCTCCTCTCCCCCGAGACTCCAATTTGAGGGATTTCCCGCAGTGCCTCGCGGATGTACTCTTCGAATCGCGGGTAGAATTCCACCAAACTGCCATCCACGCCAACATCCACAATCTCATCCTCATTGACCTCCAACGTCGCATCGTTGGTCGTGGCGATGTCTGTCGGGTTGCCCAGCTTACCCGTGGAAATGACAATGGCGGCAATGGCGACGGCACTCAATCTCGCGGCACGCTTGCCAATCGCCGAGGCGATGAGTCGTACCGCTTCGGCGTCTTCGGCCGAGGCGGCGGTGACGTCGTATTCCTTGTCGAGCGTTTGACGGGTGACTTTCAACCCTGCGCTGTTGTCTCCTGTTGCGATACTCAAGAAGCTGGAATCCAATCCCCATTGTTGGTAGAGTGGACAATCTTTGCCGACATTCGTAGTAGAGTGCACGTCGTTCTGATTGCTGTGTTCGTCGGTGAAGAGCGGGACTGCAGGGTCCTTCAACAAGGAAAGAAGGGCTCGTCGGAGGATTTCTCCCAAAAACATTCCACTGACGCGCTTTTCGAACATTTGAATCCCCGGGTTGACACTCTCGGCATCGAGAGCGGCGTCGTAGGGTGTTTTGGGCAGGACGGAGAGTTGGTTGTCAAAGGAGCCCCATTCGGTGTTGATAATCATTTCGCCGGTTTGCGAATCAACCTCATCCGCGGCGGTGAGTTTGGTGACCTTGTCCAACTTCTCGACATATGCTCCGTTGGTACCAGTGCCGAAAATTGCTCCCAAAAGAGTTCCCGTCTTTCCTGGGGAGGTGTATGATCGAGCCATGAGGGTTCCAACCGTATCGTTCACCAACGCAGCAACTCTCACCGGAAGACCGAGAGCATCAATCTCATCTTGCAGCAGAGCGCAGACATCCTTGCCAATGGCATCGGGAATGTCGAAGCCTTTGGTCCAGCGGATGAGAGTTCCCTTGTTGATTCCAAACTGCTGGACGGGGAAGGAAAAGGTGAATCCCAGACTGAAGATATCCTCATCATGTTCCGCCTTCCACACGCCTCCCCTGCGCTTTTCCTTGTGACTGTKGTAATGCTCCCCATGATGCGTCTTCAAAAACAACTCAATCTGCTTGGCCAGGAAGGAGAACAATTCCTTGCTCGTCTTGGCGACCATCAAGTCTTTGGGAATGGCCACTTTACTCTGCGTGAGGCTAAAGGTGCTGTTGCCATGGWGTTGAATGGAGCAGACGCGGAAGTTGGTGCCTCCGAGATCGACGGCCATGTACAATCCCTCTTCGGAGCCATTGGGGACGGCGGTGACATAGGTGGGAATCTGGGACATGGTGGCTCCCGTCGTGCGTAGACCTTCATCCATTTGACGGATGAACTCGGCGACCCCACGGTTGACATCTTGGGCGGAATACTCGAATTCGGCGGCGACCCGCTCGGCGGCTTGTTGGAGCGCCATGCTGCGGGGGGAGGTGGCGTAGAGGGAGGATGAAGAAGAGGAGGTGTGGAGGGGCGCACGGCAGTACAAACCCCGCACAAATGGATTGGGAGTCGGGCAGGATTGTGGGGGAGTGAAAGTGAGGTGGTTGTAGTGTGATCGCAGGTGGGTGAGGGATTCGGGGAGGAGGTACACGAGGACTGCCACCAATCCCACGAGCGTCAAGAATCGGGTGAGGATTCGTCCAAAGTGGTGGCTTTTCTGCTTTTGACGGTGTAGGTCGCGGAGAAATGGAAATTCGGCCGCCTCTTCACTCCACCGACTCTTGGATTGCTCGAGTTGGAGTTGAAGGGCGAGGCGGATGGCGTCGTGGGATCCTGTCGGCTGCGAGTGAGATCGATGGTGTTGGGGCGGGCGAGGATTTGGATGCGGATGCTCGGCGGTGGGTGAAGCCAGCGTGAGGGATGAAGTGGAGGTGGGAGAAAAAGATGAGAAAAGAAGAGTGGGACGAGGCGGAGGAGAGTGGAGATTGGAGATGGTGAGATGAGATGGGTAAGATGGTGATCGATCCCGTCCGTCAGCCAGCCCAGCCAGCAAGCAAGCAAGCAAGCCAACAAGCGCATCAACAAGCAGCCAGCGACAATACCACCACCAAGCTCCTCGTGAATGATGGATGTGGAGCTGTCTCTAGCTTCACTCTAGTCTAAAATAGTCTAGCCTCATCACCACGTGCACGTGAGCCCACGCACCACAGGTATTCGGATGTCTGCTCCGAATGGACCTCTTCATTGTTGTCATTGTTCCATCAAGCCCGATGATATGACCTCCACATGAATGAAGGGTGAAGCTGCTTGATCATCTACCTTACGCCCTCTCAGAGGTAAATTCCACCTCTTCCATGGAAAGTAAGCATCCTTCCCATGTTTTTCCCTCTCTCTCAAGACTCTCGACTCAAGACTCAAGGCTGACGAAAAGCGGGGCTCGATCCCTGCCACCTTGCACCTTCCCCACTTGGCATCTCCGGCCCTTTTACGGTCGAGTCCGTGAACATCTCCACTCCGCTCCGCTCCGAGCGGCATGACGTAGCGGACGAACCATTCTTGGGAAAGTTCTGAACAGAACAAATACAAACTACTGTAGGTTAGGCAAAGGCCCGAAGATGGCATTGGAAATAGTATGGAAATAATGTTGAATTGGATTGAATTGATGGCAGGGATATCATTGGCGTCACCTGGAGCCGAGCACTGTTGTAGCTCTGATGAATACCTGCATCACGCCTTGCTATGCCGCCCTCCCTCATAAATCGGGTATTCATCAAATCTCCCTCCAACTGCCTTGGACAGGCTTCCTCCCAAACGCCTGGTATCCTCCTTGCTGTGCTTGTGGTTGTTGATACTGACCTGCTGGCGACGTACTCCCCACATCCTGGGTATGATATGAAGGAGCCGCTCCTCCATACCCTCTCTGACCTGCATCTCCATATCCTGCTGAATCGTAATATGGCTGTTGTTGTTGTTGTTGTTGTTGTTGTTGTTGAGGTTGCTGTTGCTGTTGATAATAATCCGCCGAACTTCCATACGCCGCAGCGGGAGCAGGAGCAGGAGCAGCGGAGTAACCACCACCATAAGGTGAAGAAGTTGCCACGGGACTTGCCCCAGATTGGTAGACGGGAGAGGTGTATCCTGCGGCTTGTGAGGTATATCCATGCGGGCTTTGTGTCGTCGCATATGCATCCCTCTGCTGTGCCGCTCCATATGCGCTCGTCTGTTGTTGCTGTTGCTGTCTTCCATACGGACTCGCCTGAGCTCCATACCCACTGCTTTGTTGTTGTCCTCCATATGCACTCCCCATCCCCGGACTCCGCTGCTCATATCCCCCACCATAATCATGATACGGACTAGCAATCATCGCCCCGGCCCCCAAATCCGCCGCTTCCTGTCGACGTCCATTATACTCTCTCCCATCCCTCCCCAACAACCCCACCTCTTGTTGCTGCTGTTGATGACGATACGCAGGCTGTAACTTATCCATCTCAACTCCTTCCTGCTCCTTATCATCCCCATCATCCCCATGATGCTCCACCCTCTTACTAGTAGCCGTATCCCAACTCGGCATCGCCGGCAAAGAATCCTCATGCAGCCTCCCAGACGAACTCTCAAACGTCGCCGTACTCTTCACCCCACTTCCTCCTGGCGCAGCGCCAAAATATCCTGTATTCATCGGCATCGGCGCCGCATACTGTCCTCCATACCCACCTCCTCCTCCCGCGCCAAAAGGTGTCGGAGGCGCTTGCTGATACCCTCCCCCGTCTTTCGACCTCCTCCCCCCTCCTCTCGGTGAAGGACAACAAGCATTACAGCACGCCAAACACCCACAACAACATTCCACTCCGCAGCACAGACAGCGCACACAGCACCAAATCAAAGAAAGGGCGATCAAGGAGCCGAAGATTATGGCTGCTATTACGGGCCATTTACTACATCATCACCATGTAAAGTATTAGTAGATGTTCGGCAGAGTGATATGGTCTGGGACGGGAAGGGATATGTACCAGTATGTCTTACTCATACACGCGTCCCATGAACTGAACGTATTCTTCACGCCATTGAGTGTGTCGGCCATCTTCTGGCGCGTGTATACAATCTTCCGAGAGTGATATTGATATGAGGATGATGGGAGGGCAAAGACAGCAGTCCAGCTGGCTGGCTGGCTGGCTGGCTGATGAGGTAAGGAAGCTGGCCGATCTGTGGATGATAACGAACGAAAGCTGGGCCGGAGGGATAAGGTAAGGTGAGATGGAGGTTCTTAGGTAGGTAAGGTGGGAGAAATGATAGCAAGATGTCCTCGGCTCGCGACGGATCGAATCACAGAATATTGGTGAACATTGCCCGCTTTCGTCTCGCCCGCCACATGCTTTTTCTCCTCCCGAATCCCCAAGAAACTCATCAAAGGGAGGCGCCCAGAATTGACTTTCTGCATTGATTGCGCGTTCCATGTTGAAACGCGCCAAGTAGTTTTAGTGGCGGGGTTTCACAGGTTTGGGAGATCCGGGGTTGGGTTTTGGGTGGATGTCATCAATGATCATCAAAATGAAATATTTCGTCTTTAGGTTGATCTCTTGCTTCTTGAATTCATTCTTATATGTATATACATCCATGTACTACATACACGGAGACCTTGATCTTAGATCCAGAAGTCTTGACAATAAATCTCCTCAAATGCGTAGAGCGGACTGGACTGCCTTCCCTCCCTTCCATTATTATGCGGACATGCCTATGCCCTCTCTCATCTCTTCACAAAGACACCCACTCAATCCCACATCCCTACTTCCATCCATTCATCATCACCCCAATCAAGAAGGAGATGAAGAATAAACCTGCACCCTACCTGCCCCACCACAACTCTCCGATCCATTCCCTCGACACGCAAAATTACACCCCGCAGCAAACGCGTCCTCCTCCTGCCCCTCCGCCTTCATCGCTCCAGTCCTCATTGCTACACCCCCATAACACTCATCATAGAATTCCACTCCGCAGAATTTAAATCCTCTAGCCGAACAAGCCCGCATACAATTTCCCACCGTCGCGTTCGCCGTCCCGCCCGTGGGGATCAGAGACATGGTAAACGGCAAGACTCGGGCGGCTGAGCTGTCGAGATAACAGCCCCGGAATTTCCATTCGTCGATTTCCTTGGGGATGGATGTCATAGCTACCCAGGCGTTGTCGGAGAGGATGGAGATGCGGTTTCCTGCGCCGCAGATTTGCGATTTGTCCCCGGCACAGGACATGTTGCAGTCCTTTGGTAGGAGCGCGGAGGAAGGAGGGGGTGTGGTGTTGCCGCAGTAGCATTCCTTGCCGTATTCGGTTCCGCTGAATTTGTAGTTTTGGGAGCGGCAGGCGAGGGCACACTGGAGTGGGGTTTGGGTGGTGGAGGAACCGAGGAATTTGGGGAGGAGGCGGGAGGTCGACGGGTCGGAGAAGCAGCCTATTGGGATCAGCTCGGAGGGGAGAAGGGTGCTAGGGGAAGATGATGATGTCGTGGTTGTTGTGGTTGGTAGGCGGGTTTGTGAAGTGCTTGATGAGCTTGACGAGCTTGACGAGCTTGATGACGATGATGCTGATGATGATGGGACGAGTGATGCCAGTGTCGACGCAGCAGTCGATGTTGATGACGAGAAGGAGGCTGCTGCTGCTGCAACGACTCGAGCTCCCCAAACTGGATTGTTCATGGGAGTCCCCACACGTGATTTCATATAGCAAGCCACTCCTGAGAATGCGACTGCTACACATCCGGGAGTGGTGGAGCAGGTGTTGATGCATTGTTGGAAATTCAAGACGATGGCTGTTCGCATGTCTCCGCCCGAATAATCGATTCCGCATTCGACGAGGAAGGATTGTGAGTAGGAGGTGTAGGAGGCGCCGTTTGCTGTCGGGCATCTGATGGACGTGGTGAGAGGAGTGGGAGAGGATGTTGGAGGGGTTGATGTCGAGCTAATTGATATTGACGAGCTTGTAGCAAAGGAGGTTGTCGCAGAGGAGGTTGTCGCAGAGGAGGTTGTCGCAGAGGAGGTTATCGCAGAGGAGGTTGTCGCAGAGGAGGTTGTCGCAGAGGAGGTTGTCGCAGAGGAGGTTGTAGACGTGGATGATGCCGTCGATGAAGATGCAGTGCTGGTAACAGAAGAGGATGGACTTGAGGTGGAGCTGTCCGAGGATGAAGCGCTAGCGATCGACGAAGATGGACTTGGAGTAGAGCTCTCCGAGGTAGTGGTAGAAGATCTTGCGGATGAGGATGAAGTGCTTATAGTTGAAGAGGAGACGCTTGACGTCGAGCTTTCCAACGTCACTGGCAACGTAGCAGCAGGGATAGAGTCTGAAGTTGTCATAGAATCTCCACTGGAAGTCGGCGAGGTTGCAATACTAGTGCTTGAAGAAGTAGCACTTATAGTCGAGCTATCCGGCACTGAGAAAGTTGCAATAGAGGCTGTTGTGGAGCTGGTGTCGGATGTCGAAGTCGTTGTACTGCTGCTGCTCGGCGAAGAAGAAGAAGAAGCACTCGAAATAGAGCTGTCCGAGATGGATAAGGTCGTCACGGAAGACTCTGAGCTTGTAGATGTCGTGGGTATTTGGCTATTAGTCGACGCTTCACTCGCCACTGTCGTAGAGCTGGTCGAAGTTGAAGTAGAACTGGCAGAGCTCAAATCCATACTGGCACTGCTAGTTATGGTCGTCACACCCGATGAGATCACCGAATCGGTCGAGTCTGTAGAAATAGAGCTTCTCGACGAAGAGAGGCCAGTACTAGTCGAAAGGCCTTCAGCTATGAGCTTCGCCCCCCAGATCGCATTATTAGTGACCGCACCTCCTAGCACAGATTTGAGGTAACAGGCAGCGCCGGACAAGCTGACATCCACACACTGTGGATTCAAGGCACACGCAGATATGCACTGATCGAAAGAGTTGACGCCGACAAAAGCAAGATCACCCCCAAAGCGATCAACTCCACATTCGATCAGATAACGCTTGCCGGTGATTGTCACGACGGTGTTGTTTGATGTCGGACATGAGATCGTCAACGAGGATGGAGCCGGGGGAGCTCCTGTGGCAGCCGTAGTGCTTGAAGAGGTAGTCGAAGTCGTGACAGCGGACGAAGACGAGGGTGAGCTACCGGCGGTCCAATCCGGGTCCTGAAAGACAGTAAGTCGACTACCAGCACCACAAAGCTGAGAAGGATCATTGGCGCACGTCATGCTACACTCTCCAGCAGCAGTCCGGATCGCACCAGCAGCAAAGCTGTTCCCGCAATAGCATTCCGTACCGTACTCCGCGCCGAAGTATTGATATCCAGAGCAGAAACTGGCACACACATCCAGCGACATGGAATTGCTGGTGGTGGACTTGCCAGTCAATGCCCGACCAAAAGTCGCTTCAGTATAACAATCAGAGTAGAAGAAGTCCCCGGCAGTCTCAGGAGTACCAGGGATTGGCAGGAACTTTGTCGTGCCGGCGGAGAAGAGCGAAATGCGGTTGCTGCCGCCACAAGTTTCGCTGGAGTTTCYGGGACAGGCCATTGAGCAGGAACTGTCTACAACTTGTGCGGCTTTGTAGCCGAGAATGTTGCCACAATAACATTGTGATCCGTACTCAAGTCCAGCAATGGTGTTACCACCATCCGCGCACGCCTTGGCACAACGAGATATCGTGTTGGCATTACTCTCGTAGGCCATGTTGGTGAGAGTTCGAGGATCCTGATCAGACCAACATCCCTGATACGTCATGCCTGCATAGGTCTGATTGTTGATCGAGCTGGACGATGTGTTCAATGCTGGATCGGGGTAAGGATCATCTCCAGCCTGTTGACGAGGATAGCCAAAGTCATAGGAACGATTGCCGTTGCCGTAGAAGTTGTCAGAAAACAGTCTAGCTTGGCCTGCAGCAGATGCCATGATAGTGCCAGCATCGTGACCTGCATTGACAAAGTCCACGGTATCACAGTTCCGCCCGGTTGGATCAGAACATGACACGGGGAATGCCTTGATGTAGTTGAAGAATCGCTCTGTATTTGTTGATTAGCTCAGATCGGGATAGATTCTTGATCTACATCTCTCACCATTCCGATTCGCACCAGTCGTGCGAGGTGCACAAGTCGATGAAGTATCACCAAGATCCTGTGTGCCGCGTACATAGTTGATCGCCTTGCTCTGATAGTTTGCGAGTATAGCAGAGCGACCCTGTGCGACGAGACTCGTCCCATATGTCATGGGATAATCAGCAAATTTGGCGAAACCCTCCCGATAGTCGTCATATGTCAGACAGGATGCAGTAGACATTGGACGAGATGTGCTCAGCCAGACGAAGCTGTTCGGGTTTCCAATCCAGTAGCTTACCGGAGATCGGGTGCCAAGCTGAGGACCAATCGCAGCGTATCGCTGCACTGCCTGAGCTCCAAGAGAGTGACCAGCGATGACAATCTGCTTCATTTCGGGAAACAGTGCGGCATTGTCAAAGTGTCGAATGATTTGATCCAGGACATCATACGATGACGTGCTCGTGGACGTGTATGGATATTGATTGTTCCCACCAGCAGCCCACTGTGAGCCAGGCCAAACGAGAGCATTGGAGGTCGAGCCMCTATTGGGCTTCAGGCCTGCAGTCCATGGATAGCCTTTGTTTTTGTCTTCTCCGTTTGGAAAGTAAGGTGCGACGATCGCGACGGTATCGAAGCTGATGTCTGAGTTCTTGGACTGGGAGAGAGCAGAGAGCATGTTGGACATGTAGGTGCCAGGATCTCGATTGACGCCGTGGATGATCACTACAGCACGCTTGAGTCTACGCCCATCCAAACCTATTAGGTGGGTTAGTTTGGTCTTCTCGTATCGGAGGCCCTCCTTGATATTGCAGAGAGTCATGACTTACGTTGTCTATTCTTTCCAAGGCTCTGGTAGTTTGTCAACGTCAAATTCTTGTTTTTACCAGTCGGATCTTGGACGCGGAAGTAGGTGATTTCAGCTCCTGGGACTTTGGGAAGTGCGGTGTCGATGACATCTCCTGCATGCTGTTGGGCGTATGCGGTCGACAGAAAGCACGCAGCAACAGCCGTGACACAAGCTGAGAGACGCATTTTGCGTGATGTAGAGGTATCACTACAGGAGACGTTGAAGGGCTATCTTTCGAGAGGACAGAAGGAAAGAGAGTGCCTATCAGTCGAGCCCTTTCGCTTGGGAAATGCTCAAGGTCATGGAACGGCCAGAATCACCTACACTTTGCTGCCAAGCCCATGTCTTTGCCCCGTACTTACAAAAATGATCTTTGACTGGGAAATATGCACGCCCCAACAATGAGCCACGTGGAGGAAACGGGGTCTCGAGCTCCCATTGCGATGGTTCTTTGTTGGATGTGGTCATCACAGCGGGAGGATTACTGAAAGGCYGCGCATTGTAGACAAAGCTGAGCCAGTTCGAGGGTCGCTTTTCACGAGAAAGCCTCATTATGCAGCCATCCGTCTGCGTGGTAGGAAGTTTCGAGCTCATCGGCCGGATATGGCAGACCGAATACCTATTCCTGGCAGCTTGGTGATTGAGTACGTGTAGCTTTGCACGATTCGGCTTGCGTCAGACACTTATTGAATGTGTCGGTATCATATTGTCAGCGTGTGCTTCCAGGAGAGGAGGTGAGGTCTGGCAGGCCTGGCTCTGAGCTGAAAGCAACCAAGAGTTGAACGCCACCATCAACACGTGCTCTCGCTTTGTTCTCGGCTAGAAAGACCATTCATCTCGGGCTGATGCTGGTGCTGCGATGATGGCGACGGGAGAGGATGATCGGTGCTCGGGTAGCGTTTGCTGGATGTGCGGCTGATGATGTCCAATCCAAGCCACATGGCCGTACGGCGTCCGCTGTCAAAAGATCCGAGACAGTAAAAGTCAGCGCAGAAAACCGTGAGGTTCGCAGCAAGACAGGGTCCATCTAAGTTAGTTGATCCCGCCAGCAGGGGCATAAGATGAGGAGGGCGATCGTTGGGCACGAACAGATTCAAATCTGGTGGTTGTTTCAAACCGATGTCATCGCATCCGGGTGCCTCCACCCTGGAATTCTCACCTTTCATTTCACGCACGCGAGGCACGCTCGCGTCCCTTCTGCAGTCTTTCCTCATGCTTGTGGTCGCCTCATGAAAGCCGCCAGCAACACATCATCGTGGAGAAAGGCGCCCTCTCGGGAATATTTCCCGTGCCATGGACTCGGGTTCGTGGCAGCCTGCTGRCAGCTGCGGACCAGGCGACAGCCGCGACATGACGCTTGGCAAAGATGGTATAGCTGCACCCCTCCCCCACCTAATTGGGCGCAAGGTATGTCGCATCCGCAAGGGGAATGTGTGAGGCAGCAACGAGGCTGAAAATTGGGGTTTGGACTGGCTGCGCCGCCAACTCGATGCCCAATCACATACACACACCAATCGGTCAACCTGGTGCGTGTTTCGCGATGACAGGTTTCCTTTCCGGGTCACCTGGTTGAAACCATACGTAGCATCCTGGCTTGAGATCCCCGAAATCAACCAATGATGGTGAGCATGTTACTCTGGCCAGCTCCACTGGAATCCTTGACGCACCCGTTCGCAGCACGCGAACTGTGAGCCTGGAAGGCTTGCCGAGGACGTCCATGTTCATCTGCCTGCCATGGCACATCATAGGATGACTCAAGCTTTGCCACCGACTTCCGTTTCAGGCTCCGTTGCCTACTGGACTGCCTAGACATCAGGCCAATCGTAGAGGCCGCCTCATTTGGGTGGCCATGACGATGGTAGGTCGCCCTCTCAAGTGCGTTGTTCTTGAAGTTCTTCTTGCGCATCTCTCCTCCTTCTTCTTCATCACCTCTTCCTGCGAACGAAATCAAAGTACAAACACCCATCAGCCGTGTTCCATATCCAACGCCGAAACAACCACGACTCATCGCCAATACCACGCCACGTTCCACATTTCCGCCAACCTACATCTCATATAAAACCAAACGCGGTCTCATCGTTCCACATTGCCACCGATCACGCCTCTACACAACCAAAGGCAACATCCACACACACACACACACACACACACACACACACAACGTTCCAATACAAACCGCGCTACTTTCGCCACAATCTGATTGATCATCCTGCCACATCTACAATGGCGCGAGAGCAAGTCAAGATAATCAAAGGACGCGAGGACAGGCACAGTATGTCTGACATCCTATCAACCTCAGCTACATCCACTGACCGTCTGGCAGGCACCTACTCCTCCTCGAACGGCAGCAGAGACGCAAGCCCGACATACAGCAAGCCCACCAAAGTTGTTGTGCATAACAAGCAAGGCCCTGTAGACAAGGACGAGCCTTCCACTCGTGATATTGGGTATGGGAGTGTGAGGCGATGAAGCAGAGTGCTTGTGACATGCAGAAGCGGAAGGATTTGTTGTCTCCGATTGAAATGGCCGCACTGTTCAGCTTGAACTTTTGACGTCGGGAGGATTTGATAGACTTTGCATGGCGTTTAGCGAGATACCCTAGGTGGATTGATTGTACGATTTGATGATTTCACATATAGCTAGTCGAAAGGAACAATAGACTTGTTGAACAAGCTAAAGCTACCCACAATAGGTTCCGTTGCCGATCAACGGGTTCACAGGGTCGGCGGCAGTCAAGGGTATGGTACTTTTTATAACAACAACGACCACGGTTAGGAAGACACAGATCTTCAAGACATTTGACTCTCGGTAAGTTTGCTTCTTTTAGCGTTTTTAGCTACCTGTTCGTGAGCCTTGTCGTAGATTACATAGGAAGAGACCTGGAAAGCCTCATTTTTGTTGATCATTTGGGATTTGTGAAATCGAAGGCTGGTTTGACTCTGTTATTATTGCCGGAAGGAACGATACACTTGACGAAAAGGGTGAAGCTGCCGACTGCACCGTGTCGATCCAGCGTCTAGGTAGACGCCATGCATATAGAATCCTGCCGCGCCGGGATGTCACTACACCGAATGTTTCGAACGAACGTCCCTCTACTGTGTCCCTTCGATGTTCGTCCGGGTGCTTCCTGAATCCTAAAAGTCGATATCGGCTCGAAATGCACGCGAATTAAACCTAACTAACAGCATTTGGCAGTGCTAGCACACCAGCACAGGGACTTGGGTTTGAAGGTTGTTGATAGATATTAGATTCATGATATTGTACACGTTATATCATCCGAGCTGGTCGCGCTCAGGACAACCGGCTCCCATCAAAGCCGTCATCTGTTTGGGGATATATTCATCTCCGTGTGCACACTCTAAACAGAGTTCTCGGCGTCAAGGCGAGCCTGGCTGTTGTCAACCTTGCCACGCTTCTCACGTCCCTGTTGGATGTCAGCGTTCCTGTTGAAATCTCAAGGATTTGGGGAATAATGACCTTGTCTGACCATGGGAAGTGGACTACTGGGACGACGAAGAACGAGTTACTAGAGTCGGCCATACCAGCGAAGGCGTTGTACCTGAGTTTTTTGTTAGCAAAATGGGAGCTTCCTTTTGAATGGCAGGTGCAGATATCTTACCAAGCGGCGAAAGCGGCAATGATTCCAAAGGCACCTCCTGCGCGTAGCAATGCAGTGTGTGGGGCACCAGTGGTCATGCCATCGACAGTCTCGGTAGTGAAGTACAGGTAGGCGAGACCAAGGAAGAGGAACGCCATGTCCAGGGTGAAGAATAGGAAGAAGAACGCGACGGTCGACTTCAGCGTGAGGATGGTGAGGAGAGTCGTGAAGATGAACCATCCCTAGAATGGTATCAGTGATGTTTTCCCCCACCTAGCAATACGCGGACTTACAAAGAGGTAGAGCGAGAACGAGTTCAGGAACGGCGCAGGAGAGTCCGCTTCGAGCGTGGATATGATCTCGAAACCACCTGGAGTGAGAATGATTGCAGTACCGATCCAGAATCCACCGTAAGACGAAAGAGCAGTAGCACCGAAAGTGTTACCAACAGCCATTTCCCTGGGGTTTTGCGTTAGCCAGTCGCATCTGCCAACGCCGTACAAACTTTGAATACACACCACATTCCTGCGAGAAGCTGAACAAGACCACCATACGCGAAAGCAGCACCGATGACAATGTTTGGCTCGGAAAGACCCTTGGTTCCCAGATTGATGGCGGAGAGCAAGAAAGTTGTCAATGCGAAACCGCAAAGCCCAAGAGGAGCTGGGTTGGCGAACTTGCGCTTCTCGGTAGACTTGTAGAGACCTGGCTGAAGCTCACCACCAAAGGCAGCGAGACGGACGGAGTCTCCAGTGTTGATATGCGCGAGCGGGTTGCCGCCATAGTCATATGGCTTGCGCATCTGCGCGCCGTTCGCGTGGTCGTGCGAGCTGGTACCATTGGTACCTTCCTTTACGGAGTTGTACTCTTGAGGGACGGTCGACATCTTGGCTGCGATTCAAATCAATGAGGTAGACCGGGGCGGGTACGAGGGGGAGGAGCGCGTGCGCATATATACCCAGCTGGCTAAGCGGAAAACAAAAACTGCTAGATGGTAAGCTACGAGAGTGCACGATGAACCTTAACATCATCGTGCTGCCGATCCTGTCGTCCCACAGTTCAACTTCGGTATGGGGCCCCACATAACTAAGGGTTGGGGGCGCATCCTGTTCGGGGACAAGGGCATTGCGACAGGCCAATGAACACGCGAGTTAGAGATTGGTTTTCTTTGACGAGCGTGCACGGAGTGCCGTTTGCCCTTCCTTCCTGAGGTGTCGATAAAACGGCGTTGTTCTGGTGGAGTCTTCCGAAGCTTTTCGCACCCAAGTCGGTCGTTCCGGAAGAGCCATCCGCTTTTTCACCATATCTTCCTTCATACGCAGCGATGCCGTGTGGGATCCGCGATATCGAGGTGCTGATTTGGCATTCTTCGGCAGCTAAACGACATGCTCACCCACCAACCATTGTCCTCACATGCTTGTCCAGGGATCTTCCATCGCTGATGAAGCGGAGACGTGTGATCAGCTTCCTCCTACGTCAATGGAGGAGCTCCCAATCGGCGGCTAAGCTTTGACAACGGGCGTCAGCGGCGCCGAATTCTCTTTGCGTCAAATCTCCAAAGCAAAGTCTGTTTGCGGACACCTCGTGTCGAGATAACATCGACTTCGGCGAGAAAGAGTCTGGTCGCGTGGACTGTGATGAGCATATGGTGCGTAATAGCCACGCCTTGCCAATGCTGCCAACGGTGAGATTGCGGAGGTGAACGCGACGTCGACATGCTTGGAAGCTGTTTTTTGTCATCATTTTCCCCGGTCCCCACAATTGGTTCAAGGTTGCATCTTGAGATCCCCGGCATCGGACATTCTTCGCAATATCTCAAAGCAGCCATAGGTTTTGCTATAACCGCGGCTTTCAACGACCATATCCATCATGCCGGACTGTAAGTTCTTAGCCCTGTGCCAGATCCGAACCGACTTTTGAGAAGGCGGAGCGGAGCAGAGACCCTGTGGAGTTGAACGGTGTTTGTTTCGACCACGCTCGTCTGCAACACACGGCTGAGGCTCGGATCTGGAGACAGTGGAGTGCAGTGCTTCGGTAAATACCAGGTCCGGGGACGGCGCCCGTTCCGGCCACAGAACTAGAAGAACGAGATTCGCAAGTGCTCATATGACAATACGACGAAGATTTGCGCAATGCAACTGCCGCTTTGGACGAGAGACGAGCACAGAACACACAACACATAACGATCATGTACCGTCCATGCCACTCTCGGAGACTGTTTTTRGCATGAAATGGCGGCAAGAAATTCCCTACTTCTTCCACGCGACCCTACACCGCGTGCTCCGCATGAGCTAGCGGACCAGGGAGTGCAGGCTTAGACGCATCACTTCTCGCCACGGTTCACTAAACAAGCACCATAAGCACTACAAGCAACGCCGTCGGGCACGCGGAATGACATGGGCCCATGCATTTGCGCGGTTATCACAGCTGAGTATTTTATTACATCTTCTCTTTGCATCGGAGATTTGTCAGACCCAAAAGACCCTCTAGAGCATACTGGCGCTGGCACGTCGGCACCGAACTAATCTCGCAGAGCGGTAGTGAAGGTGGGCTTTTGTTCATACAAGAGCAACTTTCGATGCCATCCCGTCCAGTGCGTTCTAGGCTAAAATCTTGCCGGCCGGCTGGAAGGGACTCATCTCATCACGATGCGGTAACACCTCCATCGGCAGTCACGACCGCTTTATCAAAAGTTAGTCCAAACGGTAAACTTGGCAGAGTTCGTTGTGATGAATTACTCACCTCCATTCACAAAGGATTGTTCCTCATCGCACAGCGAAGCAACCAATTTCGCGACTCCGCCGATATCTGCCATACATCCCGGCCATTCCCCGACTTGGTTGACTGTTAGTCAAAGTACTCCACGGCCAGCGTTGGGACATCTTACAGCTTTTGTTCATCAGGGCCATACCCTCCAGATTTGGCGGGTTGGTTGCGAATCCTGCCCCGATGTTTGTCTGCATTCCTAGTAGCCAGGCAGAATGTTCAGCGTTTGATCATCGCAAGAAATGAGATGTAGGTCTCGGACTCAAGCCCTAGGCTTCGCACACCATGTGAACGTACCCCCACAGCAGATGGCATTGCATCGAATGCCCTTCATTCTGTAGAACGCAGTGGTGTTCTTGGTGAGACCAATCAAACCATGCTTGGATGCGGTGTAGGCCGCTCCTATTGCGTTCAAGATCAGATAAACTCGGCGTGTCAGCAAGTACTTCACCTTAGAAAATACATACCAGCTGCACCACCTTTAAATGCGGAAACAGAAGCGATGTTAACAATAGCACCCTTGACCTCTGCCTTGAGCATCGAGTTAACCGCACGCTTGGTGACGAACGCTGGAGCCGTGAGGTTCAACGCAATGACACGATTCCACAGATCAAGCTCAAGTGTTCCAGCTGGATCGAATCGGTCTACGATACCAGCGTTGTTGATTGCATAGTCCAGGTGGCCGAACTTGGCCTCGATCTGTTGAAACAGAGAGTCAAATTCAGCTTCAGAGGTAATGTCCGTCTTGATGGCTAGAGTACGATCAGGGTAAGTCGATGAGGTCTTCTCATTGAAATCGGCCAATAGCTTGTCGTTGATGTCACAGATGACTACGTTGGCGCCAACGGAGAGAAAGTTGTCGGCGATGGCTCTGCCCAGTCCTCCAGCTCCTCCTGTTACGAGAACAGTCTTTCCTTGGTGGGCCATTCTTCTCGTTTTTTCGTTCGAAAGGAGATGAGGGATATGTTGAGTTATAGGTAGAGTTGAATGGGCGAGATGGGAATGAAAGGGAAGGTGAAAGGTAAACTGGACTTGATCAAGGGTGCCCTCCACGCTTGCTTACTTTATTCGATCTTCAGCTGACCGACATCCAAGTCTTGCTAACTTGTCTATCGTACGACTATTGAAGTCTTGGTTCCACTAGAATGAGTAGGAAACGAAGTTGTCCACAAGCCAAGAGTGGGTCCCATGTCACGTACGAGAATGTACAACGGGAACTTCGGGTTGTTTGTCGGGCGTCGTGAAGAGGAGCCCCGCTTTTGCAACTTTATGCAACATGGATGTTGCATAAGATCGATCGAACGGCATGATTGCATTCGTGGCCGTACACATGCTGTCCTGAGCACACGAATTGCAGACGAAGAGACGTCTGGCAAAAGAATGGAAGCGTCCGATAGCTTTACGGCACCCAGAGGACTGAACCGTGAGCTTGCTGGGGTTGTCAGCGATTCCGAAAGCACATCTGGTTTAAGCATTGCCTGTGTTCGCAATGACTGCCCTCATCCTCAAACATGGCGTCGAAGGTGCACAGCGGACAGTCACAGTTGTACATTGATGGATAATATCAATGGGCATACTCAATGGAGGTACTAGATGGTACCTGAATCGACCTCCGCGGTTGATGAGTGCTGTCGAGATCGAAGGATCGAGGAGGGATTTGCCCAGGCTGCAGCTTTCACCAAAGCATCATCAGTGCTCGAGCTTGAGCTCCAAGCTGTCCTCTATTCCCTCAAAACCACACATCTTCAGCAGACACAGACTGTGATCTATCACCATGACGAAGACTGCTCACTATAATCCAGAAGCCTCCTCATCGGCACCCCGCGCGGGCCACAACGAGACATCAAGCCGATATTTCGAGCACTCATCCGCACAGCGAATCAGCACCGACACCGTTGTCGTCGAGAGCATTCGAAAGGAGTACCCCGAACTTCACCTCACCGTCTCACCCTCACGTACCTGTAACATCCTCGCCTATGCCGCCGCCGGTCATGCGGGAATAGCACCTATAGACAAGGCCAATGAACGGCTTTCCTGGCGCAGTTACTACTCGCCCGCCAATCGTCTCAATGGAAACGGGACGCTCGCCGACAGTGTCAAGCTCGGCAAGTATCTGCTTGACTGGAAGAACAAGGAGTTTGTGGTATACATTATTGAGGGACGCGATGGAAGCATGCCCTACGGCGTCACTTCCAACCAGTACATTCTCTCAAGTGCCATAGAGGCTACCAATACGCTGCTTCTCGAAGTTGGCCAGTGGTCAAACTCTTTGCACGGCGAAGTCTGGGTTTTTGATGGAGGGTACTGGCAGAAGAGCAAGGAGCTGTACGACTCCGCCATCAAGAGCAGCTGGGAAGATGTGATCCTTGCACCTGACATGAAAAAGGCCATTAGAGATGATGTCGAGAACTTCTTCGACAGTCGTGCAACATATGAAAAGCTCAAGGTTCCTTGGAAGAGAGGCGAGATCTTCTGGGGTCCTCCAGGCAACGGGAAGACCATCAGCGTCAAGGCAATCATGCATACTCTGTACAGCCGCAAAGACCCGATCCCCACCCTCTACGTACGCAGTTTGTCCAGTTTCGGCGGACCAGAGTACAGCGTGAGCGAGATCTTTGCTCAGGCACGACAGGAAGCGCCTTGTCTTCTCGTCTTTGAGGACCTCGATTCCATGATAACTGATAACGTCCGCAGTTACTTCTTGAATGAAGTTGATGGTATTCGGAAGAACGATGGAATCCTCATCATCGGCTCTACTAACCATCTCGATCGCCTGGATCCGGGCATAGCAAAGAGACCTTCTCGGTTTGATCGCAAATTCCTCTTTCCCAACCCGAATGAGAAAGAGAGAGAAGCCTACATCAAGTATTGGCAAGGTCAGAATATGAATACCACAACCTGTGTCGAGAGATATTCGCTGACACGTTTACCTCCCAACAGGCAAGCTGAAAGATAACAAAGACCTGGAGTTTCCAAACAAGATCTGCCCAGCAGTCGCAAAAATTACAGAAGACTTCAGTTTTGCATTTCTCCAGGTCGGTACACATCCGTTCTAACTCGTGTAATGACATACTGACAACTTCTCAGGAAGCCATGATTGCAAGCCTGCTCGCAATTGCGAGAGAAGACAATGAGCTCGTGTGCGTAGAGTGCCTCGAACAGCATGGCAAGAGCATTGAGAATGCATCATGTGATCGCAAGATTGCACGACCCTTCAAGGGGTTGTTTGAATACGTCTGGTCCGTCAAACTTATGGACGATGAAGATCCCAGTCTGAACGACTTTCCTCTCTGGCGGCAATTGAAGAAGCAGATCAGGATCTTGCGGGAGGAGATGAGCGATGAGAAGGGCACAACGAAGTGATGAGCAGGCTTCACGATCTCGTGCACCTATGCTATGTTTGACGTCAACTGGTACCACGGAACTTTGACCTTGTGGAAACATCTGCCAAGTACACCTATATATTATTACAGCTCGAATGGGCCTGAGAAACGACAACGAAATCGAATGAACACATGCTGCTTCCACTGACTTCCATCCAGTGACTTGCGCACAGCGACTAGGCAGCCGCACTTGACTTCGATCCAAGTTTCTATGCGCGAGTCGCCGCTCTCCGGCCTCACGCGTTGCAGAAGCAGCGTGACTCGGGGTCTCCAACCACAATGCTTCTCTGAGGTTTCCTAGGCTAACCAACACGCAACCTCGCTTTCTCCCATATCACAATAGCCAATGGTAATGGAGGCAATTTTACAACGAACGATCACTATCACCGTACGAACTTTTAGGTTAAAACGTCTCTCGGCCATATTCTCCCCACAGCAATTTGAGCTGATTGGCAACGTTTTCTGAAACGCATCTCAACCCTTGGACATGACCTCGCTCACACTGCTTCAGCTTTTCCCACTGTGGTTTGAAACCCCTCGCGATCAACCAAGGCGAGCACGATGCCAGCAAAGGCGCTTCAATAATTTCGAATGATGTCGACGAGACGGGTTTGAAAGATGCTCCATCCCTTAAAGTCCGATACAAGGACAGTGCGCTTTAAGGTTCATGCTCCTCTTGTTGATCGACATCTTCATATTCCCTGCGATAGATACACGATCGCTTTGCTCCTGGTTCTTTTTAAAACCAACAGTCTCTCGTTTTACGCAGCACAAATTGTCCCTGTCTCTACCGCGCAGTACTGTTGACCATCAAAGAGGCTCAATCAGTACGCTGTATACTGATAATATCGACTGGGTGAAGATCAGATTGCCAGCATGTCGAACAGAGCTCTCGCATTCGGCAGCCTGTTGCTTGCTTACAATGCCATCGATACTCTTGCCATGGACGCTGGCCTAAACATTGATCTCGGCGGAGGCTTCAGCGGGGGAGGAGGAGGTAATGTTGATGCCGGTGCTGGTGGTTCGTGCTCGATCTTTTGATCACTTGGGACACATGCTGATCACTTGGGACACATGCTGATCACGATACAGGAGGACTTGGTCTGGGCATGAATATAGGAGGCGATGGTGGGTTGGGAGTCAATGTGGGCGGAGAGGGTGCGCATGTCGGGGTCGGTGGTTCGTAAAGATCAGCTCTGTTGTTCGCAAGTTGATGCTGACGTCTTGTTACCAGGAGCTGATGCGAATGTGGATGCTGGTGGTAACGGAGCTGGCGTTTCGGTTGAAGGTGCGTGGGCGGCACTCCGCGCGACGTTCGGAACCTAAGCTGACAACTGATATCTAGTGGGTGGTTCGGGCGACAGCTCTGGAAGCGCATCTGTTAACGCCGATGGGGGCGCATCTGGTAATGTCCATGGTGGACTGAGTGCTGGAGTCTCGGCGAATATTGCTTGGCCTGACTTGCAAGTTGGAGTCATCCCTGGCGGCGACGACGACGCGCCTGTATACACGCCGGCAGCTTCCATCYGGTCCTCATCTTCAGACCCCAACAAACCTGAACATACAGGCGAGCACAGGATCGCTTCGGGTGTCTTTTTCACTGCATCTGCGACTCACGACGTGCCACCTCCGCAATACACTATCCAGGGTGGACCAGCAAAGGTCATCTGCTTCCCACCTGGGGTTGGCGGTGGCGATGCAGGCGGGAAAGCTCCAGCACCGGGCATCACACCAKCCCCTACCGATAGCCCTGCTGGACTAGGAGCGGATGGTCTTTGCACAACGCTGGGCACAGTCCTCGACCCGCAATACGTCTACATCTCGTTCTCCACCCTCTTTGCCGGCTGCAAAGATGGAGACAAGATGAAGACCATTGGACCAACCTACGCCAACACAATGTTCTCCTTCCACTCGGATGCCATTTCCACGAGGTGTGCATCGTCAACGGCACCAGATGCGGCCCCGACCTACGGGCCTCCTGCTGCCATCAACTGGGATGATATCAACGGTTCTAAGGCAGATGGCTCGTCAAACTGCTTGAACATTGCTCCGCCAGCTGACTTCCTCAAGTCCTGTCCTCCCGAGTGGACACAACAGCTGTACTGGAACATTCAATTCCAGCCACCGCAGGTGCTCATGCAGGACAATTCTGAAAAAGGCAAATCCGCTGCCACGGATTGCACATCCTGTAGCAACGATGAAGCAGGAGCCACGGGAGCTGTGTACCGTGGAACCAATGGATCTGCGAGTGGCATTGCGGGTGCTCCACCATACAGTGGCGCGTCGAGTGTTCAGCATGGCCACGAGAGCTACGCCGGATGGCGCATGGTTGCCATGGGAATGTTTGTAGGTGTTCTGACTACGGCCGCCCTGCTCTGAGGAGGATGGTCCCCTGCATGATGGCGTTAGGGTGTAAGGATTTGTTGGCAGACGATACCGGAGATATACCATAGTTTGAGATGCTTTCGTATGGGATGCAGGGTATCCTATAATGATTGACGATGAATTTGTAAGGCTCGATTAGGATCYAATGTTGTCCGAGAATGCTACATGAATCATCCCATGGCGAGGCCGAAGTTTAGTCGATGCTGCATTTGCAGCTACCGTCACCTACCAGAGACTACGCAGGTTTATCTTGTCAGGTAGCGTGTGGTTTCGGCCGGAGATCTAGCTTCCTGTCGATGTGATGTAAGATACCAATCAGGAAGAGCAAGAAAGAAGTCAGGCAAAGGAAGAGCATTGCCAAGCCCTCACGTAAGCCGTCGCCGTCCCAACTTCAACCTCACCCTTCATCTTTCACCCTCTTCGTCTCCCGCGTCATCTACTTCCATCAAGCTTAGGCCGTGAGGCTGTCTGGAAGCAACATGAACCCCGACTGTACGGATCACGTACCTCTGCGATGCTTCCGTCGCCTCGCAAAGTAGCTCCGTTGCGACTGCTGGCCCGAGGCGCGACGGTCGGAGCATCTTCCATCTTCCATCTATGGCTTAGGCAGCCAAGGCAGCCTCTTTCGTCATGATCTCAGGATCAATAGTAGTGAAATGCTGCTCTGGGAGTTGTGAGTATCTCTGATGATCGCGGAGTATGTAATTCTGTATCTACATCACCTGCTGGTATGACTTCTCTTTCTGCTGATTGTCGGTATAGCATTGTGTCTGTACCATGTATCCTTGCGGTATATCAGCTTGCGGTAAACTACAGGGTAGCAAACTTGCATAAGAAACGGACACATTCTGTACCACGGAAGAATCAGTGGTCCGCGGACATTTCTGCAGAATTGTACTCTATACCCAAGCACACCCATTTCTTTTACATCGTTTCTTAATGCCCCTATATCTCTCTGGCCTGGCACCAGGTGTTTCTTTTGAAGATTTGGAACTGTACAAGACGACCACATACGCGCGCGGGCTTGGCTGTAGCAAACATCTGGAGCGCCAGAAAGATGACGTACATTGCAAGCACCAACGGGAGCGAATGTTTATACGATCAGGCTGCTGGCAGTATCGCCGCGCGGGACTCAACGGTCTGAGGTTCCCACGAACACGTCGTTGTAGTGTGGTTGACGAAGTCTCGCTGTCGGGAGCGTGAATTCACTCACCTATCGCGCCAAGCCAAATCTTGCCCTCAGACTACTGGCTCGCTTGTTTCGACGTCCCGCCCTCCCGTAGTTGGAACTCCACCACCATCTTTCAAATTCCATCCCGCTCTCCTCTTCTTCTCGACCACCACGACATCCGCGCATCCCATCGCGCCAGTCCTGGTTTCTCATCCACACAACCACCCCAACATTGCACACGCCATGGCGGCAAACATGCCTGCAATGGACAAGGCGCCCGCCTACATCCGCATGATGGATACCTCGCTGTCTCAGCGATTCTCTACTTTCCTCCGGCAGTGTACTCTGCACCTCATCGGCCGCGCGCCAGCATCACTGCCAAAGGCCATCATCAAGCAGGCCGTGCAAGTGGTGTACACACCAACCAAGACCAAGGTCATTGTCGAGACCAATGTCGTCGACACCAGTACCCCGACAACKGAAGGGGCGCACGGCATGGCTTTCACCCTGCCCACCCTCGCGTACCCGATCTGCGCCATGCTCTGCGCTGTGGCCGTCATCACCACCGCCGGGTGGGTCGCGCGCGCGCGCGCTCACTCTCGCCGCGCCGCCGCTCTGACCGCCCTCGAGTCGGAGGCCTCCGAGCTGGAGGTCTCCGAGATGCCAACAACAGAGCTGGACGGCCCAGAGCCAGGCTCTGATAGCAAGGAGCTACTTGCTACTCGCGCAAATGCGATTCTCAAGCAGTACAACTTCTTGAGCAAGTGCAAAGCGCTCGAGAACGACTGCGCCGAAAAGGCTGCGAGGATTGCTGCGCTGGAGTTCAAGGCCGAGCAGCAAGCGGCCAATATCGTCGCTGGCGCTACAGCACTGTCGGCGGCAAAGGAGACGCTCGAGTCTCTGCAGAAGGAAACTGCGCGCGTTTCCGACGAAACGAAGCTGTGTGAGGCCGCCTCGCAGCAGCTTTCTCTCAAAAAGTCCGAGGAGATCGTGGAGTTGGAGCACAAACTCAACAAGATGAGTATTGAGCTCGGTGGCTTGCGCAAGAACACGAAAGCGCTCGAAGCAGCAAAGGCGACAATCACAAGCCTTGAGACTGCCGCCGAGGAGTCTCGCCAGGAGCATGAGGAGGAAAAGCAGGAGATTCGCGAGAAGCAGCTTGCCGCCGAGCAGAGCGCGAAGCGGGAAGCCTCCGTCCTACTCTCCAAGATCGAGACTGAACGCCGCGTCAAGGAGCAGGAACAGCGTGCCATCAGCATTGCTTCTGCGGCAAAGCTTGCCGAGCTAGAGCAGAAGTTGAAGAAGGCGTCTGAGAGCTCCGGGAAGTCCCTTTTGGGCGAGAAGAAGGCTCACAAGGCGGCTATTGCTTCGGCTGCTGCTCTCGAGGAGTCAAAGAAAGCTTTGGAATCCGCCAATGCTCGTCTGGAGGCTGAGAAGAAGGCGCGATTTGCTGAAAGTGAGATCATGGCCGCTGAGAACAAGGCCCAATCTGCAGCATATGAGAGCATGGTGGCTGAGAACAGCGCCCACCTTGCAAGCAATTCGAGTATTGTCGCTGAGAATACGTCGTTAAAGTCCGCGAATGAGACTCTCGCCGACGAAAACATCCGCGCGCGCGAGGAGAAAGATGCAGCTGAGTCCAATCTGGAGAAGATGTCCGCCGAACTCAAGAAGCAGACGGACGCCCGGATGGATGTCACTCGTCGCAGTGCCGGTGTGCTTATGCAGAAAGCTGAGCTGCAAAAATGTGTTGATTCCCAGCAAGAGCAGATTGAGGCCTTGATGGGCAAGATTCTGGAGCTGGAGAAGCAGCTCGACACCAAGGATCAAGATGAGGATGACATTGTATCCCCGTCATCTGCACAGCCGCCATCTCCATCGCCACCATCCTCGGGTGCATTCTCGTCGTCTTCACCGCCACCATCCTTGGGTGCACCCTCGACGTCTCCACCGCCACCATTCTCAGGTGCATCCGCCGAAAGCAGCCAGCAGAATGAGGTCGCCGCCAACAGCGGCACTGGAGACAACGATGCTGGCTCTGATGAGCAGAAGGAGCAGGAGGGAGAGCCGGATGAGGAGGAGGAGAGCGATGAAGAGCATGATGCCGAGTGCGAGCCAGACGAGAACAAGGAAGGCGTTGACCGCAGCGCGGCACATGATGCGGAGCGCCACGAGGACTCCTATCTTGAGGAGAGCGAGCAGGGCGATCCCACGATCAACAATGCTGCCACCAGCACTCCTGCCACAGAAGGCGAGCAGCCAATCCAGACGAAACGCAAGAGACGTCGTCGAGGTGGTAGAGGTGGGGAGAAGCTGCGGAAAAGAGAAGCGGCTCTGCAGAGGGAAAACGACAGCTTGACTGTGGATGAGTCTGACCAGACGCTGAATGACGAGCCCGAGCAGCAGCAGAACGAGCCGGAAGAAGTCGACGACACTGCCACCCGCCAGGCCGGTGGTAACGAAGACATGGCCACCAACGAGCTCGACCCCACCGTCAACCCCTTCACGTTCCGCCCTTCCACCGCACAGCCAACGAAGAAGCATCGTTCCCGGTGCCCAAAGAAGCATTCCCTCAAGAAGGCAATCCACCAGAACACCCACGGGCGCACAGTTGAAGGTGTTTTGCATGTGCCTACTGGGCCAAAGGCAATGCGGCAGGCGATGGACTTCAGCAGCGGATTGCCTCGCAACCCATTCGGTCCTCAGGATCCCCCGGGGCGGTATTGAGTGGGCGAGTTGTGGGGCGTGACAGAGGGTGGAAGGAATTGATCGGAAAGAGGGTTGACAGACTTGTCGCAAGACGATGTCGTCCCCTCAAGGCCTTTCGGAGCAAGTACAGGGAGAGAACTAAATGGAAGGGTATGGGTCGACAGACGTGTCGTCGGACGCAGTCGTCCCCTTGATCAGCGGGAGGAAAGAACATCGGGGGTAATATGGGTTGATAGACTTGTTGCGCCGCTTGGGCAGCAACAACGTCGTCTCTTTTAGGCTCAGGAGAGCGGGAAATGGTGGGAAGTGGGAAATGTAATATAGGGTTGAACTGACTTATCACGCTGCCACAGAATAGCGGATGATGTCGTCCCCTGGGAGATCGTACTTTGCAAATATCAAATTCCGCATCGAACTCCTTCCTTCTGTACCGTGACTGCAACTCTCGACTTCTCGGTTACGTAGGCTCATCCTCAAGACAAATTGAGCAGTAAAGCAATAACTCTTGGATCTCTGTCGCTAGCTAATAGATGCAAGGAGAACACCTTAATCGCTAAGCCTGTTTCCCAGGCGATACGTAGCAAWAGGGCGAAGAAACAGACTGATCGAATGGGCCATCTCGCGAAGCTGCTCATTTTCTTGGGATATCGTATAGGATGTTGGTATCGTGCCGTCTTTACTTGTCGATTACTTCCAGAAAGCAAGATTGCAGCAAGCGAAAGGCCTCTCCAGACCACAAGTCTAGAAAAAAAAACATCATTCCCTTCAAGAAAGGTTCAAGACTGTCCGGAAAATCACAGAATCGAACTACACTCCAAAGAGCTCACGAGGCTAACCTGCTCCTACCTTATTCTCCAACCTCAAGTCACATCTTTCATTGACTTCTCAGGATATCGTCTGGTGTCGACCAAGATTGTGCTGATTCTGGAAAAGTCTGGCTGTGCTGAAGATGAACATTCTCTCCACCTCGTCAGCACTCTCCCAAGGAACATAGCAGTACCACACCTACCTCAMCCCGCCACTAACCCAGCCCTCAGCCGCTCCACGGCCTCCTCCTCAGTAACAACATCCGCCATTTTTGAATCCATATCAAAAACATTCGCATTATGAATCTCGGGACTTCGATCTCCACACGCAGTCTCCACAACCATCCTATCCACAAGAAACCATCAGCATACCACTCACCAAAAAACAAACAAAGGATAAGAAATTCTCAAACTCACGGCCGAAATCCATAACACAAAGCATCAAGCACACTAGCTCTCACACACCCACTCGTACTAACCCCACAAACAACCACCGAATCTACACCCTCTTCCCTCAACATCTTCTCCAAATCCGTCCCGAAAAACGCCGAGGGATACTTCTTCGTCACCACCGTCTCTCCCTCCCTGGGTTCCAAACCTTCGATCCAATCTCCCAAACCTCTCGGATCGTCATGATGGAAAACTTCCAGGACTTTGGCTTTGTGGTAGAAGATGCCTGCTTCCGCCATATCTCCATATGCGACTTTGGTCCATATGATGGGAATGTTGTCGGGAGATGAGCGGGCGGCTGAGAGTAAGTTCCGCATCACATCCGGGGAAGCTGAGGCGGCGGGGTTGGAGAGCAGGGATAGAGGGGAAGTGGGATGGAAGTAAGCTTTACAGACGTCTATGAGGAGGAGGGCTGGTTTCTGGCCCTATTGATGAGGTGAAGTTAGTTACTCTAGAAGCTTAGGAATGCAGGAGCGTTGGGTTCGTATTTACCCATCCGAGGCGGTTTGCGAAACCGGAGGCACGGTATGAGGCTGCTTCGGCATGTGATGTTGGGGCGGTCATGGTGGTTGTTGTTCAGCATGTCCACGAATCCAAAGAAAAGTGAGCTTGAAATGAAGTCGTTCACATAGCCGAGTGATAGGCCAGCTCTCGGCCAGGATGTTTTAGCGAATTGTAAGGACGCATGACCTTACTTTGATGAAATGTCACTAGAATGGTATCAAAAAGTAATTCTGCACTCTGCTAGCAAAACAACAAGAAACGGTCTCAAGCCTCTCCTCCACATCTGTCCCTCTTCCCACGCTTACGCTGTCTTGAGCCACGCAGCAGACAGACCAATCAAACTGCTCACAGTTCCGGCCAAACCAACAACACCATCGTCGAGGTTAACGTATCCAATAGCACTGCTTGGTACAGTGATGTCGCACACATCGGACAGCAATTGGAGCTTAGTAGCAGCTTGTTCCCTAGAATCGCCACACAAGTCAGTCCTCTCTCCCAAGACAAAAGGTCTATGCAACAAAACGTACCTCTGCACCTTCTTCCCCTCGACGGCCTTCTCGGCATCCCCACCGCTCTCTGCCTGCTTCTTCGCCAACAACTGCAAATTATACAGCGTGTAGACGCCCGCCACAATGTTGCACGTCAAGCCCACAAACCAAGCCCGATAAGCCTCCCTCTGCAATCTCGCTCCCTCCTTGAACTTGTAGATTCCCGTCTGGTCCAGATACGTCAACGCATCGAGGGACAAGTACACAGCATAGCCGAGCTGGCGTCCCACAGCCAGGTACTTGAGAACGGGGTCCAAGGATTTGGAGTCGGCGGCAACGGCGGCCGCTTTGAAGTGCTCGACGAATTTCCCTAGTCGCATGGCTTTGCGAGCTTGGCCGAAGGATTTCTTGACCGCATCGTAGCGCGCAACGGTCGTGGTAGGGTGGTTGGTGCGGTAGAGGTACCAAGCGAGGAAGCGGGAGAAGTATTGGATTGTGCGGAGAGTTTTGTCGCGGCCAACTGGGATTGATATTAGTCTTTGTGGATGTGTGTATAATTGGGGTGAGGTGTGCCTTACTAGTCGTGGCGACGAAGCGGTTGAAGTGGCTCACCGTCGGGTGGTAGATTAAAGCGTCGGCGACCATGTTTGTTTTGGTGGGGTGATGTGGTGGTGGAGAGTTTGTTTGTACCGATTATCACATCCGCAAAGAAGGATCCAAGAGACAAGAATGACCAGACGCGATATCACCAGCTCAGAGACTTCACATGTGCTTTGACGGGAGGAGAGATAGGGACGTGGTCTGGTAGCTCAGACGGGCATGTGAAGTGAGCACCGAGGTCGATTCGGGCTCCAGGGACTCCGCTACTGCCGCTGACTCCCGTCATTCGGCCGTAAGAGCATCACCGACAACTTCACGTGCTGTCGACTGTACCCAACGATTGATGTGAAGTCGTCGCGGCCATGGCGAAAAAGGCAAAGTCGCGCACAATTGCCGTGCGCTTGATTTCAATGGTATGATGGATTGGCTTGGTTTTGATGATACAACCGTGATGGGTACTAATGTCTTCACACAGGCCATGACGGGATACTACAAAACTTTTACTCGACCGCGCCAACATCGCCCGCTCAGCATGCTCAAATACGACCCYGTCGGTGAGTTATCTTGATGCCGAGAATCTGGGTACGAGAATTGGAACTGATGGGATCGCAATGTAGTCAAGAAGAAGGTCCTGTTTCTTGAGGCCAAGCGTGGAGGATCGAAGTGATGGAGATGGAGACGGACGTGATACCACGAAGCGCGCCTTGGATCGACCACATATGCATACGACTGACTCCATGTCGCCAATTGTGAGAGGTTTCAGAGGCTGCATAGCCTGCAAAATCTCACTAGGATAAAGAGGCTGCCTGTAACAATAGAAGGACTTCGCAGACGGAACAGAAGCGGATGGAAAGGCAAGGTCGCGTGGACACAGAGAGCAAAGAGCCTGTCACCAGGAGAAATCGAGAGCCGCTTTTGCAAATGGTTGGATACATCTGCGTCTAATCCTAAGAGGCGTGAATACATGGGCACAGCACCAAATCCACGAAGCAAAGGTTGTAGCCATGTCGCTCAACATACATCATATCACCTCTGCTCAGAATCACAGCATGTTGAGCAAATCAGCAGATCGATCCGCAGGCTCAGCGAGCTGAGCGGAGCTCGTGGGCAAAGCGAGCATTAATCTCATCGTCTAGGCCTCAAGTCAGTCAATGCTCGGTCACGTCCTTCGAGGCAAGCTTACTCTTGGAAAGCCTTCTAGTAGAGTTCCTCGTCTGACGGGCGCTTGTAGCACTCGCACCAGCAAAAGTCTGCATGCGAGATGGCCGAGCGGAAGCGCGAGGGGTGCCTCGCGATGAACTCGGAGTCTGTAAGGCTCGATTCTGCGATGCAACGAGCTCGCTGAGCGTGTGTCCATCGCCTTGGCTGCTACGATTGACCTGCTTTCTCTCGCGCTCCTGCTCGTAGCCTTCAACGACCTGGCTTTGGGCCTTGCGTTTACCCGGCGCAGCTCTGGGCTCCTTGTGGTTCGAGTTGTGATGAGATCCAGCCTTGCTACCCAATCCACCTCCGTGGTAGGTATTCTGACTACGGCCCTTTCCCATCTGCTCAACAAAATCGGGAGAGCTGCGGGGTATGATGCTCTGCGTGCGGCGAGGCCTGCCAGTCAATGATCCAGTTTCTGAAGCCTGGTGCTTGGCAACTACCGATGACCTCTTCCCAGAGGCAGCAGCGGCGGCTGGGCTCGAAAGGAGAAGCTCCCTCTCATCAAGACTGCTCAAGCTTGACGAGCCAGTGCCAGAACGTATCAACTTCGTTGCTGTATTTGGAGGCTGCATTGGTTTGAGGAAGCGTGGTGGAATATTGCGTACAGCTTGCGAACCATCATGAGATGGACCGTTACCAAAGCCACCCCATGCCAGTTCGTGTTCCTTGCCTTTCCGCATCGTTGAGGCCGCATGGAAGCTGGCAAGCGGGGCCACCTCTGCCTGTGAATCTGCCTCGTATTGCGTCTCAGGCACAAATTGCGTCTCCTGGTCAGTTCCTGCAGAATATTGACTGTACTGCTGATGGAAGGAGGATTGTTGAGACTCCTCGACGATTGCTCCGTGGAATGCGCCTCGTTGGCTTGAAGGTATGACTTTCCGTCGAGCAAAATTTGGGCTATCTGCCGCGGTTACGGGGAATGCAGGAGCATTGCCCTCGTCGGCGGAGAAAGGGGCCTGCTGGTCTCGTCCACCGTGAGGAGCTCCGTATAGAGGCCTGGAGCTGCGCAGCTGAGGGGTTRTGTGTGGCTGCTGCTGCTGTGTCTCTTCAGATGCCGGTCCGCGGCGTTGCTTGCTCGGGCGGTCTGCCGCTTGGTAACCCTCGCCGCGCAATTGGCTGAATTGCGAGAGGTTGGGCTGCGTTTCGTTTACGACCGATGTACCAAATGTCTGACTTCCAGGAATATCATCCCAGGGAGAAGGCTCTCCATGGGTATGTGGGAAGTAAGACGCAGRAAACGGCTCCAGCTGCGACTCCTCGATGACAGGTCCGCGAGAGTATGCCTTCGGATTCTCCGCTGYATCAGAGGCAAGCGCTGTGGTTGGTTGAGTAATCAGCCTTGTAGCCTGGCCGGCCCCCTCTTGGGCGGGTGGATTCTGCGACGGCTCTGATGTCTCAAGCGAGGCGATGACCACCTCAGACTGCTGGTGTCGATTCTGCAAGCGAGGATCACTTGATCCGACGGCTTCGCTGGTTTGTGTTGATGGCTTGGCTAATGCATCAGTCAGTGTGAGTGTGGGCTCTCGTACTCGTGCGAGATCCTCTCCAAGGCCCTCGTTGTCAGCAATGGCCTCGTCTCGTTGGATCTCAGCCTGCAAGATCTTGTCATTCAGCTCCGTGACCAAAGCTTGGTTTTTTCTCTCCTCACTCTGCCAACTTCGCTGCACTTCTTCCCGGAATTCTTCATCTGTCTTGATGCGTCTCTGCAGGTCGTCATGTGAATCCTGCAAGCTCTTCTGGAGGGCCTCGACTCGCTTGTCGTAGTTCGCCCTCTCCGCCTCGATGGCCATCTCTGCTGATTTCTGCAACTGCCGATTAACTTCTGTACCGTGCTTCTCAGCTGCATGCACCTCTGCCTTCAGACGTTTCTCCGTTTCTTCGCTATCGGTAYGGCATTGTCGGAGTTCTTGCTTGAGTCGCTCTTCGCCTTTCTCGCGATCGCGTCGGAGTTGATCCATCTGGTCGACGAGCGAGTCCTTCTCCTGAATCATGGTCTGCAGGTCCTCCTTTCCAGCCACGAGCTGAGCACGAAGCGAACCAGCTTCGTTGCTAGCTTGCTGTGCAGTCTGAAGATCTGACTCCAGTATCTCAACCTGCTTCTTCCGTTCTTCTGCAACACTCTCGGCGGCATTAATCTTCTTCTGCATGTCGGAAACATGCGATGCGTGCTTCGTTTGAAGCTCCTCAATCTGCGTCTGAGTTGACGCCAGTCGCTTGCCAACGGCCTCAAGTTCTCTCGCGAGCTTATCATGATCGTGTGTCATTGACTGGAGTTTGTTTGTCGCGTTTGTCACCTCRTTCWCGTGCCACTCATTAAACATTTTCGTCATCTCAGCCTTGGTGGTCTCGATCTGCTTGAGGTGGTTCTCCTCAAGCGTGGCTCGCTCAGCATCAAAGATCGTGACACCTGGTGCTTCCTTCAATTGCTCTTGAAGTGTCTTGAGTAGCGACTGTAGCTCTCCGCATGATGCGCTCAACCTGCTCAGATCGCGAGTCTTGGTCTCCAGCTCTGACCCTGCGGTCTGCAAAGCGGTGGTTTTGAGACTAAGCTCTGCTTTCAGCTCGCTCAGCTGCGCTGAAATAAGCTCACTGGGGACAAGCTGGCGTTGGAGATTGTCGACTTTCGCTTGCAAAGCAACAACCTGTCCTTTGAGTTCAGTTTCGCTGGCTCGGGTGCCTGACAGAGTTGAATCGCAATCCATCATGCGGTTGCTGACATCTTCAAGCTGCTTCTGCAATCCTGAGATGGTCTCACGGTTTGTGGCATCCTGTGCAGCAAGCTTCTCCTGTTGGCAAAGATCCGTCTTCAAGCTTTCCAAAGCCTCGTCGATGTGAGACTTGAGTGAGGAGTCTTGATCCCTCCTGTGTTGCGTGTCTCCAGCGCGATTGGTCAGGCTGGAATCAATGTCAGTACATGCCCGGCACGTTTAAAGCAGCCAACTTACGTTTCTGACAGTCTCTCGACGATGCCTTTCACCGATGCGATGTCATTGACCGCAGTCTTCTGCTGAGTGTGGAGCCCCTGGACTGCTGCCAGAGTCTTCTCAAGCTGCTCAGACATGGCTTGTCCATTCTCCGTTTCGTGAACCGAAGCTGCGAGTTCGGACAGCTTGTCGAGAATAGATTGCTCGCTCGATCTAAGCACACGAAGTGTCGCGTCTCTGGACTCCTTCTCTGCAGAGCTGAGCTGAGCTTGAAGCTGCTCTCGAAGCCACTTCTCCTCCGCAAGCAGCGAAGTCTTTTCCTTCAAACTCTCCTCGAGGTGAGAGTTGCGCATGGTTTCTATTGAAAGGTCATTTCTCGCACTGTGGCATGCTTTGATCGCTTCGGTCTTCAGCTGCGAGGATTTGTCGGCGTTTCGAGAAAGCTGCTGCAGTAGACCACCCAGCACAGCTTTGTGCTCCTCGGTTTYCTCACCAATCTCTATGCAGTTCTGGCGATGTATGCTGGCATCTCTCTTCAAAGCACCCATGTCGTTGGAAAGACCACCGACGAATATCTTGAGCTTGTTAGCCATGGCTTCCAAGCCCATGATCTTTGTCCTCTGCTTCTCGATCGCCACTGTAAGCTCAGTCTTCTCTCGATGGAGCACATCAAAACTATCTTGCAGCTTCTGCTTGGCTTGAAGCTCTTGCCGAAACTTGCTCCGCCACTCAGTCCGCTCCGCCCTGTGCTTGTCTGATTTGGCTTTCTGTTTCCGGTAGAGCTTATTCTCAAATTCCTTTGCGGCATCTTCGAAAATGTCAGACGAAGGACACTGGTCTGGTCGCAAATCCTCCGCAAAATTCGTGTCTGGCTCAGGAGGACCGTACTGATCTTGCTGCGGCTGGAGGTACTGATGATGCATTGGTAATGCTGCGTGCTGGTCATCCTGTTCGAACTGCTCATCGGGTCGCAGATCATTGCGTGAGCGATCACGGTCATCATGATAGTACTTGCCTTCGTCAACAGCTGCTGCCTGCATCTCATGTTGCAATTGGAGAGTGTCAGGTCGGAGGCCTGGAATCGGCACATCTTGCTGGCCAATGCGTTGGACATCAACAATCGTAGGCTCAACTTGGATAGCGCGAGTCGCGCCTTGGTTGGTGTTGCTGCTCATGTTGATTTCACGAGAATCGGATTCTACCGGCACGTCTTGTTTCGGAAGCTCCTCTGTTTGGGTGACAACTGGCACAGCAGGTCGCTTTCTTCTCAGTTTTCTCACCCTACGCTTCGCGGTGGGCGCGACCGTCTGCTTTGACTGCTCTCCACGCCACTGACTGTCTTGCTCGGTACCTTTCTTAGTCGAACAGGGTGTCGGAAAGGTTCGAATGGCTGTCGAGAGATGGTTAGCTGGCCCTTCCCGAAATTTGAAACCACGAACCTCGATGTCCATCTTCGGAGACTCCCCCATCATGAGAGTGATGCATGTGATAGCCATCCTCTCTGGTACCTTCCTTCTCACGGGAGTCGAAGCGAGAGTCCACAACTTCCTTAGGATAGTCGGCCTGGTAAGGCGGTTGCTCAATAAGTTGTCCGGATGTCTGTCTTATGATGAGACCGAGTGGCTGGCGATGGCTGTTGCGGACTGGAGCAGACGCCAACATGCCGCCATCGGGTCYGCTGTTTTGGGGCGGCAGGGGCTTGATGTTCGCCTGCAGCGAGGGAGACATGGAACGGGCCTGGCGATCGTTGGGCTGCTCGGGAGAGACATGGAACTTCTGCGGCTGGCAATATTCCATGGTGTCCACGACAAGGTCCATCGAATCTGATTGCATTCCCGTGACGGGCGGTCAGGAATGGCTAGCTGCCAGTGGCAGCGAAGCGATAGATGGGCAGATCAGTCTTGTAGAAGTCATGTGTGTCTTGGAAGGAACTTTAAAAACGAGAAAAAGAGAAAAAGAGTCCCATGCGAGAGTTGTTGAAGAAGCGAGGTGTTGTCGCAAAGAGAGGTCCACGGGTGTGTTGGAAAGGTGTCGGTCTCGGGCGAGACAAGAGGAGGCAGTCACGACTCAAGCCCAGGCGGTTGTTCGCATGGACCGACGCGATCTGAAGTCTTTGGCATGCGAAATGCAATAGAAGGACAAATGAAATATTCGCATCGCCTACAACATCATATCAACGACTTGCTACTGCGATTACAATCCATGTCTGCTCCAGATTGACTCAAGTCAACTTTCATCACTGAATCCGCATCGCCGACGTGCGATTGCTTCGCCCGAGAAAGACTTTGTCAGACATCATCTGGATGCGTGAGCTGCTGTCCATCACCAGCAGCAATCGGATCGTTCAGCGTCCACAATACGATCGCAGAAGGGCATGACAAGCTGTCGAGCCTGACGTCTCGAGACTGAGCATGTCTTCGCCGAGATCTGCAGATAAATGAGGATTGGATAGAGTATAAGCTCGCTCACTCACAGTCTGCCAGCAGCGGAACACAAAGTCTCGTTGATAGATACACAACAGCGCCGACATTTTTGATGTTGAGAACCTTGGAAGTGAGAAAGCACGCAGACAAGATCGGCGAAATGCAGTGCAAGTGCAAGGATCGTCCTGCTGCCATCCAATCACATCGATCACATCCCTTATTAGCCGCCAGCTCCAGCCAAGCATTCACATCCACTTCGCCCTCTCACTGCTTGGACACGCAATCTTCAATCTCATTGGATTCTCATCTTCGGGTAGCGATGATTCTCATCACTCCCAGCCAAGCCACCTGAGAAGTCGAGCGCTTCCAGAAACGACGTGAGATTTGAGAAGATTGACTGCTGCTTTTCTCTTCGGTTCCTTTTCTGTTGTGTTATAATCCTTGTGTCTCTTCGCCTAAATCTTGAAGGAGCTGGTCTCGCAAGATCTGTTTCGTCCATCATCTTCTTGACTGCATTGTCGGCATGTCGAATCTATTGCCTCTGCTCTGCATTTGTGCCATGCTCCCCACCACAACACTCGCGGCCATGATCAACTCTAAACGCCAAAGTGGAAGTGAGGTTGACACCGAAGCTGGAGCTTCAGGAGGCTCCGGAGGTGGAGGTTCCTATGTCAGTCAAGCAGGCGTTATCGCCATCATTGTGATTGTGGTAATCGTGGTAGTATTGGGCAGTACGGTTTCACCTCTTCCTAAGCCTGCACCAACACTAACAACATGCAGTTGCCTCCACTGTTCTTTTTGTCCTAGCAAAGCGTCGTCAATGGGACGTCCGAGCATCCATCAAACGGGCTTCGCGGCGATTTACAGGTCGCGGTGGAGCCAGCCAGGCAGCAACAGATCGACAATCGAGGCGTGTAGGGATGCAGATGAGCGACATGCCGATTCGACAAGGACACACGAAGCGCGGGCCAGCTGTGGCGGTGAGAGATGTTGAGAAAGGGAGCAACAGTTCTTCGGATAAGAATGTTGCGCACTCGAAGAAGCCGGAAGGGTCCTGGCTTTGGAGAAATGACTGGAAACGATGAAGGTATCAGGGAATCTGATACTTGCTGGGCATACTTAACGATTGTTGCGATTCTATACACCGCCGAGTATCAAGGTTGGAGGATACATCGGTCATCGACGAACGTCCCTTTCACGAATCGTTTTAACCTCCGTCACATTAGATGCTCGCTCACGTTTCGTCTCTACTAGCAGAGTTAGGAATTGTCCACATGAGTGTTCGACCAAGAATGGCGAACGATCCCCAAGATCGCTCCTCGTATCACTGCTAGCTTCTACAATGATGCCAAAATGGCACTCGCGAATCCACTCGGGTCCTGCAACGGCGCAAAGTGGCTAACCGCATTCAGTATCGTCAACTTGCTTCCCTTGATCACGCTGTGTAAATGCGGCGCCACGTTCAGGTTTACTGCTTCATCGTGGTCTGCACCCGCAATCGTAACTTTGGCGCCTTCAATAGCTGCGAGATCTGCGTCGGTCCATGTGGGTAGAATAGCCTCCATTGACGCAACCTTGGTACCGAACGCCTCGAAGTTGGCGTTGGGTTGCAAACTGGCATACTCCGTTTGGCAACGAGAAACGAATTCGCTGTAGACTGATGTGCTTGTGAATGTAGCGTTCGTATCCTTGTAAGTCTGCGAGGCGGCAAAGATGAATGCCTTGTTGATAGTCGTCTTGATCTTGCCGTCAAGAAGTCCGGAGAGAGCTGTGATGGCGCCATCGGACCATCCTACCCAKTTGGCTTGTTTCACACCCAGAGCATTCAGCAGGTCGTAGGTGTCTTTTGCAAAGCCATCGTATGTGAATACGTCCCCAGAGTTGAACGTTGATCGTCCATGACCACGGCGATCAATGGCAATGACATGGTGGGTCTTGCTAAGAATTGGAATTACGCTTCCTAGGTATGCGGAGTATCCTAATCCTCCAGCGAGCAAAACTATGGGAACTCCTCCAGCTGCACCATTGTAGGATTGGGACCAAAGTTGTACGCCATTGATCGGTGTCAAGGCCTTGGTGATTGGAGCTGGTAAAGCCGGGGTTGGGGGGAGGACTTCCCATCGCTCTGCACGCGCCTCGAGGGGAGAGGAGACTACCGTGGCAGCAAGGGCTAGCAAAGAGAGCAGAGATTTGGAGAGCATCTTGTCGGTGAGCGGAGCTGAATGTAACTGTCGCAGAGCAGGTCGCGGTATATATACCTATAGGCTTCGTAACAAAACATCTACCGTAATTAGTCCGCATCATCCCGGTTCGCAAATAGATTCAGCGCGTTGCTGCAATCAGGCAAGAGACCATCGACATCGAAGTAAGCTCACCAGTTCGGCGCAGGATGTTGAACACATGTCTTCTCGTCAGCGCCGATTCGATGGCATGGCATGGGGTGAAATCTAGGGGCACCACCCCGCTTCGATGTCCGAAGAATTAGACGACCGGAATGTCATGTACACAGCGGACGGCCGAGTCGTCTTGGAGCTTGAAGTGATGGGAGTGCTAAGGTTCGGGAGCAAGTGAAGTGAGACGTGATGAATCTTGGATGCTTGGACGGTCAAGAGGGAAAAGCTTTGACCATTCGCGTGTAACCGTTGCCGGCTTCTTGTGTTTTTCGACAGTAAACACTAAAGTAGCAACCACAACGTGCTGACCACGACACTTGCTCGACACCTTCACGATTTGACTTGATTATTCGTTGAGACCTCTATCGCTCTTCGGACAAGTCTGCGTGTATTCCGTGAGACGATCCCAACTACAGACAAGACCCGATTACCCGCCTTTCGTACATACAACACACCGGCATCAATATCATTCTCTGGTAGCAGCCTGGCTTACGACACCAAGATGTACTCGCAATTTCGCAATCCGCGCGCGCCGGGCGTACAAATCCATGCAGTGCCCGAATCCGAACGAGCGGTCGACAGCAATGGACGCCGCCTACCATGGGGCTACGACTATTCCACCACAGCCAACGCGGAGGCTTCAGATCGACGCGAGCCCGTTGACAAAGGTCCTTTTGGTCGGAGTATGCGCAGAAGCCGAAGTGGCTTCAGCCGGTCACGGTCCAAGACGGCAGAGCCCCGGCGGGAAGAGGACAGGATACGGGCAGAGAACATGGCGGCCGAGGATGCAATCTTCGGCTCAATGAAGAAAATCAGCAGTGGCAAAGATGAGGCAGGCGCAGAGGGTGCGGAGAAGGTTGCACGGGCTGCACACGTTGCAGAGTGCGAGAGCGAGCCGACGGAGGTGTTTCTTTATGGCTTCGGAGAGGAGCTGCAGTGGGCCGCCATCGACTTTTACGAGCGCGTTTCCAGCGGAATCATCCTGGAGGACTATGAGCGCCAGCCGCCTGGTCAGCGATTCGATGTTTCAAGAAGCATGGGCAGAAACAGGGCACAAAAGAGCCTCTCGCGAGCGGCCATGCGCAAGAAGAACAAGTTTGCAGGCGGCGAGCATTGGATCAAGGTCACCTTTGACTCACGAAAAGCGAGCGAGCTCGCTATTTCACGCTCACCGCACACCATCAAGGGCTACTTGGTCTACGCGGAACCATATCAAGGGCGGGGGCCCACGCGAGACGAACCACTGTTTGCTACTCAGGCTGGCGTTCAAATCACAAGTGATGTCCTTCCACCCAGCTTCTCGACCGACGATCCCTTCAACCGCAGGTCCAGCGAGTCGGCGACTATGTCATCCGCTACAGCAACCGATGGCGTTCGTGATCAGCAGCAAGAACGTGGACAGCAGCGTCCGCCATGGGGATTCGTTTCGACCAACAACCTTGACGATTCTCCCACAGCTAGCTCCTCCACTTTCAACAACAACGCGCTCTCCCCACGAGCACAAACAACGGCAACGCCAGCCCGATCCACTGGTTTCGAGCAAGACGCTTTATCTGACGCGACCCCGCGTCCGCGTGGATTCCGTGTTGAGGGCGCAGTGCGAGCAGTCGTTCTTCCGGCTGAGATGGCACTGGCACCAAAAACGGCAAAGACTTCCTGGACGTCTTGGATCGGTGCGAGCGAGATCATCGGCTCCGCAGTTCCCAGGAAGGAAAATGGCACGTTCGACTGGGATCGAGCGAGTTTCTACTGGCAGCTCTTCATGTTCATTGACTTGTGGCTGGGCACAGACTTTTGCGGCATGAAGGGCGACGATTGAATTGAAGGATCGCTACCTGAGCATGGCATGGACCTGGCAGTGTCCTTTCGGAGTTATTGTACAGTACATGGATGCATGGATGGGCAGGCAGCACGGCGCAATGGGAAATGAGAAGCATGAATCGAGAGTCGCACTTTTGCCCTACACAGTCGACATACGTAGGTGCACGCAATAATGTTGATACCTGTAATGTCCACGAGACCTATATCTGATCTGTGCTTCCTAATTCGTGATTCGTGCCGAACCGGTACCTGCGTCTTCGGCAATTGACCCTTGACAAGGGCAATGGAAGACACGACACGATACGTCAAAGCCTTCTTCAAGCGAGTGCGCGAGACGATGGAAAAGACGTCGGCAGACGGACGGCTGTTGTCTGCTTCCTCCGATCGTGTGACCTTCTGCGTGTCACTCGTAGCGGATGGAAGCAAGGCAGCGGGGCGGCGAAGAAAACTGGTACTGGGATCGAACAAGCGTCAAGCGCCACTGTCGCATGACCATTTCATTGGCCGACGGCACAGCGCACAATTCGTGACTAACGCGGGCTTTGTTGACCTGACCTGGGTCTTGAGGGGCGCATCGCGGCATCATACCTTCATAACACTGCGTAACCTGCCACCTTTTGCGACAGCATCGGCAGTGGTAATATAATTGCCGGAGAGAGTTCAAGGCGCTGCAACATTGTGAAACTTGCTATTCTTGCTACCCAGGCGTTCTTGCTATTCTCGGCGCGCGGCCCGACAATAGACCACAAGACCTCCAAGACCCAGATTCGACTTCAATCCTACATGCTCGCCCTCATTTTCCAAAGGATGACATAGGTGCGGACCGCAGCAACAAGAGACGCTCTTTCAAATATGGCCTATGATCAGGGTGCAGCCTACGAGCCGCCGCAAAGGAATTATCTGCCTCAGCCGCATGCCTCGAACCCCGCGCATAACGGGTATCAGAACGATTACGCCGAATATGCGAGCACGCCCTACGATCAGTATCCGCAGAATTACGGTCACCAGCAGCATGGTGGCTACGACGCCCAGCCAGCCTACAGCAATGGGCACGCGAGTGGCTATCAGAACAGCGCATACGACGACAGACCACAGGCAAGCCCCGAACGCGCCTATGACCCGAGATATCAGCCTCGCGCACAGAACGGCCCTCCAACAGGTCAAGGACAGCCTCCAGTTCAGAGAGGGCCGCCGCCCCAGCAGGGTAGGCAGCCCCAGCGAGAAGACGCTCGACAGAACGGACGTTCCCAGCAGAGACCGAGAGATCCTCGCGACCAGCGCGGTATGGACCCTAGGGGAAGGGGCAATGGACCGCCCAGCGGAGGTGCACAGGATCCTATGGCGGATTGGAAAGCACGAGAAAAGGCCAAGCTCAAGAAACAAGCGCAGGCTCCGGAGAGTTTGCCTATAGACAATGCATTTCCTGTATTTCCGAAGAGAAACGAGTCTTCCATGGACAGGTCCGGAGGAGCTAGCTCGAGAGCCAGTGGAGACCGCAACAGGCCTCGCACTTCGGGAAATTCACGGCCAAGGGAGGATAAACATGCGACGGGAGCTTCTAGCAGGGCAGAGTACGGGAGGCATGATTCCAACGAGCGCGCCTACGGCGGCCAGAATGTCGCACCACAGCATACTTCCGATAGGCATTGGAATGGAGAGCAGCCGTCAAACAATGCCGGTGCTTCAGCACACGAGCAGTACCCAGCACAGTGGCCCATTGTCGACGACCACGCACAGCCGCCTCCACAGCAAGTAAATGGCTATGCGCAAAGTTATGCGCCAGATCCGCAGGAGTATCAATACAAGTCAAGGCAAGACTCCCAGCCTCGCGCCGCTGCTGTGCCTCGTCCAGCAACTTCTCACGACCAGGCTATTTCCCCGTCCAGCCATTACCCGCAAGAGCCACGGCCGTGGGTTCAACAGGGCCCTGCCAGTGACAGCGGCCACAGCCTAGGAGAGATATATGACGATTATGCTGATACCAGCGCCGAGCCGCAGCCGGGCCAACTGAAGCGCGTTCCCACGAATCGCGATGAGGAGATTGAGTTCGAAATGCCAGACTTTGACAGTGCGGCACCTGGGCAGACATCACTTGCTCAGAAAAAGGCTGCCCCACCACCTATAGACTCCATGGCTACTGCCACGCCTCCTCCAGTTTCTAGTGCGCGATCTGCTCCTCCAGGTGTGCATGGCAACGGCTATGGCCCAAGACCTCCATACGATCAATCCAGCAGATCTACACCAGCTCTCAACCAACAACGCGGAGCGCCGCCAGGTAGAGGTATGCCCGGCCCGTACGCGCAACAAGGTTATGATCTGCCACATCGCGGGCCTCCTCAGCAAGATCCAGGATATGGACGAGGCGGACCAATGCAGCCTCCTCGTGCTCCATTCGCGCACGAGCCACCTGCACGGCGGTCTCTAGATGATGCCAGGCAGGGACCACGGCGTCCCGGTCCTGGTCAGCCTCCTCCGCCACAGCGATTTGATCAGTATGGCAGACCTATACGACCGCCACCAGGACCAGGACGACCAGACATGGATCGCAGCGCGACTTGGGCTGATCCACGCCAAGTGCGAGGCAACGGGCCACCACCACCACCGCATCAGCAAGGCCCACGAGGACCTCCCAATGGTGCACCGCTCACCCAGCAACGCTCGAACCCRGATGCACTCCCACAACACCCAGTACCTGTACGTCCTGGGCTTATGGAACAGAGCGAACCACAGGCAGCTAAGCCTCCACCTGTTCGAAACTACAACGGCACAGGATCCATACCTCCCACATCCTCTGGTCCACCACCTGCTCCAAGTGCTCGCGACCGCCAAGCTTCGATCGATCTCTTCGCTAGGCCTGTGACGCTCGCAGAGATTGATCAACTGCGCGCCGCTGCCGATTCCACCAACAGTCCGAAACAAGGATTGATTCTTGTGAAGAAGCTGGTTGAAGCCGCCGCTGTTCTGGCCACAGAAGGCGGCCGTGCAGATCAGAAAACCACGGCCAAGAATCGCGAACGTTACATCACGGAGGCGTACAAGCGATTGAAGAAGCACGTCACAAACGGATACCCTGATGCGCAATTCTACCTGGCAGACTGCTACGGCCAAGGCATGCTTGGCTTGGAGGTTGACACCAAAGAAGCTTTCAAGCTCTACCAAGCAGCCGGCAAAGCCGGACACCCGCAAGCCGCCTATCGCACGGCCGTTTGCTGTGAGATGGGTCCTGAGGAAGGTGGTGGTACTAGTCGTGACTACCCAAAGGCTGTGCAGTGGTACCGCCGCGCCGCCGCGCTTGGAGATGCGGCTGCCATGTATAAGATCGGCGCAATCCTGTTGAAGGGCTTGCTGGGACAGCCAAGGAACATTGCAGACGCGGTGACTTGGTTGAAGCGAGGTGCTGAACGTGCAGATATCGATCATCCCCACGCTCTGCATGAATTGGCCGGCCTGTACGAAAGTGCCAACACGAATCCTGAAATCCGCAACAAGGTCATCGCCGACGATGCGTATGCGCGGGATTTATTCCAACAGGCTGCAGGGTTGGGCTACAAGTTTTCGCAATTCAGGCTGGGACAAGCCTATGAATATGGATTGCTGGGATTGCCAACCGATAATCGTACAAGCATCAGCTGGTATACGAAAGCTGCTGCACAAGGAGAGCACCAGGCTGAGTTGGCGCTCAGTGGATGGTATCTCACAGGCGCGGAGGGTATACTGGAGCACAGCGAGACGGAGGCCTATCTTTGGGCGAGAAAAGCCGCTGCTAGTGAACCGCCGTTGCCCAAGGCTATGTTTGCCATGGGCCATTTCACTGAGGTGGGCATAGGATGTCCTGCTAATATGGAAGAGGCGAGGAAGTGGTACGGAAGGGCTGCTTCGCACAAATTCCCAAAAGCTATTGAAAGGTTGGAGGAGTTGAGGAAAGGTGGTGGCAAGGCTGGGAAAGCGCCGCAGGGGAAACTCTCGAGGAAGGAGGGGAAGAGAGATCAGAAGAAGGATGAAGAGAATTGTAGTGTGATGTGAGGGACCTTGTAAATTAAGGCATTGTGGCGGCGTCCTTTCGTGCAGCATGTGCATCTGAATAGCATGGAAACAGTAGGCTTGTAACCTACATTACAGGTCGTTTTGCGCAGGACCAACAACGTCGGTTCCAACTCGCTACGGCGACGTTGTTGAGGTCGTGTATCTCTCCAGGTACTATTGAGACTTCGCTGGACCAAAATAGGTCGTGACAGGGGCTCTTTATCAATTCCTCGTCACCTACTATGGCAAAGCAGCCATCTCCGGTCGGTCATCGGTAGCCGGGGACAAATTCGGGGACCTGGATCGTCTTCACAGCCTCCAGCATCGGTTGCGAGGAAGGCGTTCTTGCATTATTTCATTCCCAGCATTCCCAGCAAGAGAGTTTGTCAGATGGGCTCATGAAAAAAGTATCCCGTTTCCTCTCTGGATCTGGATCGACCCGTCGATATGAAGTACATCTTGTATCGAATGGCATAGGAGCGGCTCGGTTCGATGCTATTCGGTGTGTTCTGTTCACTTCACCTCCGACCCCGTTGCTRCCGTTCGGCAACGTGGCATAGTGGCCGTTTGTATCGATCCGATGATGATGAGACGACCAGTTCTTTGCTTCGAGGCTTCGCCCAGATCGGCGTCGTCCGCCAGCATCGTGTCATAATGTCGATGTTTTGTTAACGACGTCTCAGTCTCGCACTCGTTCCGACGTCAATATATGCTAGCGCAAAGTGATGAAAGTGGCGCGCTTGAGACGGACAGCAACACGCCTGTGACAGCTGCAAGGATGTCGAAGTGTTCCAGCTCTTGSCGCTGATCTTCCCGCCATCAACAGTAGCTTGCGTTTGGAACCACCGCCATGAACTCCGCGATAACGGCTCGTTTCGCGGAAGTCTATTCCCCTCTCCCTCGTGCAACGCTCGCGAGTTGAGCAAGAGCACACGTGATGGCTAGGGAGACTTCGCCGATCGCACCTGGGCCACCTGGCTTTGCAAAGCTAATTCAATACCACCGGAAAAGGTGTAACGATACGCCAGGAATCTGCTCCATCGTCAGGCACGCTGTTGATCATCATGCCAGACACTGATGTGTACCCAACCCAGCAGCAAGAGAAGCTCATTCGCTTATCCATATGTGATACGTACTCGCCAAAGGTTTGTAACGCTGCCCGTGATTGAGAGCAGTGGCTAATCATTATCCCAAAGGTATGGGTCACTCAGACGCACTTCTTCCCATTGAAGAATCAAGATGACTTCATTCGCATTCACGAGGTTCTCCGGGAAGGTCTGAAACGCACACTTGACGAGATACCGGCACTGTACGTCTCGCACATCCGAACACCACAATCAGAACAAGACACGAAACACTTACACGTTCCCCAGGGCTGGCACGATTCTCCGTGAATCTGACGATCCGCGAGACATTTCCATCAAGATTGAAAATGACTCGCATATTGAGTTCCCTCGTGAAGACCTTTCACAGCAAGAGAGCATTCCAAGCTTCTCAACCCTCGAAGCTGATGGATTTCCTATGAAAGCTGACCTTGTGTGGGCCTTTTCCAAACCAGAGACGCTCACTCCTACTTCCGAAGGTGCTCGTTTGCTCGCCGTGAAGCTCAATCTAATCAAGGGCGGCCTGGCACTTTCATTCGGTTTCAATCATCTGCTTGCAGATGCATCTACTGTGGCAGAAGTGGAGAGAATATGGTCGCTTCACAGCGCAGATATCAGTGCTGGTCGAGAGCAGCAACGATATAAGGGTGAAGTCGATGACTCTGCCATACGAAGTCGCCTCTCGAAACCTTCAGATGGCGTAGGTCCATTCACAGACGAGCATTGGAAGTTGTTCCCCACAGAATTCTCGCAGCTCCACCTTTCGAGAACTGCCGTGACCAAAGAAGCCGCGTTGTCCACCTTGGAGCAGACCAAGGAAGCCCATCTGGCAGCCTTGGGGGGTAAGGTCGAGAAGACTTTGTGGGCCATCTGGGAGTTCTCCCCAGAGAGTCTCGTGCAGTTGAAGAAAGACGCTACTGGGACCGATGCTGCGCAGTGGATTTCGACAATGGATGCACTCGTCGGCCTCTTCTGGTCTCGATTCTCTGCAATCAAACAGAAGAGTAAGGAAGGACATGATCAATCACTTCTCTTGTTTCCCATCAACATTCGGCAACGTTTGCAGCCCGCGATCCCTGCGCAGTATATTGGCAACGCAGTCGACATTGTCTTCGCGGAGACCTCTCTGGCTGAGCTAGAAAAGAGCGAGTCCGGGCTGCAGTACGCCGCCCGTGAAGTTCGGAAAGCCGTTGCAGGCTACAGTACCTCAGCCTGGGCTGCGTGGCTCACAATGGCAGCAGGATTGCCAAACGACAAAGCAATCTGTCCGGATCCTGTCAGATTACTCGCAACGCACAATCTTGGCTTCAACGACTACTCGAAGTCGCAATCGAATACTTTGGATTGGGGTTCTGATCTGGGAAGGGCCGCTCGCACAAGATACTGCAAACCGGCAGCATCATTGGCTGGCTGCGCTCCAGCGGTTATTGTCAATCCGAGACTTTTTGACGGTGGGCTTGAAGTGGCAACTACCGTGACAGAGGAGCTGTGTGCTGCCTTACAGAAGGATGCTGTGTTCGAAAAGTATGGCAAACTTACTACAGCTTACCTGTAGTTTCAACACAAGACGCGAGATCCTGGTTTTCAAGGACTTTGTGGAGTTGAACACTTGCAGTCTAGACAGGCGAAGCTTTGCAGGCATTTCTTGGAGAAGATGGTGTCAGTAGGCGTTTGACTCATGGGTCGTCATGGTCTAGAATTGTGAGCCCTGTCATTTCTACCATTTCGGGAAGCATTATATGGAAGCGAGTCAATAGAGGGAGTCAGCTCCGTATAGAAAGTCGATCTGTAATTTGCAAAGTCAACGAGTCGAGAATCGACAAGGGATTAAAATTTGGATATATTGCTCCTGGACTGCCCCGGACGACATGAGTCGTAGAACCACAATCTGCCGATTGTCCACTTCAAACCACATCGCTTTAGCCTCTGACACGGGGTTTAGTCTCATTGAGAAAATTTGATTGAGACTAAGATTGCATCGTCGGTGCCTCATACACGACGACAAATCTATAGAGTCRGATATGTATATGTATTCTAGCAATGTTTGGTATCGTGGTCGTAGCTGTCATCGTGGTAGCTGCAATAACGTGTAAAATCGCCTGACCATGGCGAGCGAATGAATTAAAATTGGCCATGTGATGTAGGTGGGTATCGGGGGAATCAAAGCGATGCGGTTGCAAACCCGCCGGTCTGGCTGCGACCGGCAAGCCCTAGAGCAACACCTTTTCCTAGCAAGTCCTCCATTGATGCTGGTGCGCGCCATGAGGTTGCGTGTAGTGGTTGCTGAGCTGTGTGAAGGATGTTCCTTTGCTGCAACAAGTCGTACATCCAGGTCATCTGTAGTCGTGTCAGTGTTGTGCAGTTGCATGAAGTTCTTCACACTTACTGTGGGTACTGAAACGCCAACCCTCGCAGCTTGTTGGCAAATGTAGCCGAAGATTGGGGTGAGCTCCATCGGACGCTTACTGCGAGCGTCTTGTAATGTTGATGGCGTGATCGCAGGTGCTGCTCTCGCCAATTCGATCGTTTTGTTGGGAAGATCCGCGTCAAGCTCAATGCCACTTGCAATGGCGACATTGAATGCCTCACGTGCGAGTTGGGATACAAGTAGAATAGCGCTGGGGTGTTCAAGAAGTTGGTGGGTATCCAGTCCGGTCAAAGCTGTGGTTGAGTTCCAGGCACTGTTGAAGATCAACTTCCTCCATCGTTCCTGWCGAACGCAATCGATGCTGTCGAACTCAGAGTCCATGGAGACGAGAGCATCACGTCTTCGGAGATCGATGTTTCTGTGCTGGCCGTGCACTCCAATAAGGAATGCGTGCTTCTTGATGTGCGCATCTTGGACAATCATGCCGTGGTTTGCCTGATTGCATCCGATGTTGCAAATGGCAGTCAATATTGTGTTTCTTGGGAACGCTTGTTGTATTGGAACTTCAACATCCATTCCATTCTGAGCAGCGACAAGGGTAGTATCCGGTCCCACGAGAGCCTGTAGATCTCGGATTGCGCCGGAGTGGCYATTGATGATTTTGTTTGCCAGGATGATGTAGTCGAAGTGTTGTCGAGGTTGACGCTCAAAGCCGCCTGCTCTGTGGACATGATGGGGCTTCCATGCAGCGCTTCCCCATTTCTTGGTTTGTAGGATGTAACCCGATGCATTGACTCTCTCATAGTTTGACCTGCAAACTACAGAAACAACGTTCTTTGCGCTTGACTGTGCTAACCTCCAACCACTGTAGAAAAAGTAAGCATGCTGCGTGAATCGAGACGATCGTTGTGGGGACTAACAAAATCCCGCCAACCGCTCCTCCTCCATAAACCAGCACATTGGTCGACATGTTGTCCGTAAAGAAACAAGAAAGTGTCGAGATCGGGAATCGTGGGTCAATTAGTAGTAGCCCATGCAATCGCAAGCTCCTCAATCCTCACGCCTGAATCGGAAACACCAACGAATGTTGAAACAAAAGCATTCCTCCAACGCAGGAGAGATAAGATGTGGGCACCCACTAACTCTTAGACCAGGCTATCTCTGCCCAGGCCACGCACTTCATTTGAAGAGCCTGCTGCTACTAACGTGCTCGTTGCAACGTGGGAGTAGATCGAGTTGTGATCTGCAATTGTTTGCACCTTCCAGAATCCACATGTCCAATCTACCCAACGAATCATGTGCCTGAAAAGGGTACCGCTGCCCGTTGAGCGGAACGTGTTGGAGGCATACCAATATTTGAGAGTTCCATCTGCGCGACCGTGGGTGACATGGTGGTTTGAAAGCATCGGGGAAACTGAGGAGAGACTAGCCGAGCAGTGTTCCATCATTCATGCCATCGCGTGTCGGGTTCTTCCACTTGCTCCTTGTTACAGCTGATGCGGTAATCTCGGGCCAAGTCTGGCTTGCGCGATTGGAGCAAATCTTGTCCCCAGAGCGCGTAGCTCCAGCAGGATGATGCCATGCTCCCAGCGGTGGATACATGCACTGGAATTGGAAGGTCGTATCTGTCTTGCGCGTCTCGATGACTTGGAGGCGTTGTCGAAGTCATGGCATGAAGTCTACCAATCGCGCTCATCGGCTCGTACAAAGGAAGTGCTAGTAAGGTAGCCCCTTAGCGTCGCCACACGGGATGATCTTTGAGCAAGCCCTTGCTCACCTTCGTCGGCCCGTCTGTCGATCGAAACTCTCTTTTCGCAATCCACCATTCAAGGCAAGCCTCGTTCTATCGCATCCGGTTCGCAAGATTCAACAATTACCAGCTTTCGGAGTCGGAGTCGGGTTCGGACTCGGCCGTGGACAAGAACGACGGGTCAACACGACTACGCTGAGTGACGAGGAGGGAAGTCCAGAATGACGCACGATGAATGAAACTACGAGTGGATGTCAACGTTGGTGGGAGACTGCTTCCATGAGGAACGGGTCAGGGATGCTGTGGAGATTTCGGCGCATTGCTACATCAGCATTCACTACACCATGCAACACAATCATGACGAGGCGTCAGAAGCCAACAACCCAAAATCGGCCCTATCCGCAATGGATGCCAGTACAGGTCATATCAGCACCTGGAGGTACTATCTTACGCGAGCTGGAAGGTCGATCGCGGCACATGTGGCACATGGGATGAACCGTTACGAGTAGTTGTCCAGGTTTCTCCGGTCGGGAGGAAATGTCGTAGAAGTGTTGATGCTAGTAACGACGCTACCCAAATTACCGTCAACTGAACAATTCCGAATCGATAAGGAACGAGACAGCCAAACGTGTAGCTGTGTGCAAGTGGCGTTCAGAAGGTGGAGTCGCAGCCAATGCCCCAGAGCAAAGCCTCATGAAGCCACAGCCATAATCCCGCCAACAGGCTTTGCGCCAGTGAAGGCTAACTTCTTACTGGAGGCGCTGAAAGACAGCCTGCACTGTGCTGTAAGAAACATGACTAGAAACACTCTCCTGAGTCTCAACCAATTCATTGGGCGCCTTGTATCAAATCTTGGCAAACCGCCGGAGCACTTTGTCAACATGTCATGTCTGCCGATCGTTCTTTGGCAGGCCCAAGCTCACGGAGTCTTATTGTGGCTCCCCTTGGAACAACGATATGTGCAATGTTGCAGTCGAGAGGTCGTACCATTCGAAAGTTCAAGCCATGCTCGCTGCGCCCGATCCGGGAATCTTATCTGGTTTCAAGTACAAACGGCTACTCAGGGCCGCTTTCGACACTAGAGGTGACCAAAGTGAACTAAACTGTCGCGAGCCCCGCCGCCTTGCTAGCTAGTGTTCATTCAACAGCTTAACGAATATTTCCCGCCGTGATCATGGCCTTCCAAAATGCAATTCGGTTCTTTCTTCCTTATCATCGAAGCGTTGTTGAAGAGAAGAGTTCCGAGGACGAAATGGCTTCGAATGCAGCGCCCACACACATTATCGATCTTCTTCGAAATGCAGCAACAGCTTCTCCTTCAAATGGCTGCCTCTATCTCGAGAGAGGCTTGAGCGAAGATGCGACCAGAGAGAGCTATGCCGAGTTGTATCAAAAAGCACAGGTGTGTAGAGGCTGGAGATCAACCAAGACAGCCTGCCAGTGGAAGCTAATCGCAAGGTTAGGAAAACGCAGTCCGCCTGTTAGAAGCTGGCATCGTTGGCAAAGGGAAGCATGTAATCACATACTTCGACGACCAGAGATCCAATGTCCTATGGTTTTGGTCAGTCGTTGCTGCTGGAGGAATCTGCGCCATCCTCAACCCAATCTCCAACGAACCGAAGACAGCTGCCGGCCAGCTCGAGAACATCAAGACACTCTTCCCCGATACCACAGTCATAACAAGCCACAAGCTGTCTGCAATCTTCATCTCGCAACGACTGCCAGTAAGCACGGTCGAGGACATCCTCGAGAACAACCACCGAGTTTCAGTGAATGGCAATCTTCCAACAGTTGCATCGTCCGCTCCGGATGAGGACATCGCAGCGATCCTCTTCACCTCTGGCAGCACAGGCTTCTCAAAGGCAGTCAAGTTCTCACACACCCAGCTCATTGCTTCGGTCAAAGCAAAATCCAGCTACCTGGAGACACAGGATTTGTCGTTCATGTCTTGGGTCAGCTATGACCATTCGGCATGCTTCTGCGAAATCCACCTCCAAGCGATGTATAATGGCACAGATCAAGTTCTTGTACAACCATCAGACCTTGTACAAGAACCATATCGTGAGTTGAACACCACAGAAAATCTTCAGGAGTCAGTTTCAGTCAGCTGACGATTACCTCGTTCATCAGGGTTCTTCAAGATCATCAGCGATTACAAAATCGGCTACACATTCTCACCCAACTTCTTCCTCGCAGCAGCAGTCGAATCACTCTACCGACAGGACCCCACAAAGTTGAGCATAGACCTGAGCACGCTCCGGGTAATCATGTGCGGTGGAGAGGCAAACCGAACAAAGACGTTGGGTGCCGTTGATGAGGTTCTCCACAGATACGGAGCTCCGAAATACTCAATCAAGGCAGCGTACGGCTTGAGCGAAACCTGCTCAGCGTGCTTTTACAATCTCCGCAGCCCCGATTACGATTTGGAGAATGGCAACACTTTTGCTTCCGTGGGCAAGCCATTACCAGGTGGACTGGAGATCAAGATTGTGCCGATTGGTGATGAGACCGAGACCAATCCGGGTGAGGGCCTGGTATATCTCAAGGGACCAGTCATCTTCAAGGGATACCACAACAATGAGGTGGCCACAGCTTCCGCATTGACCGAGGACGGTTGGATGAACTCGGGCGACATTGGAGCTCTGGATCAGAACGGCAACCTGCGACTTCTTGGTCGGCAAAAAGAGGTGCTCATTCTGAACGGCAACAACTACTCATCCTTCGAGATTGAGTACGCGCTTGAGACCGGCAACATTGCTGGGTTGACCACATCATACACTGCAGTCTTCTCCACATGGAACGAAGCTGCATCGTCAGAGGCTGTGGTAGTGCTTTTCAACCCAACCGAGGCAGCTATCGGACCCAAGAACATGCGAGCCACGCTCCAAGCCATCGACAAGAGCATCTTCAGCATCTGCGCCCAAAAGGCACTTTCGATCATTCCACTCCCCAAGAACCTCTTGCCCAAGTCAACGATTGGCAAGCTCTCCCGCGCAAGGCTGAAGCAAGAGTTTGAAAAGGGCTCCTTCAATGATTACATCATTCAAGAACAGCCGGTGTCCAAGCTTGCAAAAGCACAAGAGAAGTCTCTGGACTCGCTCTCTCCACTCCAGAAAGAGATAGCACAAATCTACGCCAACATTGTCGGCGTCGCACCCGAGGAGCTGGTTGGCCAGGATGCGCTGCTCTCATCAGGAATCAACTCGCTCGGTTTCATGCGATTGAAGAAGGCGCTCGAAAAGGGTTTGAAGATCCACCAGGACATTCCCATGCCATTGCTCATCCGCTGCCATTCGCTTGCAGAACTCGAGCATGAGCTCACTCTGATCGGAACCGTTTCGAAGGAGTACGATCCTATCGTGCCTCTTGCAACCCAAGGCAGCAAGCAGACACTTTTCCTCCTTCATCCTGGCGCGGGCGAGTTCCTCTGCTGGATGGGACTTATAAAATACCTTCCAGACAGACCACTGTATGCTCTCCGAGCGAAGGGTCTCCACCCGGGCGAGGGTACTTTCAAGGATTTGCCGGACTTGCTGAACTGCTATTACACGGCCATTCGAAGAGTCCAGCCCAAGGGACCATACGCCATGCTTGGCTATTGCTTTGGTGGCCTCCTCTCTTTTGAGCTCGCCAAGATGTTTGAAGCCGATGGCGAACAAGTTATCTTCTGCGGTGGTATCGACAACCCACCCTCGCTCAAGAGCACTATTGGACAGGTGCGATATCGATCCCTGATGATCGACGTTCTGCCAGTTGTGACAGGCTATACCGAGGACGAAGCACGAGCGTTCGGCGAAGAGACCGCGGGCCTCACCGACGAAGAGTTCTACGCCATGTTGTTCACCAAGTTCTCCCCAGAATTCATCGAGAACATGGACATCACCGTCCCTCGCCTGCAAGCTTTCGGCCGCGTGGAAGATTGTATGCGTGCCATTGCAGCAGAGTACGATCCGTCTGGCTCAATTGCCACAACGGACATATTCTGCGCCGACCCCATGCCGCACTTTGGAGCGACACCAGAGAAGTGGAGGAGTGACGTTCTGGGCCTTTGGAAGGGATTCGTCAAAGACGAGAACGTCAAATTCCACAACGTTGAGGGCAACCACATCAGTTTGATTAAAGAGCCACAGATCCAGACGTTCCAGGTCACGGTCAACGACGCGTTGGCAGCACGCGGCGCTTGATCGGTGGGTGTTTATTGTATTCTTTACGACTGGCGTCAGGGCGGAACGGAACCTAGAGCAGGACCAGGCATAAAGTACGGAGTTATTGGTTAGCATGTCGACTTGAGATTCCCAGGGCCCGAATAGCATCTGATTTGCTGAAATTTCCGTTCTTCCAGCTCAGCCTCCATGGTAGTGACATTGGTAACTGCAGCGGCCATTCAGTGCCATGGTATGCAGCCGCGCGGGCGGAGAGTGGGCGTCTGTTCCAAAATGACTGGTGAAACGCAGACGGAGCGCAAATTTGGAGCCGGAGCTGTTGCGGCGCGGTTGTTTCGCGCCATCATGCGGCGTGTCTGCGTCCTTTGAAATTCGCTCATGTGGAAATCCTGCAAGGTGCTGATAATGGCAGACGCTGGCACATCTTGATGATGATGATGATGATGATCTTGTTGTTAATGGAGTTGGTGCGAGTGGCATCTCGGAGCGGTTGCGGCCTGTTTGACACGGGCCCACAGAAGGATGGATTAAGCTACGCGCCGTCGCTCCACAAGCATTGATCGCTGGAGCATATCCAAGGCTTGTTGACCGTCATCGCAAACATCGAATGTGTTGAACTCCATCCCCTCCATCTTCATGACTACCTTACTTATTTTCCCTCAGCTTTCGCGACATGGGTGCGCTTTCTTGGAGACAAGGATTGCCAGCTAAGAATAGGAGTACGACGATGAAGCTTATATCGCGTGGCCCGGCGCTTCGCTTCGCTTGCTTGCTTGCTGGCTTGCGTCGCCCTGCCCCCGGTCTGTACGATTGAAGGTAATTGTCGTCGTTGTTCATCCTCCTGCGTCTCATGATTCTTCCATTCAACACGTGTGCACTGCTGTAGCCTGTCCACTCATTTGAACCGCGCTCCGAAGCAACTACGATCGTCAACTCGACACTTCCTCGAAGCGAACAAAGAGCCACACTACAAGCCGCCACGCAGAAGGAGGCGATACCAGATTCGCTTGAAAACACACGCACACATCGCATACAATGCGAACCACAGCGCTTTTCGGCAGCGTCCTACTGGCAGCGCAATCTGCTCGCTCGCTCGATCTCGACCCGGACAATGCGGAGTCAGTAAAAGCAGCTACTTCCAAGATCGCGGCCAACATGTTGGACTGGTACAAGGGCGACGAGTCTCCCAACGCGCCTGGACTGCTCCCTCCGCCATACTACTGGTGGAATGCCGGCGCCATGTTTGGCTCACTGATCGACTACTGGTACTACACCGGCGATGATACCTACAACGCGGTCACGACGGAGGCGATGCTCTTCCAGGTTGGACCCGATGAGAACTACATGCCACCCAATCAGAGTAAGTCGCTCGGAAACGATGACCAGGCATTCTGGGGAATGGCTGCCATGTCTGCCGCAGAGGCCAAGTTCCCGAATCCTCCAGAAGATAAGCCGCAATGGTTGGCACTTGCACAGGCCGTTGTAAACTCCCAGATTCCACGATGGGACGACAAATCTTGTGCAGGAGGTTTGAAGTGGCAAATCTACACGTTCAACAATGGATACAACTACAAGAACTCCATCTCAAATGGATGCTTCTTCAACCTAGCCGCACGCCTGGGCATGTATTTGGGGAACCAGACCTATCTTGATGAAGCTGAGAAGCACTGGGAATGGTCTCAAACCATCGGTCTCATCAGCAAGGATTATCAAATCTACGATGGCACCGACGACACCTTGAACTGCACAGATTTCAACCACATCCAATGGAGCTACAATTCTGGAGTGTACCTCTTGGGAGCGGCTGTCATGTGGAATCAAGTACGTTGCGTAAGACTTTCCAACATGTGACTAGTGCTAATCTCGTCTCCAGACTGAGAGTGACCCTACCAAGCAAGCTTTGTGGAAGAGTCGCATTCAAGGTCTGCTCGACTCTGCGAGTCGCATCTTCTTCTACCAGGACACGGGTATCATGTTTGAAGTCGCCTGCGAGCCTTCTGGTAACTGTAACTTGGACCAGCAATCTTTCAAGGCCTACCTCTCCCGTTGGATGGCCGCCACTGTCAAAGTTGCGCCTTGGACCCATGATATCATCATGCCGCTCCTCAAGACTTCAGCCATTGCGGCTGCGAAGGCCTGTACGGGAGGCGGCGTACAGGATGCAACATGTGGAGGCAAGTGGTTTCAGGGCACATACGATGGCCAAAAGGGTGTGGGTCAGCAGATGAGTGCACTGGAGGCCATCCAGAGCATGCTCATTGACCAGGTCCAAGGACCTGTCACCAATTCATCGGGTGGAACCAGCCGGAGTGATAATCCCAATGTTGGTTTAGGGGGAGATGACAATGCCGGAGTCCCTGTCCCAACGATCACCACGGCTGATCGTGCTGGCGCCGGCATCCTGTCCGCGCTTGTGATGATAGGGATTCTTGGAGGGGCATGGTGGATGCTGGCCTAAATGAATTGCGAGCAAATATGGAATGAGTCGGCAAGGTATGCGCTGTGTCGAGTATGTTGTTTAGCAGGCGTCTCGCCTGCACTGCGGGAAATGTCGGAGTTTGAAGGATATGACCAATTGAGCTGGCTGGCTTCTTGTGCAAGGCGTTTTGCGTCGTGCGACACGAGATATGATGTACTACCTTTATTGTAGGCCGGATTGCCCGAGATCGAGCGCTCGCTACAAACTCGCAAGACTTCGTCCAGTGTGCGATGTTGTGAACACAGAGGGACACTTTCGGTGAGAAAACCGAGAGCGGTCAGCTGAACGGTGGGCATAGGGGACACCACACAGACGTCAGCAGTGGAAGTTGTCTGAACCTCGCTTGGGCGGAGGACATGAAAGACACTACTACGGACGAGCGCTCCATCATCGTTCGCTGTCGTGCACCGATTCGAGCTCATCTGGAACCAAGCCTCGGCGACAAGGAACAGTCAATAACAAGGTCATCCTTTATTGCCTGCGCTTCTACACGTTACTAGATATTCGCCCGCTAGTCAAGTTCATCAACGATGAGAAAACGTAGGCGGTAAGGTATCAATCAAATATCTGGACAAGTTTGCAGAGACGCAAACAGACGCAGAGATTTGACCAAAGTCCGCTGTTGACAGCTACAAGCTCGTGCCGCGGTTTGCAGGCTACCGCGCGAGCATAATAATCAATCGTCGGATTACGTGGTTCTCATGCAGGGTCGCATCGCATGTGAACATGTGGGCGGCCAAACGGCTTTGACGTGGGGTGGAAGCGAGCCGCTTGGCATGCGGTCAGCAGGACACCTCAGCATGTGAGAGCTCGAGCTCGAGCTCAGATCACAATCACATTCACCAACACCGTCTCAAGGACATGTCAAGCAGGATTTGGAGAACGGATATGATTTGGTTTGATGTGTTTAATGAGCGTTCCGTGTCTCCGTTTATTTCCTCCACAATGCAATCTTCCTCCTCTCCTCCCCTCAACTTCCTGGACCTATGCTGCAATCATCGTCGAATGGGAATGGAGCGGACATTGACATGGCATTCCCTCATTCTCGGTCTGATTCAGACATATCGTGTCGTTGCATTTACTTCTGCGAGTAGAGAACATCGAGTTAGCAAAAAGGATAGCGCCCGGCGAGAGCGGAAAGGGACCTTACGCAGTTGCAGCTTTCCTTGCTGGCGCAGGAGCAGCCGGAGTTGCAGTTGCATGGACCCATTTTGATTGGATGGTTTGTTGGTTTTTGGTTTGAAGTGGTGTGGTGTTGGTGAAGCTTTGTGATGATGACCTTGATGGTTTGGCTGTGGAAAGAGAAGCAGAGTGGCCGACCGTGGCATTAATATATACCATTCGACGACCACCCCCATCCCATCACGCGCCCACTCACAGTCCGTGAATGTGGATCCACATTGGACTACTGCAGCTCAAGGTTTCAGTACAGCGCATGTATTTCGTGGAGAGCAAGTCGATTCATCCCACGTCCTGTGGGCGTAACCAGCATGGTCCAAGTTGCTATATGGGCGCTAGTTCGCTTCGCTGAGACGCTGGTATTGGTCGACGGTTCCGAGCTACGGAGCTGTTTCTGTATGCTACCTGTTGATCCAGCTCCGGAATCATTACCGTCTACATCCGGCAACTCCAAATGAGCTCTTCATTGGGGCGAGGAGCTTCGCGACACGCGATCATGTCTGAGCTTGCCCGTTATAACTGTGGAACAGAAAGTCAGGCGTGCACCGTATGACACCTATCCGAAGCCTGGGCGAATTGTCTTGTGATAGAGACGATCTCAGACCTGTTGGCCGGCTGTGCTTACCGCTCCTGCCACACCCACGCTTACCTAGGTCCTCCTATCAGAAACCCACAAGTCGACGGATCCCTTGCCACCTTCGCGGCATGTTTTCTCCATAGCCGAGAAAGACAACACCCACTGCGGCTCTCCACGCACCCTCCCGCATTGGGTAATCAAGGTTAGCCGGGATGGACGTCTTGATGAGTGAGGGCCATCTGTCCACGCATATCGACTTCGCATTACACACACTACGCAGGCCTTCTTGCCCAGCGAAACGACCGTAGCCCGATCCCCTGAACAGGWCACACGTTAGCATGTAACTTCAATTGCGAGAAGAACACAGCGTACCTGACACCACCGAATGGCAGCTGGCAGACATAGTACGCTGCAAGATCATTCTCAGCGACCATCCCCACCTTCAAGCCGTTTGCAACATGATTCAGTGCATCTCGGGCCCGTGATGTGGAAGTGGGTCCATAAACACTCGCTCCCAAGCCATATGCCGTGCTGTTGGCAATTTCAATAGTCTCGTCAACACTTTCCGCCCGCATCAATACACAAACGGGTGCGAAGAGCTCTTCCTGAGCTATCCTCATGTCAGACGTCACATCCACAATGAGAGTGGGAGTGAAGTAATGACCCTGTGGGTAATGCTCGTGCGTGAACCGATGTCCACCCACGAGGAGCCGCGCGCCACTTGCCGTTGCCTCCGCAATCAAATGCTCCAGACGGTCAAAGGACGTGGGACTGATTAGGGCACCGCAGTCAACGGTTGTCTCAGGGTCAAGGTCGTTCCCCAGTCGAAGTCCCTTGATACGAGGCTCCAGCATTTCGATGAGTCTCTCGTACGACTTTGGCTGAGCAATGATGCGCTCTGTACCAACACAGTTCTGTCCCGACGATTGAAACACACCCCTCATCAAAATACTGCATACTCTTTCCATCTCCCCGCTCGACATACATCGCTGCTTGGTATCGTCCAGGACTATGGCAGCATCCTTTCCACCGAGCTCTACACACAGAGGCGTCAGCGCCTTGGATGCACTCTTCGCGACAGCGTGGGCCACTGGTCTGCTCCCGATGAATGTCAGATGGCTGAGTCCTGGATGCGAAGTAAAGTGCTCCGCTGTCTCTGGCCAGCACGCAAAGCCCTGGACGACGTCTGGATCAAAACCACAGGCTGACAATGCACCCCGAACGATGTTGGCGAAGTATACGGACGACCAGGCAGTCTGCTCGCTGGTTTTGACAACGATGGCATTGCCAGCGAAGATGGACGATATCACTGGACCAAGGAAATTATGAAACGGGTAGCTGGGAAGAGTCAGTGGCTGGGCAATATGTTCGTCTGAAGCTCGGCGACTTACTTCCAGCTCACACATGCGGCAACAACTCCCAGAGGCTCGTAGCGAATCTCATTCTTCTTATAGAACATCAACAGGTTGGTAGAACGCCCGTCGGCCGAGAGGGACTTTTCGCCATGGTCAAGCATCCACCTGATCTTCTCTGCGGTGACAAGAATCTCTCCGAACAAGGCATCAACCCTGGTCTTGCCGCTGTCAAGGCACGCGGTTCTGATAATGTCTGCTTCATTGTCGAGTATGAACTTTAGAAGAGTCTTCAGCACCTTACGACGTTGAGCGAAAGTCGTTTTGCTCCATGTCGATTGTGCGGCGGCGGCGCGAACGATCAACCGATCGATCTTGTCCGGTGTGGCAGGGTTGATGAGGGAGATCAACTGTCCAGTGGCAGGAGCGTAGCATTGTATAGCGTTTGAGCCGGTCACCTTGATGGACGGGCTTGGAAGCTCCTTTCCCTGCCAGCCAATCTTCGCTTGCTCAGGCGGTGGGAGAGAAAAATCGACACCGTGTTCAGGATCTGTCCGAACCAGGAGATACACCAGCCAAGCAAGTATGAGACATATTGCCGTCGCTACGATTCTTCCATCCCACAGGCCATGGCTTGACGCGTCCAATAGGTCCCGCAGCGGCAGCGCGTCCATGGTAAGTAACGTGACCCGAAATCCAGTGTGGAGTGTTGGGTGCTCGGAGATCCTCCGTGAGAAAGTGTGAGCCGACTAAGCCGCCGAACTCGGTGCTGATGATGCCGTCTATTGCCGAACGTGTCAATTGTTGAGGACCTCGGGAAACATCCAGAACAAAACCATCGAGACACAACATTCAATGTTTCATTGATCAAAAACTCGACGTATCGAAATGGCTCCTCTCAAAGTTGGCGACAAGTTCCCTTCCGACGTGAAGTTCGAGTTCGTTTCTTCTCCCTCTTGTTGGCACGCATATCGATACTCATACCTCGTCATTACAGATGGGCTCCGATAACCGATCCTGATCCAACTGCCTGCGGTGTTCCACAGGCGTACGATGCGTCAAAGGAGTTTGCCGGCAAACGTGTTGTGATTGTCTCGGTTCCAGGTGCTTTTACACCAGTAAGGAAGAGATCTCTTTCGACATTGCAAGGACATTCTCTGATCCTCAATAGGGTTGTCAGGCTCGTCACATTCCTCCTTATATTCAGCAGATCGATGAGCTTGTCTCGAAGGGCGTCGATCTTGTCGTTGTGATCGCAAGCAATGATTGTTGGGTCATGGCAGCATGTATGCAGCGCATCTGTATGTTCAACTTTACGTATACAGGACTGACTGTAGACAGGGGCCAAGGTAAACGGCGTCGGGCCCGATAGCAAGATCCTTTTCATGAGCGATACCAAGAGCTTCTTCAGCAAAAACCATGGCTGGGACGCTGGAATGGGGGATCGCAATGGTCGCTGGGCGATGATCGTTGAGAAAGACGGCACCATTTCTGCTGCTGATGTTGAGGAATCACCTCGCAATGTGACGGTAGGTTATCCATTCCCCGAATCGATGGCAATCCGATTGACTTGCTGGCTAGGTGTCTGGGGCGGATGCCGTTCTCTCGAAGCTGTAGAACTTATTGCTGCAGTCGGGCGATGTGTGTATGCAGTCGTTCTTGTGGATCCAATGCTTGTTGTTGTGTTCTACCTTTGTGTTCCCTGTCGCCTCATTCAATGAGTGTATTGTTGCATTGCAAATAGGCAAACCAGTGATACGTTTCCATTTGCGACCTAAATTAGACACTCGAGCCCTCCTGTACATGTAGTTTATCACTGTCTCATCGTTCCGTTTCGACAGAACCCAGTGCAACCACACCGACAACACCGCAAACATGCAGAAACCAATTATCATGTSAATTGCCGCATTCCAGTACACTGTCCCGCATGTAGGCGTTTGTTGTCGAGCAAAGCTGTCATCGACTTCTACCCCAACCCTAACCCTAAGATACACTTGACGTCGATACGGGCGMAGAATTGCACAGGCTTGGACTGCAGGAGACCTAATGCACCGCAGACGAGGAGCTCTGAGATCCAAGATACACCGGCGACTTTTAGCACGTTGTGCTTTCAAAATATGCTGTCTGTCCAACACGACCCGCACCATCATAGAATTTTCCAGGCGGGAGATACGCGGACTTGAATTCGTTCTTTCGCACCCGCAGATCTGCAGTGAAGAGACCTGGCTAGAACTCCGCATCACGGATGAGGTTGCTTCGTTGATGGGTGCGATGATGAAGGAACTTCAGACAAGTCCTGGAAATGAATCTGATGCAGAGATCTTTAGCGTCTTGGCGAACGATCATCCATTTCTCTGCTGTTGGATCTCATCCTCTCCCTTCACCTTCCTACAACAACCATGTGATCAAAATCATCTCACCACGATGGAAACCCTCAACGGAACCAGCTGGGATGTGGTCATCTCTGGCACGGGTCTACCACAGTCGCTACTCGCGCTGTATGTTTGTCCAACGATTGGCAGTCAGACTCGGGCTAACTAACGCAGACTCCGCTGAAGAGCTCTGTCGCGTTCCGGAAAGACGATTTTGCATGTCGATCGTAACGACTACTACGGCGGCGACGAAGCTGCATTCAGTCTCGCTGAGGCCGAGACATGGGCTGAGAAGCACTCCGCGCCGCTAGAAGAGTTTGCTCAAAGCTCTTTCAGTACTGCGGGAGTGAAAAAGCTCGATATTGAGCAGGATCAGGAGTCGGTCAAGCTGGCACATGCTCGGGCCTACTCGCTTGCGTTGGCGCCACACCWGRTCTACACACGCTCAGCTCTGCTATCGTCGCTGGTCTCATCTCAAACGCATAATCAGCTCGAGTTCCAAGCGGTTGGATCCTGGTTCATCCTGAACACGCGAGAGAGTGCCTCCACAGGGTCCGCGACGCTCACCAGGGTGCCAGGTGGAAGAGAGGATGTCTTCCAAGATCGTGCGCTCGATCTCAAGGCAAAGAGGTCACTTATGAAGTTCCTGCGCTTTGTCGCCGCCAGCGAAAGTCAGCCAGACACTTGGCATGCAGACAGGTCAATGGTCTTCTCCACCTTCCTCCAGCAGAAGTTCGCCTTGCCGCCCGCCTCACATGCACCCATATTCGCACTCACGCTGAGCAACCAGCCAGCCGAGCATACCACGGTCGGATTTGCGGTGCCCAGGATCGCAAGACACTTGACAAGTATCGGGCTGTTCGGTCCGGGATTTGGGGCTGTTCTTCCCAAGTGGGGTGGACTGGCAGAGGTAGGCCAGGTGGCCTGCCGTGCTTGTGCTGTAGGAGGCGGTGTCTACGTTCTCGGCCAGGGCGTGGTTGAGAGCCGCGCCGATGAAGATGCAGGCCTTAAGATCACCCTTAGTGGTGGAGACAAGGTGTCTGCCAAGTGGCTGACTGGCACCCATCTAGACCTGCCTTCGCCCCCGTCCATTGAAGCATCGGCCGGAACACTCATATCGAAAAGCATCTCGATCATATCATCGCCATTGACTGCCCTGTTCCCACCGACCTGCGAGGGAGGACCCGTGCCGGCAGGTGCCGTTGTTATGATGCCGACGAGCAATGATGGCGACCCGCCAGTGTACATATTCGCGCATTCCAGTGAGTCTGGCGAATGTCCTGTTGGACAAAGTACGTATCATCCTCCACATTTCCCGCCAATGCACACCGCACCCACAACGAAATGATGAACGATTTTATGAATACTTATCTACATTGTCTGAACTACATTGAAGAATAAACCATCTCTGACAACCTGATACTTCGTCCTTGGACCTACTTCGCAAAACATCGGCTCTATTTGCACGCGCATAGGCTAACTTGCTGTCACAGGTGTCTTATATGCCTCTGTTTCTCAGCCAAGTGTAACCGGCTTTGTCCGCCTTGACGAAGCCGTGCGGAAGCTGATCGAATCGTTGAGCGAGGCTGACGACCTCCGAGTCTTGTGGACCATGCAGTATCAACAGTGTTTCAGCTCAAGAGCTGCCACTCCTACACAGAGTGGCTCGACGGTTGTGCTCGATTCGCTCTCATCYGAGCTTGCACTCGAAGAGGGCTTGCTGGATAGCGTTAAGGCTGCATGGCAGCAGATCTGCGGTGTGGATGGTGAGCCCGATAGCTTCATGAAGTTCGAAGCACGAGATGGTGCTGTTGACGAAGAGGGTCTTGCTTAGCTCGGCTACCTACACACTCGCGCTGAAGCGTTCATGCATATGGTGTTTCCCAGTCTAAGTACTTGTTTCCTACCTCCAATCCCCTGTTATCCGGTGCAACCTGTCCTGCACTCTCATCTTTTGCGCACAAGACAAGGATGTAAGCAACCCCACTCAATACTCCGACATTGTCGGACACCTCCGGCAATGACCCATGCGTGTAGTAGGAAGGAAATTGGACAAAGCAAATTGATTCGAGGGCCTACTTGCTTCTGCCAGTGCTGATAAGCCACGCTGCTTCCCTTCCTGTCACGATTAAAGGTACCATGGAGCAACAATGGGCTCGAACAGGGTTGCCGTCGCTCCGAAGCACTGTGCGTGTTGCACTTCCATGTGGCCTCGTAGAGCTGGGCGCCTCGAGTGGTTGTTTTCCCCGCAGATACCAGGTAGGTACAATGGAAGCTACCTAGGGTACACGAGGTCAGCTCTGAAGCTCCGAATAATACATTGAATCACCCGTTCCTGCCATCCTTTACTGCGACTGCGACTGACGATAATACCTAGTAAGATCCATAAGCTTCTCACTGGGACAGCCTCGACGATCATCCTACATATCAAATCGTATTACAATACATTGCTGTGCGATTCCTAAACCACTACCGACCTGCCTATCCGACCCGAGAACGAGAGCTCAGACGCGAAGTTGCTGTGGAGCTCGAGCATCCTGCCAGTCTTCACATGTGAGTAACACTGCGGGATCAACCGGAATCGCGTCGCGACAATTCGGTTATCAAAGTGTAAAGGCCGGCCGGCATGACGGCTCGAAATAGTTGCAGCTGTGTTGGCATATGCAATATAGTCATACGGAATCCCTCTGACTTGGGCGCAGTTTTTACAGCAAGACCTCCTTGCGATTAGATCCAGTTCCATTCGCGAAAGCTTGACGAAGCTATCGACCACCATCGCAACCTGCACCACCTAAGCCTATAGTCAGGACGTCGCGATAATGGCTTCCGCAATCGAGGCCGCGAGACGCAAGGCTGAAGCGGCCCTTACAGCAGTCAAAGATGTTGCAGCAGATGCCCCTGCAGCGATGCAGAAGGCTTCTGAGAACCCGCAACAAGCCTCCCGTGAAGTTCTGCAGTCGCCATTTATGCGAGCTGCCCTTCCCTTTGTTAATGGAGGTGCTGCCGGTATGGTCGCTACCACGGTGATCCAGCCAATCGACATGATCAAGGTCCGCCTCCAGCTTGCCGGTGAGGGTGTCAAAACAGGCCCGCGACCGTCGCCAATCACAATCACAAAGGACATCATTGCTGCTGGGAGGGTGATGGATCTCTACACTGGTCTGAGTGCAGGTCTCCTACGACAAGCTGTTTACACCACAGCACGACTTGGATTCTTCGATACTTTCATGAAAAGTCTCAGTGCCCGCGCGGAAGGTCAGGGCCAGATTATTGGCTTTAAAGAGCGAGCGATGGCAGGTTTGACAGCCGGCGGTATCGCTGCGTTCATTGGCAATCCAGCTGATTTGGCATTGATCCGTATGCAAAGCGACGGTCTGAAGCCCAAAGCTGAGCGGGCCAACTACAAAGGTGTCGGCGATGCGCTGATGAGAATCGCGAAGAATGAGGGCGTTGCTCGGCTCTGGGCTGGCGCAAACCCGACCGTGGTGCGCGCAATGGCGTTGAACTTTGGACAACTCGCATTCTTCTCAGAAGCAAAAGCACGACTGAAGACCATGGACACGATGGGTCCTCGGACGCAAACGCTGACGGCATCCGCAATCGCGGGCTTCTTCGCATCCTTCTTCAGTCTCCCATTCGACTTTGTGAAGACCCGGTTGCAGAAACAATCTCGAGGTCCGGATGGTAAGCTTCCATACAAGGGAATGGTGGACTGCTTCCAGAAGGTCATCCGAGAGGAGGGTCCTTTGCGATTCTATCGTGGCTTCTCGACGTATTACACACGTATCGCGCCGCATGCGTAAGTGAACTTCCGTGTTAGGTCGATATTGTGGACTGACGGTGTTACAGAATGGTGACTCTGATCGTAGCCGACTACTTGAATTTTATCACCAAGTAATGGCATTGTAGCAGACCATAGGTTGATCGTCTCAAAGGGCATTCCGATGCCAGCAAAGCCACATCGCAGTCTGGAGCAGCAGCATGGAGGGGGTGTATATACCAATGGAGTAAGACATGACATTCTCTCTTGTGCAGACTTTGCAGAGCCAGCCGAATGCGTCTCTGTGATCAAGTCGGTGCGGTCCGTAATGAGTGATCGATGTCTTCACAGCGGACCGTCGTCGGGGAGGAGGCCCGGTGATCGATTGATCGATCCCAACTCGTCCTCGTCACGGGGCCGATCTTTCTAGATACCCAGATGGCAGAGATCACAAGAGGCACCGCCAGCTCTCGATTTCATCGCATCGGCATGGACTGACGCATGGAGATGCTTGTGGAGTCTGTATGAAAGCGGTTTGCGCCATAAAACGATCGATTTCCGGCGGCCCCACGTGCCACACTGAACCGTCTCCGGGGAATTGGCGTAGCATGAATACGTTTCAGACTATACCAGATACGCGAGCATGTTGGTATTTCTACAAGATCTTGATCTTATATATTCCAAGATGGAGCTCGTGAAAGTGGACCGTAGCTTTTCGAAGCCGATGTGTGGCCGACACTACCGTACCATTCGCTTGGGGACATCTCCTAGTTGCCAGACAGGCGGGGTTGTCACTGGACACTAAGAAGGCAGAACGTCTTCACTTACACGAACGAGGTTGAGCACGTGGACCACGGCTGGATCAAGCACTCCTCTCAAGGATTACAGCGTCTGGCTGCATCGGGAGATTTTGCACCTCCCAAGAATCCTTGCATGGTAGGGATCTCTTCCAAGTCACGAAAGACTGACAGTCCGTTTGAGAGGAGGCACTTCCGGTGTACCACCAAAAAGCAGCCGCTGTATATTAAGCGAGAGATATTAACCGAATGGGCCATGACATGTTCCTGCATCGGAGTTTATTCACGCTCCGGCGGACCGCTTCGCTATGCAACTAAATCACACTATGGATTGACCGCGATGCAAGGGTCCTGAGGAATCGTCTTCAGAGATCGATACAAAGGGAGATATGTCCTCACTAAGTCACGCTTATTCTCGGAGTAGAGCCTGGAGAGAAGGTCGTTTGCATATGCAATCTATTCGGGACTGGCGACCACTGTGTCGGGACATGCGCTTAGCCCAGTATGTTACAATGATCACTCCTCGCGATGTCGACTAAGCAGTCTGGCCATCGTTCAAAGATCGACGTCGTTACCATTGCGACTATGGGGCGWGTTCCAGCAACCGTCTGCGTTTGCCGAAGAAATCTTCTGGACCCAGCGGATCTTGCGAATACTGCACTCGTCAAATGACAATCGAGATAAGACTAGCACCCAWCCCCACAACCAGGTCTTGAAACGGTCGGAAACTGTGTCACCGTCCTTCTCGATAGAGCCAAGAAGAGGAGCCCCAACGTGTCTGTACCTGTCGCGCAGGACTTCCTTCTTGGATTCAGTGCGAACATGACATATTCGCCACCATCTTTTCTTTGATATACCAATCTTGAGGCTCATAGATCTTCTGTGCTGTTTCCCTTCGACAATATCTTTACCCGGCATATACATCCCACCATGGGCAGCGCTTCGAAGAAACCCGCGATAGGTGTGTACACTCTCTCCATCCAGACGATCTGGTACTGATCAGCAAAGACTTCGTCAACCCTTCTGCACAWCTCAACGCTGGTATCTGGTCACTCTATGTCGGTGCTACTGCGTTCCTATTTGCACGTATATACAGCAAGAGAAGTCGAAATCACAGACTCTGGTACGACGACTACATTCTACTTCTATCATGGGCAAGTCTAGCGTACCTCGAAACGACGCCAACTCAGTCGCTGACCATTACAGGTCATCCTCACAGGCAATAACATCTTGATAACGGTCGAGTACGCTACGGGATACGTTGTCCCGAAATGGGACGATAGGATGCGCATCATGATCATCGTGAGCTCTTGCGGTACTCTGCTGGGTCAAAGCCTGACCAAGACTGCCTTTGCTGTGACACTGCTCAAGCTCACAAGAGGGTTCTCACACCGAAAGGCGTGTCATGCCGTCTTGTGGTTCTGCATCGTGTCGATGCTCTCCTACAATCTAGCCAAGGTACGTCCAACATCTCCTTCATGGAGCCGAGTGGCATCGTTGTTGACAGCACCAGATTGTAGTAGAATGGGGAAAAGTTTCTGGGAAAGACGTGTATGATGTCTGGTATCGACTAGACTTCTATCTTGATTCGTCTGTACGCAAAAAGTTCAAGGAGGTTGGAAATTGTGAGTCGATGAGCTCGCTGAGTTGTCCGATACACATTGCTAACCATGTGATCCAGATTACAACATCCTTATGGACTTTGTGTTTGCGTTGTTCCCATGGATCCTGACTTGGAATATGGACATGAAAAGGAAAGAAAAAATAGGGCTCTGTCTTACAATGAGTCTCGGCATGGTCGTGGCGATTCAGTCGACCATTCGAAACGAGTGGAAGTACAGTGGCAATGATAAGGACCGGCTGTACTTCTGGAGGTTGGCAATGAGCAACATCTGGTATAATTCGGAGATCACAGGCACTATCATTGTGCAATGCGTGCCTGTGCTGCGTCCATTGGTCCAGGATCTATGTACCACGATGCGTTCAAAGAGGCTCGGCTCGAGTCAAGATGACATTGCTATGGAGGAAGTTAGATTTTACGAGCCGAAATGATTAGTATGAATGAGACTGTAATGAAAGTTGATGTTGATGCTGCCCGCGGTTGAACCTTAATCATGTGAATGATGTAGAACTAGATGGAGCGCGTCGCGAACGCGTCAAGTGGGGGACTTTCTTGCACGCTCCTCCATCAATACCGCAATACCACAATACCACGATCACGTACGCCGCCGCCAAGATGAACATGTCCACCATGTCTAGAGGTCGCCCTTCGACGACGCAGGCAACGCAAGGACGCAGCACAGCTGGACCAGAATATGAGCCGCCGAAGTTTCCACTGAACCCCGCCGCACAGCGAGCATTGGCGCAGCTGTCGCGTTCGGCAAACCTGACGAAGCTCAGCAAGAGCCTGGCGGAGGCGCAGACGCAGCTCACAGATACGGCTGTTCAAATGAATGACCGTGTTACCAATGCAACGGCGAGCGCGAAGCGTTCACGGGAGAAGCGGCAGCGAGAGCACGAAGGACAGGACGAGGAGCAAACGGCGCTGGAGCGGAATCTGGCGCAATTCCAGGCCAAAGTCGACGGTATGACACAGCGGATGGAGGAGAGCATGCGCAAGTTAGTGGACCACCAGCACGGTGTCGAGGCCATCAAGCAGTCGCTGGCCAAGGCTGAGCAACATGCACACAACACGGCCAGCACACAAGCCAGTACACAGAATGCCCGCACTCAACGAAGGACCCGGCGGACCAATGGTGAGGATGGTGAGGACGATGGAGAGGCGGAAGAGGAGGCTTCTGCAGGAGAGGAGGAATACCCAGACTTCACGCCTACCGACCCTGCTGGTGGCACTCCAGGACAACGCGCTCCTGTCGAAGTGTTCCGCACCAATCTCAAAGACGCTAAGCTACGCTATGAGGCAATGAGCCAAGCCGAGAGATACTCAGAAGTTGAGGCATACTACAACTTCCGCGAAGTGGTTCATGACGCAGTGCACCAAGACAAGGAAGACGTTCCGCCACAGGACAAGAGCAAATGGTTCAGTGAAGGTGGTGTAGCAGCGCCTGGAATCACAAATCGCAATGTAGACGCAGAGAACGGGGAAGAGGACGATGATCTCGCTATCAGCAAGGCCACGATCAGCACCAAGTGTCTCCTTACATTGCGGGAGTTTGTCTACCCATACACGTCGAAAAAGTGTCCACACAGCTTCGAGAAGGATGCCATACTTGGTATGATAGACGCCTCCGCGAGACGCACTGTTCCCGGCCCTGGACAGCGGCATGGCGAGAAGTGCGTAATCTGTCCGGTGGGAGGATGTCAGGAGCAACTCACCAAAAACGATTTGGGCGTGGACAAGGTGATTGTCCGCAAGATTGAGAGACTGCAGCGCAGCAGGGAATTGCAAGAGCAGGAAGAGGACGACGACAGCGATACAGGCCATGGTGCCACGCAAAATCGCGCCCTCTCGATTGATGATGATGCTGAGGATGACGATACAAAGGATGCTGCTGCTGTGAGACCCAAGCCAGAGCCGCATCCCACTGGAGCTTCAAGCCGGGCACCTCCCTCTACAGCTCCTCGTCCAACTCAGGTCATTGATCTGAGCGACGAAGAGGATGATGAGGAAGGAGACGTGGAAGACTCAATGGTGGAGTAAGTGCAGGCACAAAATTCATCTCATTGGTCTGTCCGCGATCTCGTAGCCATGCTGAAGCAATGGGCTGCTCGTCTCCGAGGCCTCTGACCACGTCAAATGCGCTGGCACCTGTAATAAACAAAACACACCCCCTCTCATTCTCATTGCGAATTCCAGCCTTGCCTCCCGTCCACTGCTTTTCACTTAATCAAGCACAATCGGGTTCCTCGCCGCATGCGCCTTCTTCGCCTCAATCGCCAACCGCCACTTCCTCATATTCTCATCTGTCTCCTCCAAACACGGAATGATTGTCTCAAACATCGCCTTTGCGAACACCGGCGGCACGGCATTGCCAATCTGCTTGCCCAAAGACTTCTTCGTGTCGAAGTGGTACTTGTGCGTGGGTTGGAAGCCCTGCAGCTGGCTCTTCTCCTGGTATGAAAAGAGGCGTTTGCCACTGGGATGCCAGTTGTTGATTCCGCCGTCTCCGGTGATGCAGCAGCGTAGAGGCAGATTGGCGTCCCACGGAAGGGTTTTGTTTGGGTCGCGTGGGAGAGCGTATGCCAAGGGATGGTTTGGTGGGAGTTTGGGGACTTGGTCGAGGACGTCTGCTACGGTTACGAAGGGTTTGAGGTTTGCGCCGACGCCATGTGTTGGAGTGGGGAATGGCGGGAGGATTTGACCTGGACTGGAAAAGCAAGTTAGTGAATGAATGGGAAGGGAGGAGGGGTAGGGGACACTTACCAAGCTGCAATCACAATAACTCTCTTGCGAGCTTGCGAGTTTCCATGCTGCGCGAAATTGATGACTTTCCATCTCAAATTGTATCCTGCTTGCGTCAAGGCACAGACCTGCGCACGGAAGTGCTGGCCATCCTTCTTGTACAGGATACCTGGGACCTGTTCCAAAGTGAGGATTCTTGGCTTGCAATTCGCAAGAATGTTTTCCAAAGTCCCGTATGCTGTAGCGATACGTTCGTTGTCAAGTTCATCGTTGTTGCCCCTGTTGGCAAGTGAGTGACCTTGACAAGGAAATGATATGTGCATCACATCGACACGATATCCGATGGTGTATCTGATAGAGAAGGCTCCAATATCCATTTTCAGGACGGTGACCCCGGGAAAGTTGAGCTTGAGCGTCTTGCAAGCGTCGCTGTTGATGTCAAGGAGATACTTGATCTTCATGCCGGCTAGCTTGGCTCCTGTAGCGGTTCCGCCAGCTCCAGCACAGAGGTCTGCGTACGTGATCGTGTTCTTGGTCCGCTTTAACTTGGAGCGTTCCTCGACTGCTTTGTGGGTTAACTTCTCCTTTCCGCCATTCTCCTCCCCAAACTCCGTAGTCTCAGTTGAAAGACCACCAATTGTCTTCTTCCGCGCGATATGTGGCTTCTTCTCGTTCTGGGTATTCTGATCGCCATGAGAATGGCCTTGATCGTCATCGCTGGAGATGTCGATAAGGTCGATGACCTCTCGTTTACGCTTCGTGGACCCTTTCGCTTCTTCCTGCACGTCTCCATTCGYATCTTTGTTTGGGCGGTAGTCTTCGAATATTTGCTCTGCTGAGCTACCACAATTCGAGTCGCATTCATGCTGATCAATCCAGAGGATCTGGTAGGCTACAACTTGCTTGCCCTTTTCATTCATCTCTTCGATATATTTCCTCCGGCAGAAGAGTGTTCCACGTTCCTGCTTCTCCTTCCATTCTTCTGTGGTGTAGAACTCGCCAAAGCTTTGTCCACTCAGATCGCCGTGAGGCTTGTTTGTGAATATCACGTTGCGAACAATGCCAACGTCTTCGATCCGCCTCGTCACACGTGCTTGTCCTAGCGATGTTGTGGAGGTGCCGGTAATCAGAGCACACACTTCGTTCTTGGTGCGAGGCATAAGAGCGTGTAAAGGGGATGGACCACCAGCTTTCGGAAACTTCTCATCGACATCTCCGCAACGCTGCAGAAGGTCGCCATGCAGGTACACCTGGCCATGGCTTTTAGTGATCTGAACTATCCGTAAAAAGGCGTCATTTTCTTTGTGTCGGCATTCAACACAATCGCCAGGCTGGACAACGACATCGAATCGAGTCCGAGCAGAGTTTTTCGAGTCATGGTTCGTGAGGTCGRCGGTCAAGTCGGGGGAGGTGTCGCGTCGCTCAAAGTCATCGCCCGTGAGGTCGACCAACCCTTGTGACTCATAATTGTTAACGTCGATGACCTCAACGCGGCTGTGCAGGCTCTCCTCTGCGTCTGTGTCGGCGTCGCCTGACTCTGTTTGGCTAGCATCATCGTCGGCAGAAATGTAGTGACTGTGCTGAGCGGTAGATCCGCGACGGCGATTGGAGAGTGGGGTTGTTTTTGACCTTGATCCGGCCATTTTGTAGATGCCCTAGGTGCTGAGGAGGCGGAGCGGCAAATTTCGGRGAGTTTGCACCAGTGAGCTGCGTTATCGCAGCGACAGAAGTGCTATTGGCAGGTCGTGTCTGACAAGAGCGAGTGCGGTGAGCCGCGGCAGAGATGAGAACAATACGAAAGCAATGTTGTCACAGGAATTGGAGAGGGATAAGGGAAGGCAAAACGGAAAGTAAAGCTGGAGGTAGCGAGGCACGCCGCAATGAAAATTGAGTAGAACAAAAGAGTGAAGAAAGTTAGACGGGAATAGCACCGTTTGCGCCAAGACTGCAGCAAACATCTTTGCCATCGATCAAAGGGAGGTGTACGAGATGTTGTGACATCCTCTGTTCCGCGATGGAGGGCCGTCCAAACATGGATGTGAGCAATCCAGACGTCCCTCGAACTTGTAAGAGCCCAAGGCCCATAGTGTTGCGAGAGGCTGAATTCCGACTTCGATGAACATTGCTGCGGTAGCTGAAGTCAAGCCGCCTTCTGGGGGATAGAGCCGTGCACATGGATGCTATAAACATGCCCGGCAGCCACACCGCAAATTCAATGGAACGTGGCTCGGAGGATGGAACTAGTCCATGATGGCCAGGAGAATGTAGCTGGCTGGTGGAACCGACGCTGCGTTCAGTTCCCATTCTTGGGTGATCGATTGTGGGCAATCATGCAAACGACGGAGAGATACGGGAGAGCGCGGGGACTGTTGGGGATAGCTAGAGCGTAGGTGTGTTATATAGCCTTGCAAAGACTTCGAGGATGCCTGCGAGAACGAAAGAGAAGATATCAAATCTGTGCCGAACAAAAGTCCTCGAGCAATGTTTGTTCAAGGCATAACGTCGTAGCTGCCATCAAGACGAGGTGAAGTGGGACCCTAAAGTCTTCCAAGTATACCTGTCCTGATCGGCTGACTGATCAAACTACCTTCTTTAGCGGTGTGGATCCCCCGCCGACTCCCGGACAGAAGAAACGAAAATTCGTCTTTTATGATAACCTCAGCCTACGACAAAATGTCATCGCCTATCACTTCAATCCGAAGCTATCGCTATCGTCGCGTCCACGATGCTGCAATCCTCGTAACACTGCGAGCGACCACCCACCATACCGCTCCGCCCTAGACCCCAAAATTCCATCCTCCATTGCTTCCGCGATCAACCTCGGAGGTGAGTTGCCCAAGATATTGCAGCAATCTGCCCATTCCACTGCCCCTCCAATGATGATCCGAGTATTATTTAAGATGTTAGACTTGGTATTACCCATGCCCAGAAAAGCTCGTTCTGAGATCAGCTTCACCTCTTTGTTTTTTCACCAGCCAAATTCACGGGCAATGCACATGCTAATGAAGAAGTGAGGAAGATCATATCCATTCTCCAACACCTCCGACATCTCCGACACACCAACAACAAGCCATTCTGCCACCATGTGCGGAATCCTCGCTGTCATCCTGGCCTCGACGTCGGCAGACGCGGGACCCGAGTTGCACCAGGCGCTGTACTACCTCCAGCACCGCGGACAAGATGCCTGTGGTATTGCGACGTGCTCCACAGGTRGCAAGTTCTACCAGTGCAAGGGAAACGGTCTTGCCTCCAAGGTCTTCAACGAGGGCAAGAGAGTGGCCGACTTGCCCGGCTACATGGGATTGGGACACCTACGCTACCCGACTGCGGGAAGCTCCAACAACTCGGAGGCTCAGCCATTCTATGTGAACTCTCCATACGGCATCTGCTTCACTCACAATGGCAACCTGATCAATGCTCCCGAACTAAGAGAGTACCTGGACAAGGAGGCCCACAGACACATCAACACCGAGTCCGACAGCGAGCTGATGCTGAACATCTTCGCCGATGAGCTCAACACCACCGGCAAGGCAAGAATCAACTCTTCTGATTGCTTCAGTGCACTTGAGAGAATGTACACCCGGCTCCAGGGTGGATGGGCATGTACGGCAATGCTGGCCGGATTCGGACTTATTGGGTTCCGTGATTCCTACGGCATTCGTCCTATGGTCCTGGGTGAGCGTCCCTCCTCTGACGTCGAGGGTGGTATGGACTACATGATGGCATCCGAGTCCGTCGCCTTGAGCCAAAATGGCTACAGCAACATCAAGGACATCCTTCCCGGCCAGGCCGTCATCATCGAAAAGGGCARGGCACCGGTCTTCCAACAAGTCAGCCCACAGAAGGCGTACGCGCCCGACATCTTCGAGTATGTCTACTTTGCGCGTCCGGAAAGCACCATCGATGGCATCTCCGTCTATCGCAGCCGGCAACTCATGGGCTACAGCCTTGCCGAGACCATCAAGAAGCAGCTGGGCGCAGATGTGCTGAAAGAGATCGACGCTGTCATCCCTATTCCGGAGACCTCGCTCGTTTCAGCATACGCGGTCAGCACGCACCTCAAGAAGCCGTACTGCCAGGGCTTTGTGAAGAACCGATACATCTTCCGAACCTTCATCATGCCGTCGCAAAAGGCTCGTCAACGTGGTGTCAGAGCCAAGCTCAACGCCATCCCGATCGAGTTCAAAGACAAGAATGTGCTGCTCGTCGATGACAGCATCGTACGCGGCACGACATGCAGGGAAATTGTCAACATGGTACGCGAGGCCGGTGCTCGCAAGGTCTACTTCAGCAGTTGCGCGCCGCCTATCACGCACGCTCACATCTACGGAATCGATCTTGCAAGCCAGGATGAGCTCATTGCACGCCAATGCGCCATGGACCAGATTGCGCAGAACATCGGCGCGGATGCCGTCATCTATCAWTCCCTCCACGACCTGGAGAAAGCATGCGCGAAAGACAGTCCTCGCGACAACCAAAAGTTCGAAGTCGGCGTCTTCTGCGGCAAATACGTCACACCAGTCGCAGACGGTTACTTTGAGCATCTCGAGCGCATTCGGGGCGAAACGAAGAAGCTGAAAGTCATGGAGAAGGCTGTTCAAGCTGTGGTTCATGGCACCGCTACCAACCAGGAGATCGAGATCGCCGCTAATGGCGTCGATGTTGACAGCCACGGACACGTCGTTGCTAAGAACGGTGGGGACTCCGATGGTCAGAAACGTCGACCAGCACAGGAGGTCAAGCGTCCAGAACGCCCTGAACATCTCAAGGAGCAGCGTGATAGTCAGGATGTCGCAATTTGGAATCAGCACGACAATCCTCGTGATTGAGGGATCCGTCGTCAACGATACTTGGCGAGCATAGTTATGCTCTTGGGCGTTTGGGGTGGCGTATCAGAGGAATGGCTCACTGCCACGTGAGCGTCTGGTTTTACTGCTAGTGGAGGTCCGAGGATCAGCAGAGTCTGGTAGCATGGCTCGACTCGGATGTTGATGTTTTCTGAGCTACCATAATGCAAGTTGTCTATCACGTCTATGTTCTCGACATTCGCAGCCTTTGAAGTCCGTGAAAGTTCTGGTGAGGTGTCGGCTTACCTTACTATGCTCACAGCTAAAAACCTCACAAGTACGGTGCCATATACGGGCGACACGGACACATAAAACCAGGTTCATGGGCACGAGTAATGAGAAACGACTGGCACTGCGATTTCGTTTCTACGTTTCCTCTTCACCTTTTAGCCCCATCAACTGGCCATTGACTCTGCGTCAACATTGTAGCATAGCGAGCGCCTGCCGCAGAATAGTAACCCCGCACAGCTTTTGCTGAATTGGCACAATCTGGACAGTCCTGCACGAGTCTCATCATCGGTTCCATCCACATGGAACCCGTCTTGAATCTGCTCAATGCATGCCACCACCACCTCCTGGACGACCAGCATTCGACTCCGGGGCAGCAGCATTGGCAGCATCAGCATGATCGAGATGCTGCCTGAGAGCAGCCATCCCCTTGGCGACGAACCCGACTGGCATCCCCCAGAACCTCCGTGAGGCTGACGCTTCAGCGAAAGCCGGGACAGCTACCGTTGGTGGCGCTGGTGATGCCTGCGGCGCGCGCTGGGCTGTTTGATAGAGCAGCTCTTCCATCTGGAGGTCTGTGATCGCTCCTTGTAGCGCTTCGATGACAACCGGGTACGAACGGCTGCCCTGGTGCATCTCGTTCTTAGCGCGAGCGAAGAAGCGTTGACGGACTTGCGAAACCTGAGTGTCAATGCGATCTTTCCGGGTGCTCGCGGACCTCGATGGCAGCTCCATTTGCTTCTGCTTAGCCTGCTGCTTTGCTTTCTGGACCCGCTGTTTCTCGGAAGTATTGGCAGCAGCTTTTGCTGCCCTCTTCTCCTTCTTGGTAAGTGGTTTGGTCGGCGCAGCTGGAGCTATCGCGGACCGCGCCGGCATGGTTGCGCAGGGAAAATGCAACCTCGGATACTTCCATGGCGCGTTGACGCTCATATTGGTTGGTGCAGCTGCAGCAAGCATTGAGTTCTGCAGTGGCGCTGCTGACCCAGAGTAGTGCATTGTCTGGTTGAGCTGCGGGTGATCAACGCCTTCTGCGTCGAGGTCGATTGCCTGCTCTACGCACGTGCCCGAGCGAGTAGTAGGCTTGAGTTGGAGATCCGGCTCTTGAACTGTGACAGTGTGTACCGTAGTGGATAGAGCGGGGGCTTCGATGCGTCCGAAGTCGGAAACAGGCTCGAGTCCATGGGTTTCAATCTGTGCCGTGACGGTCTGAGTCGGGGTAAACAGTGCGGATGCTTCAATGGGCGCAGGCTCGGGAAACGCGAGTGACTGAGTCTGAACAGCTCCCTTGCTGCGCAGTGGGTATCGCTGTTGTGCGAAGGGCATACCGTTTGAATGCGGGATGTTCGACTGCAGGATGTTCGACTGCGGCATGTTCGACTGCGGCATGTTCGATTGTGGGGTGATGATTTGGGGGATGTTCATTTGCGGCATATTCCAGTGAGCGACGTGGGCCTGCGGGACATTCGAGCGCGGGACTGCATCGTGGTCGTCGTGGTCGTCGATCACCAGAGGTCGCTGCGCACTCGCTCCCGCGTACATCGAACCGTCGAACACGAACCTGAGCCCATCATCAGCTCGTGATGCGGCACGATTGATGGTGGGCATTAGGTCTGGCGTCCAACCGATGGATGGAGCTGGTCGAGGGGGCGGATAGGTACGACGAAGGCGAGCGGGCTTCGTGCGCGGCGAAACTTCTGACATCTGTGAAACCACCGCCTCGAGGTTCGCGGGGCTGATGGTGTCAGCAGTGGCCGCCAGATCTTGGTTGCGGCGGATGAAGTCGCGAAGAGCAACTTCGCGCTGTTGGGAGAAAGTCAAGCCGCGAGGCAAGTCTGGTGAGCCCAAAACGATCGCTTTCATCGCATCGGCATGTCTCTGCTTCGCTACGTGTAAGTGCTGAGACGGTCTGTTTTGTGGGCGCCGGGCCATTGCCGTTGCCGCTGCCAGCTCGGCGGCCGTGGGCCTCCACATCAAACTCTCCATGCCGTCCACTGATATAACAATGGCGGCGATTGATGATGGTGGTGGTGCCGGAAGAAGACAGCCCAGGTCATGGGCTGATCAAAGATGTTATGCCTGCCGTTAGCGCCACTTCCCGCCGCTCCCGAGGCGGCGACGAGGCAACGAGGCAAGACCGGATCGTCAAGAATGGGCTAGCACTTCACTCGCCAAAACGGCGCCTATATTTGCCATTCAGAACTCGGTTGAGTACTGCTGATGAGCAAGTTCATTGTGTGACTTACTTGTAGCAAGAAGACTAGTCGTCGCCCTCTCCAACCTCATAGCATCCTCGCGGCAGATACTCTGTGACCAGACTCGAGTCGATCGAATCCATGACCAGCCCTTACGCCAATTGCGCCGTGAATCGCTCAATATTTGCAACCATCCTCCATCCATGCCATCGCCTGAGCTCCATTCCAACTCACAAAGCAGCTACAGCGGCAGCTTCTCGAGAACCCGCGAGGTCCATCCAGAAGTCCTTCGAGAACCCATTGTTGCCGGGCAGCGCGATCTTGTCTGGAGTGACTTCGCTCGACTGCTGACTTTGCTGAGCTTCTGGGATATGACTCTGCTGAGGTTCGGGGACCCGACTGCTTGACTCTCCTTTCTTCTTCTCTACACCTGTCATGTTCTTGCCCTGCTTGRCCTTGGCTTGGGCCTTCCGCTCAGCCTTGCGCTCAGCCTTTGACTGCACTGCTCCTTCGCCCTGTGCACCAACCTCACGTATTTCTGCTGCCTTCGCCATGAATTCCGCTTCCGTGAAATCTCCACCACCCGATTCATCCAAAGAACTTGCTGCCCGTAACATTTCGCTGAAAGTGAATTGGGAATTTGCGCGCTTGATCAACTCACCCGCATTGTGAGGAGCAATCGATAGGCTTGAAGCGAGCGTCGCCTTGAGCTCCTTCTTCTTTTTAAGGCCGTTGCGCTTTTCTTTCTTTTCCTTTGGGGCCTTCTTTTGACTGGAAGTCTTGCCACCTTCAGTAGTCTGTCCTTCCTTGCCATCAGTTGTCTTTGGCTTCTTGACTTTCGGAGGCTTGTTTGCTTTGTCTGCGAGCTTTCCTAGAATTTCCGCTGTACGGAACAGTCAGTAGATCTCAGGTGATTGATAAAAGAAATCAATATGTACCCACCTTCAAGCGCAGTGTCGTGCTTAGCGCGGGCCTGCAAAGTGAAGTTAGACGGCTTCCGAACGGCCCACTGCCGATGAATTTCGACCTTACGGATTGTAGCTGCCCACCGAGCGTTTGGCGATTTTCTACATGCGGATCAGTCCTGTGTAATCGGAGCGAACTGGTCGTTGCTTACTCTTAGTTCGCGCCATGCTTATCAACTGTTGATTGTTGAATTTGAGAAGAAGTGAGCGGCGAAGTGATGTCGAGACGACAAAATTGGAGCCCTCGGGGTTAGGGCTCGGCGAATGGCCTCCGAACATTCACTGCCCATCAAGCTAAGCCCAAGGAGGCCCTCGAAATCGGTACTGCTGCATAGAAAATAGAACTCTCACGTCTGTCTTTTGCCCCTCGAAGCTATTTACTTTGGCCAGGTGCAAGAACTTCACACGTCACAACCGTTCGTTGAGCATGCACAAGGCGCAAATATCATCTGAGAGGCCGCCAGCCAAAAGCGGCGTCAAATTCATACAACGACTGCGCACTGCGCACTGCGTCTAGTTACATAGACGATTACACCAAAAGCGATCTCCATTGTTACAGTATAACACTCGTTGCTCTCGCCAGCCCCTCCAATCATGTGTCATCATCCCATGAGATCCCACCTCGTTGATCAAAGGGCTGTTCAGACTTCGAGTATCCTAAATAATCATGTGTAGATGCTACACTATAGCCCGAGTTGCTGCCACTCGCAGTCGAACCGGCACCGCTTGTACGAGATCCATTATGTGACGAATAGGAATTTCTGCCGTGGTCTTCCGAGCTCCGGCGATCGTGCCCAGAAGACTGCTCGTTGTGGTCGTGGCTTTGCCTCTGACCATCGTGGACCATGTCGAAGCTTGTTCGAGTGGCCGTCTCTCCGTTGGACGAAGCTGATGCCTCTTGCCGCGCTTGTTGCTGCAGYACTGTCAGTTACATCGACTTAATGTCTACACGGCTATGCTKACCTCTTGCCACCGCTGGTACTGATTGTACTCTGGTGGATGCTGTTGCTGTTGCTGCTGCGGCTGCTGCTGTTGTTGTTGCTGCGACTCCTCAGTCTTCTGCCCTCTTTGCTGGGCAGCTCGCTGAGCTGCAGGTATTTGGATTTGCGGATGCATCATTTGCACTTTAGCAAGATAAGAGTACATGAAGTTGGACAGTAGCACTTGACTGTACAATGCTCGTCGCGGGTTTGCAAGTTTGATGTGAGCCATGCGATAGATTGCCCGCTCCTCCAATATGCTGAAACGAGTCCAGTTGTAGTCAATATCAGGCTTTAATATTCTCGGGGCGGGTTCCGGTGACAAGTTTCGATCCGCTTTTCGCCTTTTCTCCTTTGACTCGCCATCAGACGACTTCTTCTTGCCACCAAAGATAGCTGAGAGAAGACTTGAATCTTTCTCCTTCTTGGAGGACTCGCTCCCCTTCTTGCTGGTCTTATGGCGCTCCTCTTCGAGCTTGACATCCTCGCGGTTGAGTACAATGCTCTCCCGGCCTCGTGAAGGCGCACTGCCATCGATAGAAGTTTGAAGCAAATCCAGCCTGGTCTTGTCCGCAGTGGCTTTGGCGGCCTTGCCGCCTTTTGACTTGGAAGATGAGGGCTCCGGTTCGTCTTTCGATTTCTTATCGCTGTCGTCGTTGCCAAGTATCCATTTCCAACTACTTTTGCGCCCGCCCTCCTTCTTCTCCGCCTTCTTTTCCTCGAACGTAGGAACAAGCGTCAGTGAGTCTGTTCTTGAATTTCCACTTCCAGGGAGAGGGGAAGGACTCGAGGATAGATCATCCAAAGTAGATGATGGCGAGCCGGAACGTCCAGGTGCGGGACGCGTATGTGCACCACCCCGCTGAAACTGTCGAGGAACCTCGTGTGAAGATTTGCGTTCAGGCAAGCTACCTCCAAGATTCTGTACTGGCACCTTTGTGCCATCGGGGAGGGTTTCAATGATGTTTGGCAAAGGATTTGTATTGTTATAGCCAGGCAATTGTGCAGTCGTACGGCCTGGTGAGGCGATCCGGGACTGAAACTGCTTGTGATTATGTTCGGAAGGATGCTGCTGCTCATCACGAGCAGGCTCGGCATCGCGTCTGGCGTCTCCCTTGAGATCCTCGCTAGACTGAGAAGACTTGTCCCTCCGCTTCAGACCTGGCCTCGAGAAATTCTCGCGTGTTTCGCTCGGTGGTGGAGTGGGCTCCGTCTGCACACGGGTCAGACCACCCATCGAGGGCTCGTCGTACTTCGCGATAGGGGATGCTGGCATTGGCGGCTCATGTGTATCGGGCTCGGGCTTCCGATGCTGAGCACGTTTCGAGAATGGCACTCGCTCTCCTTTCTTCAAACTGCCTCTCCGATATGTAGTCCGTGTAGATCGCTTCAATGTGCCGACGGGAGGCAAGATTGGTAGGTCCTCATTCGAAGACCCAGACTCGAGAGACCGTCGTGCCTGATCTATGCTCATACGGCGCATAAGCTGCGCTGGATCGTCAACCAACTCCTCCAAGTCTTCTAGATTTGAGACGGTGGCTTGTCCTTCAACCCGCATACCACTCGACCTTTTCCTCTCCAAGCGCTCTGCGCCATCCTCGTAGTTGCCCCTGGTATCGATTTGATGAGACAGCATGCTCTTCTTTCGCCGCAGACTACTGCTCCCGGATCCAGAACGCTCCAGGGTGTCAGGAGACAGGCTGTCATCGCCTCCAGACCCGGAACGCCGTCGGATCTTATCCACTCTGTCTTCAATGAACGTCTTGAACTCTTTCGGAGCCAGCTCCGGATGCAGACGTGCGGGCACCCAGAATAATTGAGAAGGATCGTCTTCGTCGTCGGATTTGCTTGGTGCAACGGAAGATATGCCACCAAAGGAGCTGCTGAACGAAGGTAGATCTGGGTCGGCAGTGTCCACATTCATTGACATGCGCCGGATGGCCTGAAGGTTGCTGAGCTCCTGCGCTACCGCGGCTGGACTCGATTCATAGTCAATGTCGTTCAGCGGGAACTGCTGGTTGGCGGTATCTGTCGATGACTGGCGGCTGAGCGGCGGTGGTGTTGTTGGCAACCCTTGCACATTCTCAGCGCCACGCGAACCCATTCGTTGTAGGGCCTTGGTAGGGGTGGTCTCCACTGGCGAGGGTAATCGTTCGTTGCTGCGTGCAGGGGACACCGGAGTGCGCAGCTGCGGACTGGTCGGAGCGGCAGCAGCGGCGGAAGCAGCATGTGCAGCGTTGGCATCCATCAGTGTAGCATGCCGGCGCTGCTGTCGACTCGCCATGACCGCCTCGCTGGCGCCCGGCACGTAGCTCAGCGGACGGTTCTTGCCCTTCCCTCCGGCACTCATTGTTGAGTCGTTTTGCTCATACCAGCTGCCAAAAACCTCCGTCACGTGGTGGTCCTCATCGTTGATGGATAGCTGCGGCGCATGGTGCTTGCGAGTCGACAGATGCTGGGCATAGCGGCGCTCCAGCTCCTCCTGCCTCGACGAGCGGGCAGGCGGCGGAGCAGCCATATCAGTCCTGGTCCCCGGCCTGGAATGCTGCTGACTTTCCCCGGGTACTTGGGATCACGTTCATTCCCGCCGCTCGTCAAATCGCATCGTAAGAATAGCAGAGGCAAAGGTGCATTGTTGCGGGAGTTCCAGCCTTGAGTCTATGAGAGACACGCGAGCACGAGGCTCGAGCACTAACTACTAGGTACGGGCTCAAGTACAACCGGACCCTTGGAATTTGGAAACCTAACAGTCCGAAATTGTGAACACCCTTGACATCTGCATCTAAATTATCACAGCCAGCACATTCCATATTGAGACCATTAACGATAACGCGTCACGATAAACCACAGAATTCGTTTGACAACGGGTTCCGCACGAGCAGCGTTAAGATGTTGCTCCCATAGAATGGCGTCGCCGATTCTATGCCAATGCTAGACCTCGACCGGCGCTTATACGGAGTACTCCTTGAACATATTCGCCGCCCGATCTTTTGATTTTGATGGGGACCTTGATTGTCATTGTTGGGTGGAAGTGTAGAGACCATTTCGCATTCACGGGCAGTTCAGACACCTGCTGCACCATGCGGCCTAGAAGCTAGRTTGCATGTCCCAGCGATTGGTTCTCATCTGCTTGGACGCATCGTTTGCCAGCCTCATTGCCTTTGGGCGCACTGGTCTGGGAGCAAGGCGCCACATGTCCGGCAGCGCCGGCGCAGTGCCGTCTATGCTTCTTGGGCTACGAGATGTAAGGTAAGTTGCCGGTCAGCGCTAGGGGAGACGCAGCTCAAGGAATTGAAACCGAAACCGCACCGTGTCGACGGCATGTCTTTTCAATCTTTAACTCTACCTCTGCCAAGTTTGAGAAGTCGTGTTGTGAGGATGGGCTTCCTTCCCATACGAGCAATAGCGCCCGCTGCATAGGGACATCGTACATTAGCGCTAGATCAATCTGTCCCTGTGATCTCCTTCTGCGGTCAAGCAAATTTATCATCCTGCCAAGAGCAGGTAACCTGGGTATAGACGTCGACACGTTGGGCATTCGTGGACGTACCGACCCCTATCGTTTCAACTTTCAACTTTCTCTACCTCCATCGGATCTCCGGGCGATCTCACAATGACGTAGCTCAATCCTCCCTGCCGTGTGAACGGACGAAAGCATCATCTACTTTACCCAACTGCAGCATTTTAAAACGCAATTTCGTGGCCGAAGAAGAGACCGCTGAGGGTTGTTGACACTAAACTGCCACCAGTCACCGAACATGGGGATCTTCGAAGCAACCGTTCAGTCGGCTTTGATGTCCATACTATCCAATGTCTCGGCCCAGACGATCACATGCTGGACAAACAATGTAAGAGCTTCCGAGTACTTCCATTGCGGATACTGATGGTGCATGTATAGAGTCCATTGTCGCTGAACGTGGTCAAACTTCTGCAATTCGTCTTGTTCTCTGTTCTTTCCACTCCACCCAACTATCTGTGGCAATGCTTTCTCGAGGCTCAATATCCCGCGTACGCGTCAGAATTGCCGCACAAGGAAAAGGAAGCGTTCGTCGATGATGCAGTCTCGGGCAAAAGCACCAGCGTTGATGATTCGCTTCGGAAACGAGTGCAAAGCAAAACGTTGACGGAGAAGTCCCTCGACGAAGCAAGCGAGAAGCCTGCGAAGCAGCTCAGCATAAAGAACACTGCGGTCAAGTTCACACTTGATCAGACGATAGGAGCTGCTGCAAATGTAAATACCTCCCGAGGTCCTGGAATGCCACGATTGGACGTCGCTAAAAGAATGACAGACTGTACTTTTCATCGCTGGTATTGCACTGTTACGAGGACAGTCAGTGTCCTCCGCCTTTCAGGATGTCCAAGAGCAGTTCTGGCCCATGACATTCGCTGGGCAGAAGCTGTGGCCTGCGGTGAGTATATGCGAGACAGGAATTATCAGAGAGCACCTTCTGACTATGTCATATAGGTGAGCATTCTGAGCTTCACTGTCGTCCCGTTCGAGTATCGCATGCTGTTTGGGAGCGTTGCCGGACTTTTCTGGGGAATATACTTGAGCCTGGTAGCTGGTGGCTAAGTGGTGGGATGATACCAATAGAACGGTCTTGTTGGGTAGACTTCGAGTCCACGCTACGAGCGGTCAAGAGCAGGTCGGCGTCAATGCCGGCAAAGTAGAACATGTTTGGTAGCCATGAGGAGACACGAGATACATGCAGTGCGATATAGACAGATAGAGCTCAGAAAGAAACAAATAGAGTGACGATGAGGTAGAGTCCATCCAMTTGCCGTGCGAGCCGTGCGGCTAGGTATTCTGCTAGCGACTGGCTTCGAACTAGTTCGCGTACCAACAAAGTGTGGAGACAAAATGGTTTGCATCACTCCCTTCCGCCGAATGAGCCTCATTCATCATTCATCATTCGCGATACGTCGACGATCCTCTGCGTTGCGTTGTCAGACATGAGCGCGGTCGTGCTGCTTGACATCCCTTCATTCCATAATACACATCAGTATTTCTTGGTCCCACACCATTGGATATTAACTGAACAAAMAGCATTTGCCTCTCACGAGAATGGTCGAGGATGTTGAGCAACCCTTCGTGGAATCCGATGTAGGAAACAGCATCGAGGAAAAGATGTCAATACCTGCGAGAGAAAAGTCCAACGACGAACTGGAATTTGAAGCCATCCGAACGCCGAAGCCGAAGCCACAACAACAACATCCTTCCCTTGGACTCGCGCCCTTGAAGGAAGTTCGCAGTCGCTCATCAGCACGATCATACAAATCGTACGATGGCTATACCGTAGACCATGATGACGATGAGGCAGGAAAACGCGATCCGTCCGACCCTCACAGCGAATTCGAGGTTTCATTTGACGGAGAAGGCGATCCGTTCGACCCCAGAAACAGACCCATTTTGACAAAATGGTGTATTGTTCTTATAGTGGCCGCCAGTTCCCTCTGCGTTACTTGCGCCTCTTCTATATATACGGTATCCGTTGTGGCCGAAGACACCGACTGTATCTTTACCTAGCTAACACTCTTGGTTGCAATAGTCGACCTACCGCCAGGTGGAAGCTGAGTTTGGGGTCTCGAGATTAGTAGCCACGTTAGGCTTGACCATCTATGTATGTGGTTTGGGCTTGGGACCCATGATCCTCTCACCTCTTTCGGAGTTCTACGGTCGACGAAACATTTGTTAGTGCCCTTCCTTGAAGCTGATCGGTTGATGTTGATCCAGAGACTACAGATCGAGTCCAAAGTGTTCCAGGGCTAACTTCTTATCGTTCAGACATATGCGCTTTTGGGATGTTCGTGATTTGGTTGATTCCTTGCGCCCTGGCCAAGAACATTGAAACCCTGCTTATTGCTCGTTTCTTTGATGGACTGGCCGGTAGTGCATTTCTCTCTGTCGCCGGCGGCACTGTAGGTGATTTTTTTTTAAAGAGAAGCTCTCTTCCCGCGGGTCATTTGTGAGCTTGGTCGTCGATTCACTACTAGGACAGCCGGCAACCATCAATTTCACCGGACCTTGGTCTAAAGTGTTCCAGAGCTGACTTTTGATCAACAGGTGGGTGATCTCTTTTCAAAGGAGCAGCTTTCTCTCCCCATGATGGTCTACACAGCGAGCCCGTTTCTAGGTCCCGAGGTGGGACCTGTTGTAGGTGAGTAGACAACGGTCATGTCTACGTCGTCTCGTTGCATCGGAGGTTGTTCAGAGTCCTCTCGAGCATACTGGGCCTCGTATGGTGCTAGCCAATCAACTCTCCTGAGATTGTAGCGAAAGTCGGCCTTTGGCTGTCAAAGTACACATTCCGATGCAAAGAGACGCTGCATCCAAGACAACATCTGAAACGCGTGCTGACCGAGACTGCCTTCTCACTTGCAGGCGGTTTCATCAATCAATTTACCGACTGGAGATGGAGCTTCGTTGGTCTTGCCGTCCGAAAGCGTTGAGTTTGCGACTGACATCGGACWGTATGTCCTGATCATCTGGTCAGCAGTTCAGTGGATACTCATCGTGCTCTTCGTTCCCGAAACCTATCCACCCGTTATGCTACGGGGAAAGGCGATACGATTGCGAAAAGAAAGCGGTGACGATCGGGTGAGGATAACCCTCCGGCTTTGATATGGACCTGTCATCCACCGACTGACCCTTACCAGTGGAAAGCACCCATCGAAATCATGAGCCGCTCAGTCTCGAGAACAGTGATGTGGTCCTGCATAAGACCGTTTCAGCTGCTATTTTTTGAGCAGGTACCAAGTCCGGCCGAAGGGGTGTGCTGCACCTATCTTTGATCGCTCGCTTACAACCTCGCGCAGATGTGTTTGAGCCTGTGCTGCCTTAGTGCCGTGCTTTTGGGAATACTATATCTCTTTTTTGGGGTCTCTGTTACGCGCTCTGCGGGCCGGGAAGAATGCTAACAGGAAATAGGCATTCGCCGTCGTATTCCAAAACAACCACGGGTTCAACGAATGGCAGATTGGTCTCTCATTCTTGGGCATCCTTGTGGGTATGCTGCTAGGTGTTGGCTGCGATCCATTGTGGCGGAGAAACTGTATCATCTTCCCTCATTGACACACGACCTGCGTCGACGTCAACTGATTGAGTGTAGATAACAGGCTGGTTGACAAGAATGACGGCATCTCCGAGCCTGAATTCCGCCTTCCGCCAACAATTATGGGGGCGCTAGTCGTCCCCATCTCTCTGTTCGGTAGGTCAAGATCCACAGCAGATCCTTAGATATGGTGCATGTGATGCATGTGATCCATGTGCTAACACGTGCTGCGCCAGGTTTCGCCTGGACGTGAGTTGGGACCTGCAAGCAAGCTTACATGCAACGCGTCATGCTGACAAGCATAGGACATATTCCCGCATTCACTGGATAGGTGATTGACTTGTTCGATTTCGTCCACGTCTCGACCGCTGATCAATAGCAGTGCCCATCGTTTGGAGTGCGGTGTTTGGGGTGGGCAACATATTTGTCTTCTCAGGGGTGTTGTAAGTGTTTCGACATGGATCAAAGAAGCACGTGCTGACGCTCCTGGTAGTACATTTCTTGTTGAGGCCGTAGGTGATCCAGTCGATGCCTTTCGTGCAGGGATGGCGATTTCGACATCGCAGACAACACCATAGCGCTGACGAGACACTCAAGTACCCCCAATACGCGGCCAGCGCGCTCGCCGCCAATTCGTTCGCTCGATCCAGCTTTGCTGCAGGTCAGTAGCCCCTTGCTATCTTACCATCGCGAGGCTTGTGCCTGACATACAGCATTCAATAGCCTTTCCCTTGTTCGGCGTACAAATGTAAGTGTTTCTGCACTTCTCCGCAAGACCGTGGCCATGTTAACGCGAATCGAATAGGTATCACCAATTAGGGTACGTCCTCTATTCGGAAAGAGCGGTCAACAGAGACTAATTTGGAATCGTAGATATCAGTGGGCCTCGTCGTTATTGGGGTATCTCGCCACCGCAGTGGGAGGCGCAGCACATCACTGACGAAATCTTGACTCCCAGGTTCATCGCACTTGCGCTGTCGCCCTTCCGTGAGTTTCGTGAATTCCWGTACCGTGGGTCGTGCTGATTTCTGCCCTAGCATATGTTTTCTTTAGGATAGGCAAACGGATTAGGAGCAGGTCGAGGTTCGCACAGGCCAAGTAGCCTGATTGGGATGTACCCGGTCAATATAGTCCGGATCGCGAGGATCAGGTATGGTGGCACAGCTGCATATCAGCGTCCCAGCATTCCAGAAGCTCCACTTCGTCTCCAGAGCAGGGGGCGCGCGGGACGATGTAAAAGGTGGTGCCCGTAGATAGCGTGCAGCTCGTATTGCACGAAAGACCAGAACAACGACGGGTGGCGGGACGGTGCCTGCAGGCGATTTCCAGATACTGCTCACAAGTTCCGACTCAGGGGCCAGCTAGAAGCAACGTGCATCAAAGAAGTTCGCGAGCAAGCCGAGCAAGTGTCCCCACACCTGAAGTCGTTGCCTCCGTCCCCACTGTCTCCACGTGTTACAACGTGGTCGGACAAAGCATGGCGAGCCGCAGGCTTAGATCTGCATGGCGGATCCAGGAAGCCATTCAGATCGCAGGCTCCGGCTTCCCTTACCTCGGGGCCCGCGTCGCCTAAAAAGCCACGAGAAAGGCGGTGACAGATTGGCGACAGCGTGGCAGGCATGTCACAGCGCTGCAGGCCGCTCAAAGGAGACGAAAGGAACAGTCGGTATAGACGGTCGCCGCCATCAATCTGTGGAGATTGAAGTAGGGGAATGCGAAGAAGGAACGACATCCATCGCGCCGGGTCCGATGAGCGGCGCGCATGTCGCAGATTGAGAACAGGTTGAGCGGCGCGGGATACCTGCTGCTGCTGCAGCTACGGGTGTGGGCTAGTGAGCGTTCGCTTCGAGGGCGGCATGCCATGTTGGTTGAAGAGGATCAATTCGGCTAGTTCTGCCCCGGCGGCGGCATAGTCATTTTGTGGGGTTAGGTGGTTGGGGCACGCATACCTAATCGTGCATCATCATAGGCCCAGGGCTGATGAGATTATTGAAGGTTGCCGGCTCTCCTTGTTCTGTGACAGTGCTCGCGAATAGGTAGCTAAAGTATAGGCACAGAATGAAGCAGCCTCGCAGGGAGTCAAATGTCTTATCGAACAGCATTGTCTCGACAGTATTATCGGTAATGCAGAAGCACGACATCTTTAGCTGCTCCAAGCACAGCGCTTCTTTACATCGAAAGTTGTTCCTCATAGCTTAATATGCTTTGCGAGAATGAACTCACTGCAAACGCACCAGAGGTAGGATGCTCGAGAGGACTCTGTGGAGATAGGGTACATAGTAAACAACCTCCGATGCAAAGAGATGATGAAGGGCGGCAATCGTCAATTCCACCGGGCCTTGGCCTGAAGAGGTTCGCACTAATCGGCCTGCCTTGTCGGCCCCGCCCGTGCACTGGCGACATCATTTGGTGAACCGCGTGCAATGCTTGCGAGACCTGCGTGAAGCTGCGCACAGCACACAACAGTGTCAATACGACGGTCATACCGCAGCGCCTGCCGTAATCTCGATTCCTTTGCCTCGTGGTGTTGTGTGCCGCCTGCCCTTGGGAACACAACAGGCCCTTGCCCTTGACCCACCGCCATGGTAGTTCTAGCATGAGTGGAAGCGAATGTAACACAACTCGCGAACCCAGGCCTGGGACATCCAATGCAGTCCCCGTCGACTTCTCCGCCGATTCTGGACCTGTCGCATCTCAAGAACCGCTCGGCAGTCGGACGGGCTCCCACGCGCACGCGCAACAAACAAACATTAGACAGTGGTTCGCACAGGCAGGTCGCCAATAATCGCCTGCCGCAACTCTTGCGAATTGTGTCGCTGCTAGCGAGGGGGAATACAGCGAGGTTATTTGGAGATCATAGTCGTCGCACAACCGCCCGCCGCTCGCGTGATCGCGAGGGAGTGCCTGCGGCCCTGCACCAGCGCCAGCGCCAGGCATTCTTCCTGCAGCACCGTGGTTCTATTCCAGCCTGACGGGTCTCCCTTTTCAGCCAACATCCACGGCCACGCACTGCAGAGCAACGTGGGTCGCTAGCTTGCCGGGCCTGTGCGCAGTGTGGTGACTGGTCGGGGTGGTCGTGCTGGAGGCGAATCGTGGAAACGTTAATACGTCAATATGTCTCCCGACGCCGAAGATGCATCTCCTTCATCACCTGGTGTAGAGTACGAGTCCGGCAACATGGCAGAGGAAAAGATCGAACGCGCCTCCACCGACGAGAAGTCGCCTGCACACGCCAACGGCAGCAATGCACAGCCCGCCAAAAGCAATGCCAAAGATCCATCGCGCCCGCGACGCAAGAAAGCCCGCCGCGCTTGCTTTGCTTGTCAGCGTGCCCATCTCACTTGTGGTAGGTCGTCGCCACATGCCGGGGATAGATTATTAGACTAACAATCGAAGGCGACGAACGCCCGTGTCTCAGATGCATCAAGCGTGGTCTGCAAGATCAATGCCACGATGGCGTCCGTAAGAAGGCAAAGTATCTTCATGATGCTCCGGCCGAGGCACTCATACCCGGCTTTCCCAACAACAACTATGCAATGAACCGGCCAGGAAGCATGCAAGGACCGCCTACACCGAATGGCATGGCGGTGCCGGCGTCCCAAAGCGCTTCCTTCTTTCCACAGACATCGCCTGCTGGCTTCGTACAGTACGGTCAGCCGCCCCAACAAGGCCACATGGGCCCTCCGATGATTGATAGCAATGGACTGGCGCCTGAGTTCACCAACCAGGCGGTGGAAACCCCCTCTCATTACCAGGCAACGCCGAGCCAGCAGACATCTCCCACGCAGGAGCTGACCGGTACGCTTGACCAGACTCCGCCGATCGGCGTAACGGGCAATGCATCCTTTGACGCTACCTACTTTGACTCGAACGATCCATCTCTGTTCAACTTTAACATCTCCGAGCTAAACTTTGGCAATCACTATGGCGCGCTGGAATTCGGCATGCTCGGTCACATTTCTTCTGGCGCAGTGAATACGCCAGAATTGGATGGCATGAACTCTATGGGTCATGCTAACCAGGGAAGCGTGTCTTACGACGGGACTGGCTCGAATCCCGCCGGATTCAATGGCTACGGGCAGCAAACATTCCCTTCCTGGCAGGGTGCGCCAAACGCAGGCTCCAGACACAGCAGCAACGCCACCAATATCTGGGCCACGCAGAACTACGGCATGGACGCCTATGCTATAGGAGAGCCAGCGCCTTCTTTGACCGGTGCGAGCCCACATTCCCAACCTCAAGACTTCGCCGGCTACCAGTCGGCCACCATGTCGTCGCCAGAAACCCAATTTGGTCAGCCGGAACAGACCCAACCCTCGGATCTCTTGCGGCACAGTTTGTCTCAAGCGCAGCAACAATCTCGCAAACAAGCACCGTTCCCAGTCGATTCTCTCTCAGATCCCAATCGCAGCACGCGAAGACGGGACACCTCGGAGATCTACAAATCTGTAACAGCTCCCTATTCATACACGGCTGGATTCCACGCTCTCACGGCTTTCCTCCAACGACATTTTCCCACGAAAAAGGTGCTGCGCATCGCAAAGGCGCTTGCGACCATCAGACCCTCGTTCATCTCATGCAACCAAAAGCTGTGCCACGACGACCTCATTTTTATGGAGAAGTGCTTCCAACGAACGCTGTATGAGCAAGCAGATTTTGCCAATAACTACGGAACACCCACCCTCATCTGTCGCCGTACAGGTGAGATTGCATWTGTGAGCAAGGAGTTTTGCCTCGTCACTGGATGGAAACGTGATGTACTGCTCGGTAAGGAACCAAATCTTAACATCAACAAAGGCGGCACCGACTCTGGAACTCAAACGGGCACGAGCTCTCGGGGAGCTGTGACTCCAAGAAACCCCAATGTCGGAATGGATCCAGGCCGACCGCAGCCTGTATTCCTCGCCGAGCTCATGGACGAGGACAGCGTCGTACAATTCTATGAAGACTTCGCCAAATTGGCCTTTGGGGCAGCTCGCAATAGCGTCATCGGAGGGCCACCATGTTCACTCCTCAAGTACAGGACTGAGGACTATTCTGGCTGGGCAACAGGCGATCAGTTCACGGACGATGGCAAGCGCATCAAAAAGCTGGGTGAGATCAAGACCGAGCTCTCTATGAGAGCTGAAGCCGGTATGAGTGCCCTTGGTGAGAGCAACGGCCGCGTGGACTGCCAATTGTGCTGGATGSTCAAGCAGGACATGTTTAATATCCCGATGTTGATTGTCATTAATGTAAGTTTGCCTTGTCCTGCTCTTCTGTTCGTGTTCTAACCGTTTGCAGTTCCTGCCATTGATTTAACGGTCTCACTACTCATGATCCACGAATGCAATGCCTATGGATGCGCGGTAATGATGCAAAGGCTTGTCGAGTCTGCCGTCTGGCACGGCCGGTGCATAGATGTCCGATTTCGGCGCATACAATGGGTGGCAGTAATACGTGCGTKTGAACAGCCTCTGTTCTCTCAATGTTCACAATAGCGAGCCATAGCATACCTAATAATTTGGATAGCTAAAATCACGTGCTTGCCTCATTGCGCGATCGGCGCAGATAATCTATTATGTCAGGGTAAACGATTAGGTACTAAGGTACGACTACCTGTACATGTATTGAGCAACCAACTGCAATTCCCAACATGCGTCCAGACGGTCCTCGTGATACGGTCGCTGGTCCTGAAAGTGGACCTGCACCGCCATTTCCACTCCGACTCAATGGCAAAGTGATCAAAGGTTTCGGGCGCGGAAGCTCAGAGGTACGTCAATAATCGCTTGGCCACGCATCCCAGAACGGTTCCCCTCCACGCCTCACCACACACCCTTTCACACCGCTGCAGCAGACAAGCAGGTGGCATGTACCACGCCAACTCACGGTACAGTGTAAGGGCGCTCGCATGCGGATTGGTCTGTCAATCTCGCGGTCAGCCAGCCGCTGTCATGGTCATCGGCGGCGCCTCTCCGCTGGGACGGACCTGAGCCAGCAGCGTGTCTGTCACGTTGGTCTCACAGCCTTTATACCCACAGCGCCATGAGCTTGCAACCCTTGCTTCATTGACACTCAATTTAGCTTTCCCTCATGATGACGATATCACGGTTGAAACACGCTGACATTGCGCACCTGTAGCTGGGCATACCAACCGCGAACATTCCTCTTTCCGGCCTCTCCGTGGGTGGGCAGGAAGATATAGAATCCGGCGTCTACTACGGCTGGGCGGGCCTATCGCCGTCCGATGCCGTTCGCCAGCACCCGCCTGGTACCAGCGGTGTGTCGAAATACAAGCTCATGGCGGAGGATGTGCAGACAACCCTCAATGGAGTCCTCTCACAAGGCAAGGAGAAGAATGGTCATGCGGATATTGAGACAAAAGGCGCTGTCTACCCGATGGTCATGTCCATTGGCTGGAATCCCTTCTACAAGAACACAGTGCGCAGTGTGGAGGTCCACATCATGCACGACTTTTCCATCGACTTTTACGGAAGCCACATGAACCTGTTGATTGCCGGCTTCATACGGCCTGAGCTTGACTACGTGAGCAAGGAGAGCTTGATTGATGATATCAAGACGGACATTAATGTCGCTGGTCGGAGTTTATCAAGAACAGCTTATGTCAAGCTTATGGGTGATCCATATCTACTTGATTTTGAAGGCAGAGATGAGATTGCTAGCTAGCGGCCCGTGTCAGGTCGGCAAGAAGTAAGACAGTACATGGACGCTCGTCAATTCATTACGCGCCACCTTCGCGTTTCGCGTATCTAAGAGGAAGGTCAGCTCGGGAAACTGTCTGAATCGACACGGTTCTACTTACTCCTCTTCCATCCTTTCTTCATAATCACGATCATTCTGAGCTTGCTGCTCATCGCTGATGTCTTGAACCCGGCGACTACCAGTTGCACCGTTCTCCACACCATTCAATTCCCGACCTGCTGAGTCGAACTGCTTGGTGGACTCGACAGCCGGCTCGCCAAGATTCTGATTCGTAGATCTCACAGTCGTATGGCCATTCTCATCTGTGGTCCTCTGATGGGAAGTCTGCTGCCCGCTGGTTGTTGTCTCGCCGTTTTGATTWGTGCTGGAAACGCTGTAGCTCATGGAAGAGCTGAAGTTTGATCGGCTAGCCATTCTTTCTGTGGTTTGATGTTATCGATTGATTGATGAAAGTGAATTTGCTTGATGTAAGAGGGACAAATATCATGCTCGAGGGGAAGCTCTTTGTTACATGTACTTCTGTCAAAACTTGGTGAGACATGACGACAGGCTTGTCGGTGGCAAATATCCTTAAACAGGGAACGACTTTTCGCTTTACTTCCCTCGCATTCTACGAATTGATTTCTACTATGCACTGCCACAGAATTGTGAGAGTTGTTCAGTGTAATTTAAGTGAAAGGTGAAGTAGTGAGTTATCAACTCTGATCGTTCAAATGGCAACTTTGAGAGAGGCGCTGCACATTCTCATGCTCAACTTGTGTACAACGTTGTACTGAACGCTCAATGTTGGCGCAGCTTATCTGCGGAACATGAAGGGCCCGTCAGCGACCTGATGCTGCTTGGCCTCTCCAATCGTGCAGCGACGTGGTGAATTCGAAGGCTAAATGGTGAGATTAAAGCCGCTTTCAAAATCTATTGAGGGCATGCCGTGTTCTGCCAATGTGAATTTCGCTAGTAAACATGAACATATCCTCACAACACCCAATCCAGTAGCCAATCTGGTCGAACGTCAGGAGCCGGCTGCACAACCTCACAATGATTCCTCGCGGTCAGGAATGCTCCTGCATTGCTATACTGCAAGTGCCTCCCATATTTTTTCGCGCTGTTAACACTGTCGTCCGAAACGCCAGCCGCGTCTTGCGGTATCCAGATAATAGGTGTAGGCTCGCGCGTGACCGGATCCTGGTAGGCAGCTCTGAGCTCCGCTTGCCGCTCGGCTGGAGACAAGTCGATCAACTCGTCTGGGTAACGACTTAATGCTTCGCCAAGTTGGTCGCCAACGTAAACACGGCGTGCAGCACCGGTGGCAAGATTCACATGCTCTCGCACTGGGATCGTYACTCCCGCAACCCGCTTGTTGACCCGAAGCAACGTCTTCCGTGCATTTTCTGCTGTTTCCACGAGTCCAGACGTAGAGCCGCGACTTGACTTCGACCGCACTCGCTTTCTCTTACTGCCAACGTGCTTGTGGTCATGCTTATCGTCGTGCTCCTCCCCGACAATTTTCACATCTGGCAGCGGGATACCAGCATCCTCGGCTTCTCGATCCATGTCGCTGCTCGGGCGACCCCTAGTATCCGCCATAAGTAGCTTTTCCTCAGCCTCGGCCGCCTCGTCTTCCAGCGTGACAGGTAGCAGCTCTGACAAAGGCCGCAACGCCTGCTCCAGAACATRGTGGTATGCAGCAGTGAGGGCGAGTGCGACTATCATGATGATCGCTTGCGGCGTACAGGCTAGGTCAGAGTCGCTATCCTTCACCAGGAAGAACAAGCCGACGAGCGTGATCTCCATGATGTACACGCCGGAGAATAGCTGGGATAGCGCATTGTCGAAGAGCAGTCCATGCGTGTCAACTTTATTCCGCTGAACGTAATAGTAGTTGTGCCGATAGGCGACAAAGAACAGCATGAATACGCACGAGATGAATATGAGCATCAAGGGGCTGATGATCGAGTATATGAGCCCAATAGCCGCAAAGTTGGTCCAGATGGGGTAAACGTTGGCCCTTGAAGAAGCGATTAGCACAACGTTCGTCCGCTCATAACTCCGAAGAGACTTACCACATCTGGTGAGGAATTGTGGTCTGAAGCCATGCTTCCTCCCGAGGAGTCTGCGTGAACCATGGCCAGATAAAGGTTATGTACAGAAGTCGCAGGTACTGAAAGAGGACGGATCCGCTGTATCCAAGGGCTTGAATGATGAGGTAGTTGAAAAAGTAGTTTGAGGCTTTCGGTAGTTCACTCGCCAGGGTATTCACGATAGAGGTGGGGTTGTTTACGATCGCTGAAAGGGTTCCGAGGAGACCATTGGAGATGGAGGTCACCAGGACCAATTCTACAAGGAGGAATGTGAAGTAGAATGCTTGCGTGACAATCTCGCGCCGACTGCGCGTGGGCGCTCCGACCAGCACGGCCAGCTTTCGGCAGAGCGCTGGAACGACCAGCTGGACAAGCAGGGCTAAGAGCAAGGACGATACAGGGCCTGCAACTGGTCARCGATTGGCAGGCACTTCAATTGAAWGAAKTAATACCAGAGATGAAACTTATGATCCACTTGTCCCAAGTTCGCAACCATCGCAACCAGCTGGTCGTCTGCCGGAGCGAGTCCAGCTGCGATAAGATGCTGAGGAAGAAGGTCGGTATCGCCCACAGGATCAGCATTCCCACAAACAAGGCAAGAGCAATGAAGGTTCTGATAAAGCGGTGGAGACTCGTAAGCCCCATGTTTGACCAGACAWCCTCATGGGGCGCAACGTCTAGGTATCTTGGAGCCATCCGCCCAGGCTGATGGTGACTGATCAGCGCGCAAGCCATGTTGGCCGACATCTGCCTGTCGAATTGAACGAAGGCGGAATTTTGTAATTTGAACCGAGCTTCGTTGTCGAGTTCCGGCAACAGCGCATCGATTTGCACAGTCAGTCGAGCAACTTCCTTTCGTAGCCATGCGACCTTTGGAACCTTTTTGTGGCTGCGTTGCCAGAATTTGGCTGGCTTCAATTCACCATTTGCGTCTTCCACTAGAGAAATACGTCCTTCTGAGGTGGCCTTGAGATATTGGCGCCACAACTGCCGGTCATCCTGGCAATCAGCCTCGAAAGCGGCAGTAATTTGGGGTTCTGCGCCTGTATCGTCAGCTTCGAGAGAGTCTTCGGCCACGACTGTGTCTCCTGAAGATCGCGGCGACTGTGTTGGTTCACTTGAAGTGCCGTCAGTCTTGCGGTAGCGCTTATTGACCTGCCGCATCGTCTTCAACTCTTCCTTTTCGAGGGCGTGGCAGGCACTCTTGCGTTGAGCGACCAATTTCCGGAGAGACCCATAGTCTCGATTGACCCACACGTGAAGCCGACGGCGGTCATCATTGTCCACAAAGACGTCGAAAAGTGCTTTCAAAGCCTCTTCGCTCCGATACTCGCTTGGTATGTTGGTAACGAGTATCGTCTTTGCTGAAGCGCGTAATCGGTGCTCCGGCGAGGTCAGGAACTCCTGTCGGACGCTGATGAAATGGAGCTTTTCGCGGTAGATGCGATAGAGCGTCCAACAGATTGCTAGAAGCGCACACAATAGATGCGCCCAATATCGGGCTGTGTGTGTTGGCGCCACATTCTGCCAGGACAGCCTGTCCAGGCCGGTGACGGCAGAGGGTTTCTAAAGCGAGATATGAGAGGTAAGCAAGTGTCTTGGACGTCCTCGTGCTTGGGTCTCAATTTCACCTACGGTCTCTCCTCCGATGCGAAAGTCGTTACTGTTCCTACCGCCGTTGAAGTTTATGGGCAGTAAGATGACAACAATGATCATCATTAGCGGAACGAAGATGATGACCATAGCCCGGAGGAAACGGATCGCGAAGTATCCATCCTGCAAACAAACATCAGTCAAGTCAGATCCTGCCAGCTAGGATTGCAGTGCACGCACCAGACCACATTTGAGCTTGAGTTCTTCGCCTTTGATCTTGAAAATGCGAGTAATCCATGCGAGGGGACTCCTAGGTATGGCTTCGACGCGAAGTCGTTCCTGCACGAGATAGGTCTTTGGTTGACTGTTCTGGAATGAGCAAAATGCGATCGAGATGACCAGAACTGCACTGACTATATGCGACGGCCGATTTTCGAGCTCTTCAGCAGAAAGAAGCCCGAAAGTTGGAAAGCAAACAGACCGAAACCGGTGGCAAGATTCAGGAAGAAGGCTCTTGTTGTGACGGATCCGGTTTGTGCGATTCCGCCGGAGAATATAGCGGACGCGTTCAGGCTGGCCATGGTGTACCTACATGTCGCGAATACGCAAGTTCGACGGGATGGGTGAAGAAGTTGTTGTCCACGGCTTGCACGGCCTGTGATGGAATTAGGAGGAGAGGTTACAGGTTCCCGTCCGTGCACTAATTCGAAAATCTCGCTTCCGTGTCCAATCAAGTCCGCGCACGGTTTTAGCACAACGGTGTGRGGCAATGAGAGGATGAAACGAAACGTGACGGAGAGCAAACCGCTTGTGCTTGTGAGGACGATGCGATGCTTCGCCACAGTCGTCTGGTCCTCCGTGGTCAAGCATGCTAGTTACATCATCAGCCACTCTCTAACACCATGCAATGCGGGTCGCTCCGACCAAAAAGAGATACATGCTGCTCAAGCCTCATGCTAGGGGCGCTTAGCGGTGTTTCTAGTCTTAGGAAGGTGCTTGGCCGGTTTTCTAGACGTCGCTCCATCCTCTTTGGTGGCTTCTTTGCCTGAGCAGTTTGCCTAAACACCTCGTATGCGATTCCGTGGTTTTTTAAGACGATCACCTCTACTAGATATTGCAAGCAACCTTTCCGATCATCATTCCCATCGCAACGACCCGTCCATCTATAGCATCCCTCATAGTCGACCCTTCGCTTCTGGACCACAGGCCGCCAAGTACATTCGCTCAAAGCTGTACTGTCTTGCAGCTGACCGACCGGTGGACTCAAAACAATTTCGCATCGCTCGCCTCTTGCTCGTTCGCATTTAGCTCGTTCAGTCCTTGCGACCGAACGCGATCATTTATGACTGCCCTGTTCGGGAGAATGTGGTACTGTATAGGGCCCAGAGAGTTCCTGATGTCGCTGGTTTGCAGCGGTGGCATGCAGCTTCGCGCCAATGCTAGACTTGAAAGTTTTGCTGCCGCTTGCATGGCGACCACTTGAAGCCCATCACTGGCGGCATTCATGCTCAGCTTTGGCGCCCTCGGCGTCCTCGTTTGAGGCAGTCCTTGCTAGGTGGGTGTAGCAATCGGAACATCGTAAGGGCAACGAGCCTTTGAACGTGATTGCGTCAGTGGCATAAACGGGCAAGATGCCATGTTCCGAATTCCTTTGCTATCCTGGCCGCCATAAACACATGCCGTCTCTTTGATGTCTCGGCCCATACCCCTGCTGCAGGCAAGACAAATATGCAGTTTTCCATCTTGGCAGCATTCAAACAACCAAACGAAACTGAAAGCAAATTACTGAAAGCAAAGTTCTTCACCTCTTCTGTGCTTCAAAACTAGCAGCGGGCTCATCCCAATTCTATCCTCACCAAGTTCATCCTTCCAACAAGTCAGAGCTTTGAGCGAGATATCAACATGGACAACAAGAACACAGCAGACCAAAAGCCTCCGCCGGCGCAGCAGTCACAGAAGAATCAATCGGCGGCGCAGAAGAGAGGCTTCAAGATCCCCGCCCAGGTCGACACTTTCGAGGAATGTTCAGCGGAGCGTAAAAAGCTCTCTGGAGACGCCGCAGGCAAGGCCGAGTTCAACGAGTTCTACTGGACCCTCGTTCGCGACATGGCCATCATGGAAAACAACATGGACGTGCAGCTCGAGTACCTTCGGGCTATCAGGGATGGGGAGGATTGTCTGGAGAGAAGAGTATTGCTCTTTCAGCCCCACAATGCGTCTCCTGAGCAGGAAGCCGCGATTCGGAAGGAGTTTCAAGAGGTAGCGGTGCGCGGAGAGAGGGAGAAGGCTAAAAGGGGTGAGGGTGTCGATGATCATGCAGGTGGGAAGTGGTGGGAGAAGTCTGGTCGATGTGTTGGTATGTACAAGCTAGACGAGGAGGAGAAGTGAGCTTACACGAGGCGGATTGAGGCGGATTGCTGGAGGAAAACTCGATGCTTGAACATTTCGATGGATTCTCCGACATGCATGCTCAATGCGAAGAGACATGAACGGCATCATCCTAATTGCAAGATCCAGCTGTATAGATTTTCCCCAGATGTGTTAAAACCTGGTTATCTGAGAATGTGAGATCCGCCGAGAGAACTCGACCCAATACTCCTTACTCCAGAAGAAACAAGTCTTTGACTTTGGTTTGGTACCTTTGCCTGCTGATATGAAGACAGCCGTTGACCTTGGGATGTGGGAGTGGCATCTGGGCTTTTACAATGGCCTTCCAACACCCCAACACGATGTTCATTGGTGTCGACGTCAACTCTCCAATCGAGGGCAAGTTTGAGACGGCCGAGAGCAGAAATTGCCGCTTTGTCACAAGTAATGTCGAAGACGAGTGGACATTTGTCGTTTTGCTGTCCTGGAAGGTCCACGGCGATACTTCATCTCATTTCCGCTCCTAGGGTTTGGGTGCTATCAAGTATTCTCTGCATTACTCCCTCGGTGGCTCGGTGATAAAGTTGAAGGTGGTAGACATTGAGGGCAAAGACGTCTTGTCCGGTCGGAAGGGGAAACTGCGGACGACACCTAGGAGAACAAGTATTCTAGCGGCGCAAATCCAATGTTGCCCAGGTGGCTGAGGATTCGGTAGGCTTGTAGAGTATTACAGCAAATGCTGTGGGGATTCCTCGAAGAGCACAGACGATGAAATCATTGGCACATGCCGAGGGCGTCACCGACGCGGGTTCTTGTTGATGTGGTTGTTTTGTCGCTTACCTCGAGCATGACGACTTTCCTCGATTGAATACAACTTTCAAGACACCTCACTTGCATACCTTACATATCATTCATATCCGGAAGATTGATACTGTGCATCACAACATGAACCAGTCTATATGGGCAGATCCACCGGCAGGCGAGTCAGCGACAGAAGCAAAATCAACAGTACTCCCAGTGCCAGAGCCAGAAAAGGTACGAGCCGCCATTGGGAATTTACATCAGCATCCGGATGCTAATAATGGAAAGCAGACATCATCCCCATCACCCGCTGCTTCAGGCCTCTCCGCCGTTGCCACCRCTTTCGCGCCTGTTCCGGTCGAGCCGCCTCCGCCAGATGTCGCAACCGCTGAGCTCTTTGCGCAAACCGGCGCAAACGATGACGATTTGTTCGACGATGTAGTCGCCGAGGAATCGATGCGAATCCGCTCCGACGATGACCTGTTCAGCGATGATTTCACTCCTGCGCCAGAGCCTGTAGTTACAGCATCCGCGCCTCGACAGGCTCCCCCGCCAGTCGCGCATGCTCCCCGAGGGTCAGATGAGGCACCTAGATCGAGGGGTAGGGGAAGAGGAAGGGGTCGAGGAGGCAACGATGGACGCGCGCAGACTCGGGGAGATCAGCAGGCACAGGCACCGGCACCGGCAGCGCAAAACACAAGGACAAGCGAGAACAGAGGTCAGACACAGTCGCAAGCTGCACCACAGAACAGCGCGCCACCACCTGAGAATGCCCCGACTGGGCCACGTAAGGAAGCCACTGCCTCCGTCCGTGGCGATCGACATGCTACGGGTGGTGTACGGAAGCCCRAGTTGACGGAGGACGAGCTTGCACAGAAGATGGCCCAGATTTCAATCAAGAATGCGGACCTGACAGCAGCACACGCGAGGGCAGAGGCAGATGCTGCTTCGTTTGCTCATCGAGAGCAGGAGGCTAAGCATGTGGCCGAGAAGCGGAAGAAAGAGGAGCGCCGAGACCGTCAGCAGATGATGGGAGAGCGGGAGAAGAACAGGCTTAGGAAGCTGAAGGCCATGGAAGGTCGCGAGTGGGATGCTGAGAAGCAAGAAGATGATTTCCGTAGCGGCGCTCGCCATGACAAGCGGGGCGGCTTCTCTGGCGACAAGGAGGATTACAGCGATGGACGGGAATATCTCTATCGTGAACCGAAGAACGATAGGGGAAGGGGAGGTGGCCGAGGAGGACGAACCCAGGCACCTGTGTCAGCACCGAAAGGGGAAGATTTCCCATCTCTCCCACCAACGACTGGATCGAAGACTGCCAATGAGCCTGTTTCCACGAAACCTTCGAGCAAATCCTGGGCAGATCAAGTCGAAGCCGCATAGAGGCATGCGGGATGATCCTCTTATTTAATGAACAATACGACCCATTCTTGCAGATCTCTTCACAGTAGGTGTCGACATTCGACACCATTGGCACGCAAGATCGGGCCGTACAGCTATTTCCCTGGCTGGTAATGCCAGGCAGGCAAGGCAAGCACAGCCGAGCGACGAGTGAGTACATCAATACTATGTAATAGTCGCTTGGATGTGATGCTCGCAGAATCTCAAAGGCTATCTTCGCAGCTCACGCCCTTCACTTGTACTATTCCTATATGTCGCCGAATCAGGCAATTGCGCGGGACGACCTCGGTTTTTGATGACTCGATGATCCAATCTGAACGCTTGCTCTTCTTMCTCCTGGTAATCCACCTATTCTTCAACTCTCGATATTCTTTCCACGTACTGTCCCCGTTCCGCCCCACCATGTCTCTCGATTTCGGTCTGCAAGACGTTCATGTCTTGATCACTGGCGCTGCTGGAGGCATAGGCCTTGAGACCGTCAAAACGTTCCAGAGGCTTGGAGCTCGTATCACAGCTCACTACAGTTGGTGGTTATTGATTCAGACGGTGCAGACACAGCTGACATGTTCAGATTCAAAGCCTGGAGAGCTTACGGATCTCTCGGACATCGTTGCTCTACAAGCGGATGTTCGTGACGAGATTGCAGTCAACAGGCTGTTTGAAGAAGCATCACAACGCAATGGCCCGGTTAGCGTCTTGATTTTGAATCATGGCATATGGCCCAGCAATGACACGTATATTCCCCAATATGACTCCTGAGCTGGATTTGTGCTGAGTGTCACTCTAGTCATATTGCCGACATGGACCTCAGTCAATTTGTGAGCATATCCGACATGAGGTTTCCGGGATCCTGCTGAAATCACTCAAGCGCAACACATTGGATGTAGACCTCACAGGTCCATTCCTGCTCTGCAAAGCCTACCTCCGTGCCCTTCGATCCGCTCCAACATCCGTCAAAGACGTTGCCAGCATCTGTTTCATTGGCAGCACAGCAGGTAAATTCGGCGAAGCCAATCATGGAGACTATGCAGCAGCAAAGTCTGCTCTGGTGCGTATCTCCCACCATCATGCACCTCGTGGCTATACTGATCAAAGCAGATGTACGGTCTCACACCGACTCTAAAGAATGAAATCGTGGCTATTGCTCCCAGAGGACGAGTCAATAGTGTCAACCCCGGATGGGTCGCTACACCTTTGAAGCAAGAGACATTAAAGRACACGAGATTTGTTGAACGGGCTCTTGCTACGACTCCCCTTCAAAAGGTCGGTAAGCCTGAGGATATTGCCAGACAAGTTGCGGTCGTATCTTCGCCTACGCTTTCGGGACATGTGAATGGTGTAAATCTTCAGGTGGATGGTGGAATGGAAGGGAGGTTGCTTTTCCCGCCAAGTCATTGATTGTGATTGTTGAATCGTCCGGGTTAGGGTTGGGGTAGCAATTGTCCCTCGCGCATGAGACTGTAGCAGACTTCCAAGGTTGCGATCTGTCGAGCCGGGTTTTATAATGAATAGCTTTATCTTATATTGGCACTCGTTGGATGTGTCATTGTTTCAAAAGCATCGCGGCAAAGGACCTTCCGTAGACCAAGAAGCACTCAAGCAAGCCACAGAATGTCACCCAGGCATCTATGCTTCACGACTCCTGATCGCTCTGACCAGCACGCACACCTTTTGCAGGCCCAGCCAGCTACCTAGGTGAATGACCACAGCCGGGGACTGCCACTTTACAGCGATATGGATGAATCAAGGCCATGTAGTACACGTCTACACTAAATGGAAGTCATCAGAAGTATTTCTATAAACCCACATGCCATCGAAGGTTCAGTGCCACATTAAATGATCCCCCGACTCTTCCACACTCTTGTAAAGCAAAACAAGTGGATATCATCCCGTCCAGACACCAATCGGTGCCACATCACCCATTGCGCCGATCCTCGTCTTCATTCATTAATCATTATAACCTCCACCAGTGTATTCATACATTCCTTCCCACCAGTCCATTTGTGTTGATTCCCAGCTTCAACTTCTTCCGACAGTCTGGACAATACCATTTGGTCAAGCGTTTAGGCTCCTCCTTYAAGTCGACACACTCCAGATGGAACCACTCCTGCTTGCAGTCATCCGCATCACATCCAACCATGGTTCCCCAACTCACATCTCCGCAGATACAATAGCGCGGCTCATCAGGATCGATGTACTCCTCAGGAGCCTCCACGGCAGTTTGCGCATCATTTGGCGTGAGTGGATCTTTCCTCCCGCCGCCAGTGCGTTTGCGGTTGGGAGCAGCCTTACGCCTCGAGACACCGACTTTGGCGCTCTCGTCGTCCTTGCTAGTGATGACTCCAGGAACGGGACGGCGGCTGCGACGGCCGCTCTTGGTGGTTGCAGTGGAGATGTCTGGCGAAGTTGGCGCATTGGTCGATGACATGCTGGTGCTTGGCAGGCTCGCGTTGCTATTGCGGCGCAGGCTGGCCCGTCTCCCAGGAGGCTCCTCGGAGACAGCCTTGCTGACCTTGAGAGTGATGGTTGGTCGTTTGGTAGCGGGCGGGGTGGCAGCCCGCCGACTGTTTCGGGTGGTGGCAGCTTTAGGGGAGGCCGATACGCCTGCGGGTGCAAGAGGTACCTTTTGCGGCGCTGGCTGAGAGGGTGCTGTAATCTTGAGCTTCTTCACTGTCGGCGCTGGTCTGTAAGCATCAGTTTCGTGCGTCGAGGGACCAGCAGCTGGCGTGGCCTCGCGCTTCCGCTTCTTGTGCTCAGGGGAGGCTGTAGAGAGTTTACCCCCGTCCGCAGGTACCTCAAGTCCTTGCTCACGCGCTATCTGGTCTTGAATAGCTGCTTCCTCCTTCATGCGCAACCGCTTCAGCTTTTTGGCCTCGTTCAGACGCATGCCTCGATTGATAAGCTCGGCATCTTCGTCATCATCTTCGGCATAGACCTGTGGGCCGAGCATGGCGTTCATCTGATCTGTGTCCTCGCCGCTAATGATAACCTTAGTGGGGTCCGCTTCGTTGGGTTCATCGACGAACCGCTCTCCTGCCGCTTCTGCTCGCGCTCTCGCAGCCTCCTTGCCGGCCATACCGCGCCCAAGATTTTTCAGCTCTCGTCGGACCATCGTCTGCGAAGGCACCCATATGGCATTCTTCTTCATACGCTTCCGTAGCTTGGCCATTTCCCATTCAGTCAGCTTCATCCATGGCAACCACTTGCTTCCATTTGTAGCGTCGGCTGGTGGCTCATGAAGCGCAAGTAGGGCATTGGACGTGCTGATTCCTGCGACTGCAGAGTGTGCGTTAGTTCCTTGGTGGCCAGGCGCTCGGGGCACTCGCGGCTTCGTATTCTTTTCGTCGTGTGCACCAGGTTGTTTCATCGCTTTGGGTGTCCGGGACCGCTGTCGGGGAGTAGTCCCTATCCCTCGTTTGTCTCCACCACCAGGAACTTCGAGCAGTGCTGGAGAGGTGCGAGCGGACGTCCAGTCGGACATGGTCTCGAGCGGCGCATTGGGGTCCGGCGGTGGGATAACCTCTCCCGGCACCATGACCTTTCGACCGCGGATCTTGCTAGCAGCCTTGTCATGCAAGCGCTTCAGCTGGTTTTCTGGTCGACCATCATCTCCTCGCGCGCTCATCCCGCGATCGCGCTTCAGATTGGGAGAGGTCAGCGCCTGCTGCTCCGGCGTGGGATCTCGAGAGGGTGGCTTAGGTTGCGCCTTGAGTTTTTGTGTGACAATATCCAAGCGTCTCGCCTCGCGCTTGCACTCTTCATCCAGTCGCACGGCTTCCGCTAGTGACATGCGACTTGCAGCTTCCGCCTCTTCCAGCGCGCGGCTGATGTCGCGACGGAGCTTGACCGGGTCCGGAGCATCATGCTTGATAGTGGGTAGCAAGCTGTATGCGGTGGTATCATCATGCACCTTCTTAACCATGCGCTCAGCCTTGGTACGCTGCTCATGGATGAGTGAGGTGGCACGAATCAAGTGTGAGGGAAAGTGCTCCGTGTAGGTGAGGAAGTCGGAAAGCGTAGCCTGGATATCGGGATCCGTTGGAGGCGGCCTGCTCAGAGACCGGTAGTCGGGATCGGGGTCGTCGAGCGCGGCCATGATGGATGGTCACGGTATTGTAATGTGGGATGTGAAGCTTGAAGCTTGGAGGACGCGCATGAGATCGCGGAGTCGAGTCCGGTAGTCTACCTTCCCCGGACTACGTATCCCCATTGAACTGCCGTGGCACGCTCCAAACCATTGCGCATCGAAATTCTCCACCGAAGCCGATTAAGACAGGCATACACTCTGATATGGCCGCCGCGGTGACGGGGGCACCTACGCCGCCCCAGGAAGAACAACCGCAAGGCGCATATGCATCCTATGTTAGCCACGATCTCCCATACAATGAGCACTTCGACGATTCTCTCATACACGTCGTCCTTGGCCCAACACCGCCTCAAGATGGCATCCGTATAATTCCCGAGGATAGTACCGAGCAGCCTGTGGATGGTGTTTCTGTGCGCGCCGATGCTGTCTCTTGGCAGAGCTTGCCCTCAATCACGGAAGACGAACTTCCACTTCCACTGGATGWTCCACGTCGCATCTTCGCAAGTCCTATTGCCGGTATAAAGCTCACACATCCAGGAGGTTATCTTGAGGGTGGTCCTGGGTTGGAACCGGACATGGACACATTCCCCGAGGACTTTCTGTCCAACAACCCTGGCGTCAATTCATCGGAACGATTGAGAGCCGCAGTAGACCAAGAGATCGAAGCCAGCATAGATTTGTTGAAAGACAGATTGTTGGCAAGGAAGAGGGCAAAAGAGAGGAATGAACAGATCGAGAAGGAGCTCAAGCTGATGAGTGATAATCACAGTCTGGAGTTGAAGATTCAGCGGAAGATGGCTGAGGATCGTAGAATCAAGAAGGAGGCAAAAGAAAAGCGGCGGATGGAGAGGGAAGGCGGATGAGCTGTGATCCCACGAAGGATATGGATCATTTCGCAGTTCATGGACAATTTCATTGCAGAGGCAGAGCCTAGCTGCCCTCGGCGTACTGCAGAGACGAATGTTGACATGTCACGAATTGGCCGATGATCTCGCATCCTGGGAACACGCATCTGTACCGGCGTCGAGTGCACCATCCTGCGGGACAACAAAATTGCTTCAGGCCTGCGAAATCTTGATAGCATTTCACGTTGATGAGTGCTGGCTTGCGATTGTACGTTAGTCTCCGCGTCTACCATCGWCCATTGCTAAGCATTACGTKCTGACCGACCTTCAGGTCCTCTGCAGTTGGCAAGGCACGCGTCTACCGACGTTTACATCCGCTGCATATCGGTCGCTTATCGCACTCACGCAAAACGGCAAGAGTGCTTATGAGTGTGGGACTCTAGTGAGCGCTCGTCGGGAATCGCCTGTAGACGGTGTATTCAAGAGCACACGACACCGAAGCATGGGAGTTATACGCAGAAAGAACCTCACAGCATCGTTGGGGATTATCCGTCTCTGCAAACGCGACAAGAAAATTCGACCACTACAGTCTCAAGCATCTTTCAGGCAGCGTCGCATGAGAGGGAGCGATGCAAAGATTTGCCTGTGAGAATTGCTCAACATCGATGAACGATATCACCCATTTCCCAGCTACAGAGGTCACTGTCAAGTTATGGTAGTTGGATTCAACATATGTTTCTTGCGGATCTCATGTGAGTACGACAAGTGAGTCAAAAGCACATCTCAAAGTGAACGTGTCATGTTTGCCATGAGATGAAGTAGCAGTGATGCAATGGTAGCTTTGCAGGATTTCTTGCCCGAGCCAGGCTTGAACATACGGTGAAGGCCATATAGGACGTTGAACGAGGATACATGGAGCTACCAGGGATAGGTCGACTTTGGTGCTTCGGAGCCGTGTTCTACCATGCCAGTCATTGGACAGCACCGGCCCAACAGGTGAAGGAAGCGGAGCAGAAAGATGTCCACCCCGCGTGTAGCAATCACGTGATGTCAGTCATTCGTGTGTGATGGAGGGGCTAGCAGAATCAGAATTTGTCTGTGCGCCAGATTATAAAACACTCATTCTCTTTCCAACTCTTTCACACCCCGTCCTCATACCGTCAATCATTGAATTGCACCCTGAGGTAGGCGCCACTCGCTCACAAACATCAACACGACAACCACCACTGACACCACCACACAGAATTCAACTCCTTGCACTCACAACCTTCCAAACAACAACGAACAACCTCCTCAACCGCAACCATGGGGTATGATCTTCACCGCGCCCGCGCCGCCACCGCACCATCAAAGAGTAGCAGCTGACAGCGGACACAGAAAGGAAAAGGCTCACATTAACGTCGTCGTTATCGGCCACGTCGATTCCGGCAAGTCGACCACCACTGGCCGTAAGTGCTCGCCTCGATCTGCGACCGTGATGACACAGCCATACTCACAAACTTCACAGACTTGATCTACAAGTGCGGTGGAATTGACAAGCGTACCATTGAGAAGTTCGAGAAGGTAAGACTCCCCGTCGCATCACTTTACTTCCGTCGCGCGCCGTGCAAAAATCGCCCATCGCCCCTCGCTTTGGTGGGCTGGTGGGGGTCTGAGATTTTCGCTTGGCGTCCATGACCTCACACCGAACAAAAAGCCTAGCTGGCCACATGGCTGGCTTCACTCCACCCCCACATGCCGTCCAAATTTCCTCTACCATCAAAATGCTGACAACCTCACCCACAGGAAGCCGCCGAGCTTGGCAAGGGCTCTTTCAAGTATGCCTGGGTGCTCGACAAGCTGAAGGCCGAGCGTGAGCGTGGTATCACTATCGATATCGCCCTCTGGAAGTTCGAGACCCCCAAGTAAGTTGTGACGAAGCACCTCGACTCCCCGGAAACGCCAGCTAACTGGATAAACAGGTACATGGTCACCGTCATCGACGCCCCAGGTCACCGTGATTTCATCAAGAACATGATCACTGGTACTTCCCAGGCCGACTGCGCCATTCTCATCATCGCCGCCGGCACTGGTGAGTTCGAGGCCGGTATCTCCAAGGACGGTCAGACCCGTGAGCACGCTCTCCTCGCGTACACTCTCGGTGTCAAGCAGCTCATCGTCGCCATCAACAAGATGGACACCACCAAGTGGTCCGAGACCCGTTTCGCTGAGATCATCAAGGAGACTCAGAACTTCATCAAGAAGGTCGGCTACAACCCCAAGCACGTCCCATTCGTGCCAATCTCCGGATTCAACGGCGACAACATGATTGACGTCTCCACCAACTGCCCCTGGTACAAGGGATGGGAGAAGGAGACCAAGGTCAAGTCTACCGGCAAGACCCTCCTCGAGGCCATCGACGCCATTGACATGCCCAGCCGTCCTACCGACAAGCCTCTCCGTCTCCCTCTCCAGGATGTGTACAAGATTGGTGGTATTGGAACTGTTCCAGTCGGCCGTGTCGAGACCGGTGTCATCAAGGCCGGCATGGTCGTTACCTTTGCCCCAGCTGGTGTTACCACTGAGGTCAAGTCCGTCGAGATGCACCACGAGCAGCTCGTTGAGGGTCTCCCCGGTGACAACGTTGGATTCAACGTCAAGAACGTCTCCGTCAAGGAGATTCGTCGTGGAAACGTTGCCGGTGACTCCAAGAACGACCCACCAAAGGGTTGTGACTCTTTCAACGCCCAGGTCATCGTCCTCAACCACCCAGGTCAGGTCGGTGCCGGATACGCACCAGTCCTCGACTGCCACACCGCCCACATTGCTTGCAAGTTCTCCGAGCTCCTCGAGAAGATTGACCGTCGTACCGGAAAGTCTGTTGAAGACTCGCCCAAGTTCATCAAGTCTGGTGACGCTGCCATCGTCAAGATGGTGCCATCCAAGCCCATGTGTGTTGAGGCCTTCACTGACTACCCACCTCTCGGTCGTTTCGCCGTCCGTGACATGCGTCAGACCGTCGCCGTCGGTGTAAGTTACCATCCCATGCGCAGTTCACAATCCGTCAGCTAACATATCTGTGCTTCTAGGTCATCAAGTCCGTTGCCAAGTCTGACAAGGCTGGCGCTGGCAAGGTCACCAAGGCCGCCGTCAAGGCCTCCAAGAAGTAAGCGGGCAATCGATTGCGGAACTGCTTGTTTGCAGAGGATGGGCTCCTTTGCTCATACTCTCCTTCATCATACCCATTTGATCGACCTGTTCTAATTGACAACATCACTCCCGAGTACTGTTCTSGGCCGTTCGGACAGTCCTTGAAATCAGAGGAAGCGGCCAACCTTTTCTTTTGTTATCTGCACGAAAAGTCACGAAGCGAAATGATGATGGCGGTTTGCGAAGAGGGCTTTAGTCTGAAGGCAGACTTATGCTTGCCGGTAGCTGAGATTCCGGCAATATGCTAGAACAATGAAACCATTGAGTGCACTGTCTCGTCTCGTCTCTGTCGTGTGTTTTGATTTCATTTTCAGTGACGTCGCTGGTAATGAAACTTTCAAAGTTGACTTTGTCACCGAATCACTTCTCCGTCTACATCCTGATAACATGATTCCCACTTCCCGCCCAGACGATGTCGCCCGTTGTGTCCTCGACACCTTTGACATTCTTCCCGCCGCATACCGACCTCGCCAGCTGCCGGAAGGTCGGCGCGAGTGGGTACCTCTGGCTGGTATCGTGCTGAGCCGCGGTGAGTACATGTCTCCTCAGATCAGCCGGGCTCTTCTAACGTCGCGCTCGTCGCAGAGAAGATCATGACCTGAAATGCGTCGCCCTTGCCACAGGCATGAAATGTCTCCCTCAATCCAAAATCTCCTCCGCAAATGGCAACGTTCTACACGACTGGCACGCCGAAATCCTCGCCATTCGCGCCTTCAACCGGTTTCTGGTCGACGAGTGTGCAGACTTGGCTCGACGGGGTCTAGGTAGCGAGACTGCTTGGATACGGTGGAGGCAGAATGTCGAGAAGGATGAAGTGGAAGATGCGGCCGGTTGGCAAGGTCAGCCTTTTGCGTTGAGGGATGATGTTAAGATACACATGTATTGCTCTGAGGCGCCTTGTGGAGATGCTAGTATGGAGCTTACAATGGCCGAGCAAGAGGACGCTACGCCTTGGACTTCCACGCTCCCTACCGAGGAGAAGGATGGAATGTTGGGAAGAGGACATTTCGATCAATTGGGTGTTGTGAGGAGGAAACCTGCACGACCGGATGCCCCGGCTACGTTGAGTAAGAGTTGTTCGGACAAGATGGCTTTGAAGCAGTGCACGGGTTTGCTGTCGAGTGTGGTGTCCTCACTGATACATCCTGGGAGTTCTTACTTGGAGAGCGTAGTGCTGCCTGAAAGCCAATGCATATCACAGGCAGTGAACAGGGCGTTTGGAAAAGGAGGCAGAATGAAGGAGCTCGCGAATGAGGAGCTGCAAGATCGTTGGCGAAGCACAGGGTTCGCTTTCCGACCTTTCCATGTGACGACTACGAAGAGAGAATTCAACTTTTCCAGACGAGGGCCGCAAGCTGCAGCAGTGCCGAATGTTTCGAGCAATCTGTCTGCGGTGTACACGCCAACACGGCGAGAGATTCTCGTTAATGGTGTGCTACAAGGTCGGAAGCAGCTCGATCCGAAGGGTGCCAGTTGTGTTAGCAGAAGGAAGATGTGGATGAGCGTCCTGGATGTTGCTCTGCTGGTTGGCTTGCCTGCTTTAACGTCAGCGTTGGGAAAGCGGACGTACTCTGAAATGAAGGCGTCCGGTATCTTCAAAGGGAGGAAGAGGGTTAAGATGGATGCGAGAGAGTTGTCGTTAAAGGGATGGAAGCGCAATGAGGGCGACGAGCAATGGTGTTTGTAAAGTTGCTCATCTTGACGATGATGATGTAAGATCGCAATATTGACTGAGAGACCCAGTTACATGTACTACATCACCGTCCACCTTCCATCGAAAGACTGCCATGGCGCAAGCTAGGACCCTGATGGTTTTCTCAAAGAAGATCATTCTCAGCTGAGGCGCTGCTGCTCTTGACTTGTCTGGACGGCATCTTTACCCGCGCTTTGACCCTCCATATAACGATCGCAGTGATGACGATGACGAAGAAAAGCACGATAATGCTGCAGATACTGATCAGCTCGATACTCGCTGCAAACTATCTTCACTCACTCACATCGTGGCAATCGCAAGATTGGGCTTCATCCTTGGAGAGTGGGTCTCTGCGGGCGCTGGTCTTTCCAGAGACGTTCGACGCTTCAGGGGTGTGGCTGTCTCTCCGGGCTTCGTCTCCTGCAGAACGGTTGTAGACCGTGGTGTTGTACAAGGGCGTCGGCTTATACAGGAGCGTCTCGTTCTTCAAGGTCTTCAACCCTGTGGTCTCTCCCGGTGATGTTCTGCCCTGCCTGACAGCTTGTCTGACTTTCCTCCCCCTTAACGTTTTCCAGCACCATGGGAGTCCGCAATGAAACTTTGAGAAGAAGCGGGATGCGTTTGTGTGAAACGTATGGAGCGGTCTATTCTACTGACTGATCGCGGCGGATGTCTCGAGGTTACGATGGCGAATGGTAAGTAACGATGCTGGTCTTTTCCAGGAGCGAGAGAAGTATGAAAGATTCAAAAGGAGGTAAGAGGTTGACAGACAGCGGTCGAGTATTGACGGGAAAGTGCTGATGTAGTGCTTTCTGTCCGTTCTGTCATTCTGCCTGCCACTTCCCAATTGCTTGAATAACTATCATCTAGACGACCGAAATGRTAGCTACATGTGGGATAGCCTTTCCTCTTGTGACATGCCAAGATGTGTCTTTCTGATGGAATCGTTCGTCGTAGGTTGCAAGCCGGTTTCCATGACAAGTTCAATCCTGTTGGCAAGCAATATTGGGAGCTCTGCTCCATGAAGCCGACAAGTGTCAGTGCCGCCATTCCAATCAAGTTTCGTCGAGGAAGTGCCGACCGTGACAGTGCCAAATTTTGCCAGGTCGTCAAACGACATGTTGCAAATCCCAGAGGCATGCGGAAACTGCGATATCTCTCCGCTTGAGGGTGATGGTTGGCGGCGAATGCACGAGCTCCGCTTCCATATCGTCTGAAGCCATTGACGATATGCCGCCRGAGCGTTCCAAGCCGAAGTCGATGTGTTCACAGTGCAAAACTTCATCATCGTCCTACTTTTCAGCACTTCCTTGACCGCCAGCTCCATTGCCGCTCACGGTCTCCTCGCCCAGCACTTTGGAAGCTGCCATGAACCTAAGCATGGGTCAACATCCAAAAAGAATCGATGCAAAAAGAAGACTACGACGTACATTCCACCAGCATACCCACCCAGCCCTCTCATACCTTCCGCCTGTACTGCAGTCATTCGTAACAAGTTCTCCAGATCCGACATGTTGGCAGTCAACTGTGCTAATTGAGCGTGAAGATGTGAAAGCTGACGTGATTTGGAGGCGGAAGTCGGGACAGTAGAGAGACGTGATGTTGATTGAGCACGCGAGTGGTTTGGACCTGGAGTGCGAGTGGGGTTTGACATGTTGAGTTGATCAATGATGCACGTTTATTGCAGACGTCCAAGAACGCGTTGTTTGAGAGAGAAGATGTCTGGCGGGTGCGCACGGGCCTCAACTTCGCTCCTTCCTCAGCAAGCAAGCAGCCTCTGAATGTGTATACTCATATCTTTGCCACTTTTCACCATGTCTGGCCCAAACAAAGCGCGAATCATTGCGTTGACAGGAGGTGTCGCTGCAATTACCGCCACTGGAGCATGGTATGGCGCTGGTCTCAAGACGAGGCAAGAGTTCAAGCAGGTAAGTTTCTCAACTCCTCCCTCGCTCGTGACACATTTTGCTGAACAGATATGTATTCAGGAGAAGCAAGTCATCATACAATCTTCCGCAGCCGATAAAATTGCCCAGCTCCAAAGTACCAAGGAGAAACTCATCAAGCAGCGAAAGGAGCTGCAAAATAAAATCAACAAACTCACTGCAAAACCCACACCGGATGCCACTAAAACTGATGGATCTGACGGCTGAAAGCGGCAATGCTGGACTTCAATCAACTGTCAAAATTACCGGTGGTGCGCATATTCTTCCGCGCAGTCGACATGCCTGGTGGTAAACTTGGAACCACATGCGGGATTGTCTTCACTGTGAGTGCTGAGATCTCAGCGAACGCCGGATAGGCACTCGCCGTGATTATCCACGAGCGAATTACATCGCAGAGCGGTGGGATCGCAGCCGCGATGCAGCATGTGAACAATGTACAGCTTTCTGCTGGTATCCCTGGATATCTGCTCGTCCACGCGACCATGTCAACAACAGTCAATGCCTGTATCTGGCAGATGGGCCACCTTCGTTGGAGACGATCACACCAAACAGAGGAAAGGCAAAGTACAGTGAGGACTTTGAGCTGTCGTTGGGATAAATACTGTTCGCTTGTATGTTACACAATAGCCGAGCTGATTGCTCAGCCCACGAGTCTCGTGCCCTTCCTCTCGCACTGTTCCTCACATTACTTCTTCAAGTTAGTAGTCAATGGCTTTTGCAGCACCGCCATTCAATGACAATGTAGAAGTTGGAGCATAATGTCCATCAAACTGGCATCCACTCCCCTGACGCGCGACCCACTCCCCTCAAACGCCGCGCACTCAAACATGTGATCCGCCTCCGTATCCATTTCATTTCTCATCGTTGCCTTGCTCTCATTCGTCCTTTACATCATGGAGCGAGGACCCGTGCGACAATGCACTGCTGCGTGGACCCTAGCCTCGAGAATGCATCTGTTGCTGAGGTGGCATCGGGTAGGCGCCCTGCTGAGCGGCTTGTTGCTGTTGCATGTATGCCTGGTATTGGAGCGCTTGTTGCTGATCGGCAGTCATGTAAGGCTGCTGTTGTTGCTGATTGCGTGGCATGCCCTGGGGTGGCATGGATTGTGGCATGGGTGGGGGTGGTGCGTGTTGTTCCTCGGGTGACTCGACGGCAGAGCCCTCATCGACGCCATTTGCATCGGCAGGTTCGGGCGCGTTCAGACATGCCTGAGAAAGATGTTAGTGCGGAGACACGGCAATGGGGAATGAAGAAATGCTCACTTGGATTAGGTTCTTCCCCTCTGGCTTGGTGACCAGTGGCTGCAGCTTGGGTGTGGTGAAGGTGTAGACCAGGCCGGTCTCGGAGACGACCAGGAGTAGCACTTGAGTGCCAGTCAGGACGGAGAGTTCGTAGGCCTGGTGGTGGAGGAGTCAGTACATGGCATGTTTGGAATGCGCGCGCGCACGATGCGACGCGTTGGCAGTGTTCGCAGACTCACCTTCTTCATGATTCCGGCCTTGCGCTTCGAAAAGGTAATATGCCGACGCGACTTGTCCTGAATGAACTTGATTTCGATCTTGCGACGCTCGCGGCCGGGCTTGTCATCGTCATCGTCGTCGTCGTCGGCAGCGGTGGACTGGCGCTGACGCTTGACACCGCGGCTCTCGGCGTTTCCGTTGTCGAGTTCCTCTTCGTGGTCGTTGACCGTGTCCTGATTGACGATCTCTGCAGACATGATGGGCAGTGAGGTGAGCGCGTCGCTGGGCTATGCCGGTTTGAGGGTGTTGAGTGGGAACTTTGGACACTCTCAGGTGCTAAACCTCAATCGGAATGCTCCTTCCCTTATTTCCCGAGCCGGAGGTGGGGAATGCAGCAAAAAGCTTATTAGGAGGCAGAAAGCCAAGAACCTTTGTTGATTCCGACTTTGCGACGGTGAGACTTTACCTGGCCGTGCGACGGAAGCGGGACTTGGTTTTGCAGGTGTGGAATGTAATGTGCATGCGGGTTGTCGGAGAATTGGACGGAGGAGCGACCGTCAAGCTGATGAGCCGAAGAAGAGATTTCGATGTTTCGCGCTCCCCATTCAACGATGTTTCTGCAACCTTCGAGTGCGTTTGGAAGGAGCTAACTTAACGCAGTATAAGGTAGCAGCCGTGAGAAGAYGTGGAATAAGTCGCACAGAAGTGGACGAGAAGGGACAGAAGTGGCTTTCGCGGCACAGTTGGCTCTCAGCCGCAGCGCGCTTAGCATCCTTCGTGCCGAGCTCATCTCATCACATTAATCACAATAATGGTGCACCGTCTCAAGCTACAAAAAGCGGAGTGCGCCGCTAGTTCTCCTGCCGTCCAGCTGAGCAAGGTTCATGGCCTCTCTTATACGATGTAAAGACATCGCTCCACTCTCTAATCACCTTCACTTGAATGCCCACAGGCTGTATCCACAGACACGACGATGTACAACGTCACCATTCTGCTGGACTGTGGAGGCTTGTGACCTTTCCCATTGGCGGGCACAACATTGGCCGGTATGGACACGATGTTTCTCCAGACACTCGATGTAAAGGATCTGACGGACCATACATTGACGCATGAAGGGAGCCATCTGTCGCCCATCAAACTCCCAAACYCCGTGAGATCCGGTATGCCATTGTTTCTACATGCGTGGTCATAATTTAGTCCTACAATATCACTCGATGGTTCCAACAATGGCACTTCAGGGAGTTAATGAGCTTGCGAGACGGCCTCAAATGAGATCGAGCACTCTATACGACCAACCAGCTCTCCAATTCCGTCAAAGAAGCAAGCAGAAAAGTGTCAAAGACGCGCAGCAGAAGTTGTTTCCGCGACCGCCGCACCGCAATTCTGCCAGCAGTAGCACTTTTGCAGCAGGCGAACGGGTCTCGATTTGACAACAGCAGGAAGTGCCTTCGTGACGATAACACCCATATACCCATCAATCGGTGCACATTGAGCACCAGGGATATAACCGAACTTTTGAGGAGCTGTCAATGCTGCAAAGAGCCGCATCTCCCCAGATGGCCAACGATCCATTACAAGCCTTTGAGATGTCAGGACTAAAGCATCCGCTTCCGCAGATTGAAAGTCATAGCCGCTAATATATGTCAGAAAGACAGGCAGTACAGGGCTGAAACCTCCCGATAGCTGTAGCTGCTCGGTCTCTGTATTGTAAAGCTCGTTTTTCGAGTGACAAGGTTTCCCTCCGGTGCTGTTGGGATTCAAAAGGCGAAGCAGCGTGCTTTCGCGACTGCAGACCCAGCAGAGTCGGGAAGAGCAATTAAAGCCATGGAAGTCGGTCCTCATGTTGGCCTTTCGAGCAATGACACGACTGGCCGCATTGCAGGTCTCCCTGAGAACGATACGTCCCTGCATATCATGAATCACCCAGCCAGATTGAACACATGCAGGCAGCAGGACTTGGTAATATGGGGAGCTGGGCCTCATTTGTTAGGGGAGTGGCTCAGACACATATCATGCTTGGTATATATGTATGGCGCCACCATGAGTCCCTTCTCGAGCCATTCATCTGGACACAGGTGACCCAAACCAGAAGAGTGCATCCAAAGACATGAACCATGTGAATCTTTTTACTGAAATACTATTACATATATACTCTATAGTTGCATAACCATCAACATCATCATCGTGATCATCGCGTCAATGTCCAAAACTTTTTGTGCAATGCCATCAGCGTCCCTGCTTACTAGCACGTCTCGTATTCATATACATATCCAAGGCACTCCCGTCACTGCTTGAAGGTGCATGACTCGCGGCACGTCGCCTCGCAACCCTTTGCTCCCAGGCCATTAGCGCCCTCKGTGGATCCACTACTTCCGGTGCAGCAACGCCAGGCACTGGTCCATTGAGCGTTCCGTTCGTCTTCAATACGGCCATGAGAGCAGCTGACAAGAGTGCATTTTGTTTCTCCAGAGCTTCAAGACGAGCGTCGAATCGGGTAGATGCTCGGGTGGAAGAGCCCATCTGCTGGGAGGTGATGTGAGGAGTGCGATGTTTTGAGGATGTAGAGTCCACGGGCGAGACTTCGTAAGATGGGACTGTCGGGAGTTCCTTCCTGGCCTCGCCCATACTCTTCGACTTCTTCGACTTCTCGGATCCGGAAGCTGGTGGTGTTGGTGGCAGAGCACGAGTAGGAGGCGGCGATGCGAGTGGTGGTGAGGGAAGCGGTGGAGACGGGAGAGGTGGAAGTTCTTCTTCACGCATCGTGGCAGGACTCTTCGAACGGATTGAAGAGTGAACACTGTTGCTGTTCCTACTCCTACGTCTCGCGGCAACTCGGCCGATCGAAGCAGATCGAGGACGCGGGGCAAAACCTTTGCTGTCCTTGAGAATGAGACGGGCTGGCTTCGGCGTGGATCTGGTCTTGGGGATGGGGACCTTCTCAGCTACGAGCATGATTGGACTCTGCCTCGGGGAATGTTGTGGCGACGCTGCCCCAGCGGATACTCTAGTCGACACCGGAGTGCGGTCGTCGTCCTCGGAGAATTCGCTCGCCAGGGACGGTACTGGCGACACCGGACCGACGGTGGACTGTGTATGTTTTCTCCAGCTTGACGCACTTGAAGCGCTAACCACGCTTGTGTTGGAAGGTGCCCGTAACGGGGTTGGTCGAAAGTCAGGTATCTGGATGTGCGGCCTCATCTTCTTCAGGCGWTGGCGAGTTGCTGATGAGGGTGCATTGACGACAGAGTCAATGGTCCGATTGAAGGAAGGTCTTTCCTTGAGCTTGCGGACAMGAAGGCGTTCCTCCCGTTCCTTCCGTGTGGCCGGATGACCTTGCACAACATCGCCACTACGAGACTTTGGTCGTTTGATAGGACCAGTGCACTCTGTGGTGACGGTCGCTCGGATCGGATCAGGCTCGAACCGCTCAAACTCGTTGAATGATTTGATGCTCGGTGCCATCTTGGGTGTAGGAGTTGCTCTGCCATTGGCCATCATGCCTTCGATCGTTCTATGCTCTCGCTTGAGTCTCAAAGGACTCTTTGGCGGCGGTGGGCCAGGACTATCAGAGTTGCTCCCTTGATACATGCTGGACGCGACACTTGATCGATGGAGCAGCACGGGATGGTTGCCAAGTCGTCGGGGAAGCGGATGCCTGATTGCGACCTCTTTCTCCTCCCCAGGATGCTTGACAGGCGACTCTTCGTTCGGGAGGGATATGCCAGGAGAGCTTGGAACAGACTGGATAACAGGATGACTTGAAAGAGCCCGTGAGGTATCATAGGAGGACCTTGAAGCGGGGTGGCCGAAGGAGTCGTTGGGGTAAGAGTCTGCCATTGAGCTAGTAGATTCTGCAATTGGGCTGGGAGGATTGGAAGCGGCAGGCCTAACCGGGACTGGGAATTGTCTGGAAAGACGGTGAGCGACTTCTTCGTACGTCCTGGCCTTGGGTGGAGTATGGAAGATGCTCTTCTGGTCGTCGTCGATGGAATGCTGTTGTCTGCTCAATGTCGACAGCCAGCTATCCAATACATCACTCGCGTTAACTTCATCGYGAAACCAGACAGAGACTTGACTCTCTAGCACCTCGGGGCTGTGCAAACGRGGTCAGCTTGGCATCGAAGTGGGAGCGCGGCCTGGACAAGGTACCTCAAAATGTCAGGTCGTGCCACGGTCGAAAGACTCTGTCGTCCATCTGGTGGTCCTTGCACAGCCAAATAACGCTTGCCTTTCATTCTGTCAGCCTGAAACAGTATGAAGTAGAAAGGAGAAACAGTGTTACACATACCTGTCGATGACACTTTTTGTTGCACACCTGGTGGCAGGGGCTCCACAAGTAATCCACCTTCATCTCGCAGCACTCCGTTCAGTCTAGAACAAATTAGCCGAGAATATAAGCGGGTTTGGAATCTTTGATTCGTCGACGAACCGCTCATGAGCAGCCTGCGCTGGCGTCACCTGTCGGTGTGATCCATTGCCCAAGTGGAAGAAGCGCAACTTCTTTGGCGCGCTCACTGTTCGTCTGGGGCCGTCGGCTTTGCTTGGCTTTCGTTGAGGTGCAGTAGGTCCAGTTGTTCGCAGGAAGAAGGCCAGGTCGTGGGAAGCATTCTCTCTTGGTAGGCGCGATAGGCTCGTCTGGGTCATCATCTTGTCGTTGTCGTTGGCTATGCCATAGGACGGCCTCGGATCGATCGCGTTAGTAGTGTAGTGTGCGTGACTCGCAGAGTGGTAATGATTTGAGGAAGAGTCGTCTGTCTCGAACAGGGGCAATGTATACTGGCTGCCTTCCTCGGTCTGCTGGATAGAGTCCTGGCGGAAGATGGTCGAGCTGTCATCATGGATTTGGTCCCGCTGAGTTCTGGAGGAGCCCTGTCCCATGATCGTGGCAGACCCGACAGTCGCGCCTGTTGGGCCGAACGCTTCGGACGAGATGGGAAATTGCGAGGGGCTCATAGCTGTTATCTCCCACGCGCGCGGAGTATGGTTGGCAAAGGATGGGCCTGGGTTCCGGCGCGGCACTCCGGACAGCTGCATTGTGCACGAGAGTTGCGTGCAGCGCAACCTAGAGCCAGCGTGCGTGCGCGTGTGCCAGGGCGCTGTGCGTCTGACGTTGAGTAAGTCACGGGCAACGCGCCAACCATGGCAACTCACTCACCACCCTTCCGTGACAAGTTCGGGACGGCTCGTGATGCTGGGCGAGAAGTGAGGCCGCACGGCTAGTGATGGTGTCGGCGATCAAACGGAAACAGTACTGGCAGCTCTTGTCGACGATTAGGATTGTTAGGGAAGACGAAACACTTGACAGAAAAGAGCGAGAAGAGAAGATGGTCACGTAGGAAGAACACAGAAAGGCTGCCTGCAGGGTACCAAATAGAAATCACACATAACTTACCTACTCTTCCATCAGATCTCGAAAAGGCTCCCCGTGGGGGAGCAAGGGCCGCCTACAACTCGGTCCTGGCGACTAACTGAGGTAACGCACTGGCAAGCGATTTGTGCAACGGAAGCAGAAGCACACAGCAGATTCGGAGTCCGCTGGCCAAGAACTCTGCCTGGCTCCTCCTCCTGCTCGCACTTGCACTTGCACTTGCACTTGATGGCAGATGCACATTCGGAGCTGCCTGCCGTCGGATGTCCTGACTCCTGGCAGAAACCGGTGATTTCTTGTCTGAGACAGACATCCACAGTCGTCGCCAGCGGCAGCGGAAGATTCGGATTCGAGCTCCACCGTGCACCATCCGGCGGGAAATAATTGGGCAGCTGCGGCGGCACAAAGGCCCACTCGGCGTGAGAGTCGAGATGTAGAGGCATGGTGCGCAAGGGATGATTTCGTGATGCAAGCCGTAACGGATGGAGGTGCATGTGAGGTCGCACAACATGAAATGGACAGGGTAGTTGGACGTCGGGGCGTTGGCGGAACAGCAGCACCGAGCGCCTGCGGGAGATTTTCACTCGGCTGCTCGAGAGGACACACGATTTGCGACGAGTCCACCTGGGCAGTGACTGGGTCCCTGGTGATGGAAGCGAGCCAGAAGCCGCCAGAAGATCATGACAAAAGGTGGCTGGATTTGCAAGTTTCAGGCGATGGCGTACAGCCGACTGCAGGGATCAATGTTCTTTGAATCCACAGGGCAACGTCYTGTCAAATACAGGCGGATAACTGCCGGTAGGAGAAAACGATTTACCATTTTCTTCGGGCATGGCATAATCCGTTTTATGCCGCAAGCATGTGGCTCATCAAGGCGAATTTCTTCGCTCTCCTTCATCCTCAACAGAACACGAGTGGCACACCGTCCAAGGCAGTCCGCCACCCAACAAGAGATCTAAAACCGCCCCGTCACCGCAGCACGCATCATGCACAACGATCTTGATGTCTCACGCTGACCACGAGGCTATGTAACACGCTTCCATCCTGCGGACTGTTCCCGCCACATTTTCGTACGTACGAAATCGAGCAGCTGTTGTGGCATATGTGCCAAACGGGCTCGCCATCGCCATCTTTCCGAATCGCCATTTAGCTTGAATCGTCGTCTAGACTGAATCGCCCTATATAGCCTGAATGCTTCCTGTCGTCAGCCGTTCAACGCGGCCCTGGTTTCGGTTTCTTAGGCAAAAACGGGCTGGCAGCGGCCGGCCTCTTCTTCAACAGCTTCGGCTTTGGTTGCACGACTCCACCGACAGCTCTCGGAGCGGAAGCTGTGCTTGGAGCCACCGAAGACGATGCGTCCGACCTCCCCTCCTTGTCTTCTCCTGATAATGGTGTTTCAGCCCTGGAACTCGAGGCGCTTCGTATGCCAACTCCGTTGATCACTGTCGATGTGACCTTTGCGCCATCGTGGGCACCAACGTCTGCCATCTCGACGTCTTCGGAGAATTTACGCGCGGGTGGCTTCAGGCTGCCTGTATGCTCGCCTCCTGTATGTGCAGTGCCATTACCGGTGCTTATAGGAGCCGTCTGATCTTGCTTTGTCTTGGGAACTCTGTCTGCAAACTTGTAGGTGACACCTTCCATCCGATCTGAATCGGACGCATGAATGGGAGTTGGCGCGGCTTGCACCAGCGGACGTGGAAGTGGTGCAGGGGTCTCCTTGGGAACGCTTACGACGTCTTCCATAGACCTCAAAACACTGCCTTTGGGTGCAGGGAAGGCGCTAGAGGACTTCTTCAGCATGTTCATGATGTTTCCGGTTGTGTAGCAATCTCTGCCTTGAGCATCCACAACCAATTTGCGCCAGTACTCTCCTCTGACCAAACTGTCGGAATTTCCAAGAACCCATAGACTCGACTTTGCTCGCGTGAGACCAACGTTCATACGGCGGATATCCTGCAGGAAACCGATTCCACCAGCCGGACTCGCACGCACGCAAGAAAAGATGATGATTTCAGCTTCACGCCCCTGAAAGGCATCGGTTGTGTTGAAGTCGATGGTGTCACCAATCTCAGGGCCGTATCTGTTCTCGAAGCGGTTCTTCAACTCACGTAGTTGGGATTTGTAAGGCGTGATGATTCCAATGCGTCCGGAGAAGTCATAGTCCTTGAAGTCGGCAGTCAGACGATCGAACAATGCCATGGCAACGTCAATCTCGGCCATGTTGATGAGTGAGTGGCCTTTGGGCGCGGCTTGGTGCTGACCCTTGACATCGAAGAAGCGATACGGCGCGAGAAGAGCGCTAGCATGCCAAGGCTGCTGGCGTAAAGCAGCCATTCCGTGACCATCTTTGAGAAGGCCGTCGTAGAAGGTACGACTCGGGAAGACGCTAATGTCCGGGTGCATGCGGTACTGCGTATCCAGAAGATGTACCTCATCAGGAAAATTGTTCTGCATGCGCACGAACAGACTCTGCTCGTACTGAAATCGGGCCGCCTCCTTGGAGAAGACCGTGGGCGGAAGCTGCTTAGGATCTCCAACCATGATACACTTGACACACCCATACTTGAGCGGGATGAGTGAGCTCATCTCCACACATTGTGCAGCCTCGTCGATGATGACAGTCTCGAACTCGATGTTGAGGCTCTGGAACATGTCATGCCCACTGCCACTCAACGTGGCGCAGATGACGTGCGCCTCGTCCAAGACAGCTTGCTGCGCTCGCTTGCGGTTCAGTTCCTGCTCACGCCCCGCATTACGCTCCTGGTCTTTCACATTGTCGATGCGGGTGCCAAGTTCGGCTTTGCGCCGCCTCGTTTGAGATATTGAGCTCTCAAGCGCAGCACGTTCGGGCTCAGCAAGCTTCTCACCTGCTTCATTGACGCCGGCATCACGCCGCTCATAAAGCCCTCGCAAAGTAGCGGAGACGCTCTCGTGATCCTTGAATAATTCTTGCCTGCTCTGGCGCTGTTTCTCATCCCCTTGACTACCACCCAACTTCTTCTGCACGAGTTCCTCCATTGTCACGTCCGCCACCATTGCATTGATGCGGTCGCTGCGTCCGATGCGCACGACGTTAATCTGGTGGTCGCGTCCATTCTTCGTTTTAACGCCAGCTTTGAGACGCATCACAAGCTCGTCGACAGCAGCGTTGCTTGGTGCACAGACGAGGAGCTTCCTGGAGGGCGGGATATCCATCAAATCTGCGTTGCCGTTGGGCTTTGGCATGGGTATCTTGGTGGCGCCGKTGGTAGAGCTGGAGAGAGTGTTGGTAAGGAGGCCACCCACAATGGCAACGATGGTCTTCGTCTTGCCAGACCCGGGAGGTCCTTGGATAAGCGAAAATCCTTCATTCTCCAGAGCAGCGTTGATGGCTTCCGACTGAGCGCGGTTGACATTGTACGAGTCTTGAAATGCCTGAATCTGCCGATCGCTGTAGGGGATGCGCTGTGATGGCTTTGCGCGGACGATCTGATTGCAAAGATCGTAATATTGCAACGCCTTGAGTGCACCGTATTCACGTTCCAACGGAGTAATGGACTGGACTTTGAGACCATACACGAGGGCTTTCATCGTGAGCTTATTAGTCAGCGTTGTACCGGGGGCGAATTGATAGACCACTTCAACGTGCGCTTTCTGACGTTTGATGCGATAAATCCTCGCCAAGCAGTGGGCAGATGAGGGATCATCCGCTGGCTTGGATGATTCGGAGAACAGGATGATATCGCCTTCCATCAATTGAAGGTCGCGATTCTCCTGGTGACCAATGATGCTGCTGATCTCGATGAGGTGGTCCACATTGCTGCGATTGTGCACCTTGAGTTCGTATGGTCTGGAGCTGTTTTCCTCACGGGATTTGACAAGACCCTGCCACGCCTCCAGAAGGAGCAGAGGCTCAAATGTCTGTTGGTAGGTTGTTGGATCGCGAAATGACTTGGCCACGTGTGAGAACTCGTTGGGGCTGCTGCCAGGGGGAAAGTCGCCGTCATGGAAAAAGTTCCAGCCCAGGATTGTGCGGTGCAGTGAGCTCAGATCCGGTGCAAGACGCGCACGCATGTCCTTTAGTGATCGGGCTGTTTTTTGGATGCGGGTCGGAGCCCTCTTCGTCTCCGGTCGAAGGCCAGTCGCGCCACTCAAATCCAGACCTGGACGATCAACCTTCCTGAGGTGCTTGGACTTGCCTCCAAAGAGATCATCATCCATGTCATCCTCTTCATCCTCTTCTCCGCTCTCTTCTTCGTCAGAAGATACCATGATGTTTTCACCCCTGGTTGTGTGATCCTTTCCAAAATTGCCCAAACCTGCAACACCACTTCCAGCCCCGAGGCTGGCATTCGCTTTTGCAAGCGCGGCGAGTCTGGTCCGTTCTTTCTCTGCATTGGCCTGTTGGCGTTTGGCCAGAAATGTCTTTGAGTCTTGCTGGAGCTTTTGCGCAGCCTTTTGCGTGAACGCGTTGGGCTTCTGAACCGCCGCAGCAGGCTTCTTGGCTTCGGATTTCTTAGCCTCCGCTTGCTTCGCCCATGCGTCCAGATCGATGACATTCTTGCCTCCCTTGGCAGCCGTAGGGGTGACTGTGCCGCTGTCTCGTCCACTTCTAGACTGCGCCCAGTCTTGCAAAGTGCCCTGCTTTTTACGAGATGTTACATCGACTTCGATTACATCGGGTGCCAGTGAGCGACCAAGGTGCTTCTCCAAAGCCTGCTGTAGCTCAGCCTTCTGATTCGCTGTCAATTTCGTCCTGACCTTGTTCTTGCTGTTGCTGCTGCTGGTGCTGCTTTCGATGTATGCTGCAGACTCCACTGTTATATCGATRCCATTCTCACGCAGTTTGATGAGCATCTTCGCGGTCAGCCCAACTGCTTTGGCAATAAGATAGTCGTCACGAAGACGTAACCACTTTGCGACTCGTCCAAAGGCCCTGCTTGGCGTTTGAAGCAACGCTTTGCTCATTGTCGACCCAGCAGTATCCTTCGTACTCCCGGCCTTTTCGATCGTCGTGGCGATGAGAGGATACTGATCGAATGCAGTGTTTGCAAAGTCCATCGTGTCGCGACAAAAGTCAGAAAGCATACTCTTGTCGTGTTTGCCATTGGCCCAGTCTTCAGTCATGCCAAAGATGGTCCCCAAAGCGGTCCACGTCCAAAACCAGAATTCCCTCAACGCGCCCAAGTCTTTTTTATCGACAATGTCTCTAGAACGCAAGATGCCGTCCTGGCTATCACAAAGACAGTTGAAGATGTCTCTGACAAGCTTTAGTAGAACTGGGCATGGCGCAAAGATCTTGGCCTCGGATATCAGCTTCATCGCCTCGGAGAAGGCAGTCAGTGTGTTGCTGAAGAACACTTCGAGAAGATGTTTGAGACTGTCTTGTCTGCTGTCTTGGCTGGTCATTGTCTTGAGAACGTTGAGTGCGGCTTGATGCACATCATCGTTGCCGTTGAAGAGGAGAGCGACGAGGCCGTGGGCACCGTCGCGTTCTTGGTATATTCCATCCAATTGGTCGGGTGTGAAATCGTCRAGTCGCTGAAGCAAGTCCGTCGTGATGTGCTGGTGCGTTCTGCCAAGCGCGTTGTTCCAGGCTTCGCATTGTTTGGGGTAGTTGTTCAACTGGCTCGGAGCGAATTTCTCGATTCGCACGAGGTTCATCATACCTTTCAGCAGGGATATGACCAGATGCGGATGACCAGGCTTGACATGCCGCATACTCAACTTCCATAAGTTCAGGTTTGCAACGCCCAGTTCGTGATCCAGCTCTCCATTCCCCAGGATAAATTGCCGGTCACGGGCGAGACTCTTCACATCCAAGGCGATGACGCTCTTGACAACTTCAAGATCTAGGTGCTGTGTTGAACTGATCTGCATCTCTGAAATGGACTCAATGCCGTCCAGCTCTTGCAGGATAGCAGCGATGTGATCCTTGGCCACGGCCTCGATAATGTGGACATACACTGGCCCTCCATCAACCGACTGATCTAGCCGCATGATDGCCTCGAGTAAGGAGGTGAGCCCCTTCTTCCAGGTGATGCTGCTTGCGAAATGTGTGTAACGTTCTTCTTGAAAACGGTGGAGTAGTTGATCCAGCAGTGTGCGCATGGGTGGTACGAGGTTCCCAGGGGCAATGCTCCTCACGAAGCCATCGACCCAAGCCAAGGCGTCTTCAATCTCCTTTGCCGGGGCAGTTTCGCGCTSTGCAGGCTGAGTTGTGAGCATTTGATCGAGCCTTGGAGCCCTGCAAATGTTTTCCACCACAATCTGGGGCGAGATGGAGCCCATGGCTGCCCAAAAGTCGGTTGCGCTCAGGTCGAGCAACATGACGTATGTTGCGATTAGGGGAGAGAAGTGGGCCGCATCGACTTGAAAATGCTCGAGGGATAGTGTGAGCAAGTTCCCGTCCATGCTTCGGAGGTTGTCTGTGAACAGAGGCTGGGTCATTTTGGAGACGATCAGCCGCGTGCCACGCCAAAAGACGGGCAGAAATTCCAGCTCCAAGGTAATGACATTGACTCGATTCATGGCAGGTTCCAGGAATGGGCGGACGCTGTACTCGAATTCATTGGCACACATGGGGAATTTGACCCTGTTGCAATTGCGCTCAGCCCAAGCAACACGCTCGGCATGCTTCGAGTATAGAAAGGCCACTGCACCGGGCGCGTAGTTGCCGAGTGTGAACTTCTTCACCGACTGGGCTAAGCGGAAAGGCTTGTCAAATGATTGAGACAGGGTGTCTTCGTCGCGCAGGAAGGGCACGCAGTGGAGCGCTTCGAACATGGCGTACATGGMAACATCTCCAGCAGCGTCGATTCTACGCTCGGCCGGTGGAAGTGCGGCGAGGAGTTCCGACATGCTGTTCAGGCCGGTCACGATCCGCGTCTTATTCATGGCATCAAAGGTGTTCATAAAGCCGGTCACCTCTTCGTCTTCGAATTCCGCTTCCAGCCGCGCGCGGAGTCTCGGGCGAGATCGATGGTATTCCCGCACGCAGACATCGCAGCGTGTGAGCTGCATGACCAGCCCGCGCTTGAATTTGTCCTGATATGGCCTCGCATCTTCGCCGTCAAAGGCCAGAATTTGCAGGCATGTCAAGACTTTGTCCCGCCGCGTTCTCGAAGCGAGTATCTTGACTCCTCGCTCTTCTTTCTCCTGCTCGGACTCGTCGAGATTCTTGCCTCTTAAATCCTCGTCAAAGTAGGGATGCTGGTCGGTTGGGGTGGATCTTGGGCAGAACCAATGCAGAGCTTCGTCGAGTGCAACGAGGTCTCTGGCGAGCAGTAAGTTAGCAGAGGGGTAGCATGCGGGGTATGCTTTGGGGATGCTAACTCGATTTGCTGCACCAACTCCGCCATGACCACAAATAGGCCAGGCCTTTGAGGCCCAGCAAGTGGTGGAGGGGAGCTGTTCTTGCCACACGATGCTGACGGTGTCTATCTTGTGGTGTTCAAGTGTGGATTCCCAATCAGAAGGGAGGATCTGGGCGTGGTCATCCAATTGAGGCGCTTGCAATGCTCGAGATGTTGGTGGCCAGTAATGGTGGTGTGATGATGATGTTTTCTCAACCGTGAGCGTGATCAACTGGTCAAAGTTGCAATGCAGAGTGGGGGAAGCGCCTGTGCGGTAATCAAAAACCTTCAAAACGCCGTAAAATGCAGAAACTCGCGTGCTGGTGATGTTGTTGGACAGAACATGTAATAAGTTGGAGTGGACCTGAATTTGGCGAGGTACAACACAGAACTAAGGAAGTCGCGTCTCCTGGGTCGCGACTGCCGCACGCGCTAGCTCTGCCGAGATCCGAGACCCACTTCTTGACGACCACGTTCTTGCACGTGAACATTTGTCCTCTGATGTTACATCATGTCAAGCGATCTGTTCGAGGCGTTTGGAGAATCGCCTGCAGCAAATCATCAGCATGTTGAGTCACAAGAGAAAGGCAGCAGCAATGCTTGGCAGGTAGTGGAAGAGGACGAGGATGACGACTTTGGAGATTTCGAAGATGCATCTGCCACGCGACCGCCTGAACAGAATATCCCAATTGATCAGAGTCCTAAACCACCGGCAGATTTCCCTCCAAAGGCTCCAAAGGGAGCGGGACCGTCAGCGCCGTCGAAAGAATCCAAGATTGGAAAACATCCATTCGCCGAGCACATGGACTTTTTGTTTTCAGGGGGAGATGATGAGTATGATGCCGGAGCGGACGAGCTGAATGATTTGGCGACCAACCCCGAAGCCGCCATGGCTTACTCCAAACGCATCATAGCAGAGCAAACGGCGCGAGAATCGGGCGGGTCTGCTTCGACAACGAAACTACCCTTTGCTCCCAAACCGAAGGTGCAAGCAGCTGCAAAAGCTGTACCTCCAGCTCGAAAGCCGAACAAGCTGCGGAAGAAATCTGGATATGCACCTGCCAGAGATTCTTCCATTCTCTTTGACGTTGAGAATGTTTCAGAGGAGGAGAAAGATGACGATGATGATGAGTTTGGAGACTTTACAGAAGCTGTGGTGCAGCCTCCTACCAAACCAGCTAAACCCAAAATGCCACAAATAGACCTTCTTGGCCTCAACGATCCTTTCAGCAGCGATGCCGGTCTTGACGGTCTGACGAGTCCTCGACAGCGGCGTGCAGCTTCCGTTTTGGGCTTGCCGAAAGATTCCCGGCCCTCTCAACTCATCAACTCTTCAACAGCCGCAGATAATGATGCTTGGGACGATTTCGAGACTCCCGAACCAATATTTCCCGCACCTACTACGACAGTACCCGTATCGAATGGTGGAAAGTCTCCAGATCAATCTCTTGTACCTCCAACGACAATTCCCCCACCCTCCGTTCTTCTTTCCCTCTCTCCTAAGATTTTCTCTCAAATTTCCGACAATCCTCAAATCTCGATCAATCACATTCATGCCCTGTCGCATATACTCGCCGGGCGAAAATCCCGCTGGAAACGGGACACTATCCTCGCGTCTAGCATGCGTATTGGCAGTGCCGCCGGAAAAGGCATGAAACTCACAGGCGTGGATCGCGCAGAGATGGCGAGGGAGGAGAGGGAAGTAGCGGAATGTGTAAGAGGTTGGAAGGCTGTTGTTGGGAAAGTTCGCGGGAAGGGGTTGCATGTGCCTGAAATGGCGGAAACGATGGTTGTCAAAGTGCTGGCAGTGRATGAAGGTGGATTGAAAGGCAATCGAGCTTGTGCATTGTGTGGTTTGAGAAGAGAGGAGAGGGTCAAGGGTGTTGATGTGGATGTTCAGGATTGTTTTGGGGAGTGGTGGGTCGAGGGAATGGAGATGCATGTTTGTTGTAGAGAGTTTTGGGATGCGTACAGTGGTGAATTGAGATCTAGATGATGAATTCAGGGACTACGCAAGTTGGGGAAGATGTGCACTCGGTGAGAAGTGCATTTGTTGCATGGAACTTTGGGGTGGTGTGTATTCAAATGGAATGCCTGCCTTTCTGCGCGACGCACGAATGGAGCWAGGCTACGGTGGTCTTTTAGCGACTTCCCTGCAACAACCTATAAATAGCTTTTTAGAATGCACTACTACTCTTAGCTTTACCTCGGCGCCGGAGTTAGAGTATTGCAGCGTTTCCTACGCTATTATATCGTATTATATATAAGGTTTCGATATAGCAAGAGTGCTAGGCTATATATATAAGGCCCACCGCCTTATAGCATTACTAAATAGTCTAGAATAGGTTAGACCATTCTCCCTAACCCCACCTTTCACACGCCTGTCCTAGGCTAAACCGGATACGCGCGGAAGGAATTATAGTAGATAGAGGAAAGGCTATACGCCTCCTAGCTAGCTCTGTATTAATTCNAACCGGATACGCGCGGAAGGAATTATAGTAGATAGAGGAAAGGCTATACGCCTCCTAGCTAGCTCTGTATTAATTCGAGTCGTCTTATATTAAAGTCGCACGTTTTCGTATTAGCCTACGTATCTTACACGAACCTAACAYACGAATYAATCCTAACAACTACCGTAYAACGATACGAAAATRGTTAAYACCCGTAGAACTAGAGGTRGCTTACTACTACGTAATAACGGTRGATCYACCCCGGTTAGYACGGGCGTTTCGGATRTCGATCTAGACGGGACTAGCGTAGGAGCGCCTATTCTRCCCCTCGAAGGCGGYAACGATRCTAGAGAGGGCGGCTCCGGTAGYAATRCGGCTATAGGAGCCTAAGGCCCTRCTCTAGGCGACTAGTTAAYAACTAGCGGGGGAGGAGTTAACCTAGAACCTAATCGTAGCGATAAYACGACTTAGGGAGACGGGGAGACTACCCTAACCGACGAGGAGATCCTCGCTCTAGAGCGACGTACTYGTTAGGCGAGATCTAAGGCCGAGTATATAGAAGTAYAGCGGCAGATCCGCTAGATCGGTTTAGAAATAGACTAGATTAACCTAGCAGATGCCTAGCGGGGTCGCGGCGACCCCGGCGAAGGGGCTGCTACGGTTAAGAAAGCCTCCCTACCGAAGGTAAAGGAACTAGTTGTCTTCGAAGGGAAGACTAGGGCTAACTACGACGATTAGACCCGCTAACTAGAGCGGAATTTCCGTAGGTATAATGGCTTTAACGGTCGTAAAGACCGGATAGTAGACTATACCGCAGACTACATAGCTAAGCTCTAGCAAGACTACTAGGATCGCTATATAACCTAGCTGCCTAACGGAGAGGAACTAACGTAGAGCATAATAAAGAAAGTTATGCTCGACTTAATAGGTTCTAAGGTAGAACGGCGCCAGAAGGCCTATAACTAGCTTAAGAAGGTTACTTAAGGGTCCCGTACCCCTACCGAGCTCCTCGAAGAGATAAAGGTGCTCTAGTTAGAGGTAGGAGAGAAGCGCGAGGACTAGAAGATACTAGGCTTTACGTCTGCCTTATCGTCTAGCCTACGGTACCGACTCTCCCTCTACTCCGATAAGCCGCTTACCCTTAAGGAGGTAGAGGAGAGGGCGAACAAATCCTTTCGGCTAATCGAGCAATCGAAGGATAAAGCGAAAGAGCGAACGAGGGACTAAAGGGAGAGCCGAATAGGCCGCAAGCGCGGAAGAGGCTCCCTACCCCTAGACTCGTCCGGGAATAAACGGACTCGTATAAGCGAGACTAGCGAGGGCTAGAAAGGGTCAGCCGGTAGTTACTTAGACAAGGAGTGCTACGGCTGCTATAAGATAGGACACTTAAAGCGTAACTGCCCTAACCCCTCCCTATAGAAGGAGACAGAAAAAGAGAAGGCCTCCTCCTAACCGCTATAAGGGTAGTAGACTACGTATTTTACGATAAGAAGCAGCGGAAGGAGGCGGAGCTAGGACGGAGGAAGTCGTCCTAGCTTACACGCCTTATCGCTATAGAGCTTACGTTCTCTAGTCTAGATAGAACTAGGACGATCTAGGCACTAATCGACTACGGATCGAGCGGCAACTTTTGCGATTTAGTGCTAGCAAAGGAGCTAGGCTAGACTATAGAAGAGTCGACCGACCCTACCCGGTATATAGCGCTTAATAGCTAACGCCTATATATATAAGGGGACTCGAGACAGCCCTACTAGGTTACCGACTCCCTAGGAAGGACGTAAGGGTRCGTAACTACATTTAGGGTCGGGCGACTCTACGGGTATTAGGTCGTTTTAGGCATGCCCTAGCTCGAGAAGTATAACYCGAGTRTRGAYTTTAGCGCGAAGAGAGTTACCTARAGAGCTAAGCCGATAAAGAGGCAAGCTATAAAATTYACCGGGCYGGAGAGATTCTACYRAGAGTRCCTAGRGGGCGTTAAAGCGGACCTCTACGTAATRTCGGTCCGTTCCCTAGAGGTCGAAGGGGATCCGGACTAGTAGGGGCTAGACTAGGCTACGGAGGAACTAGTCGAGATACCGGTAGCCTACTAGGAGTTCGCGGACGTCTTCTCTAAGAAGCTAGCGAACGAGCTGCCGCCTTATAGACCGGACGACATAAAGATCGATCTAGTAGATAGGGCGGAGGTGCTATTTAGTCCGATCTATGCCCTCTTAGAAGYAGAGATAGAGGCAGCACRGACCTAACTACTAGAGATGTTAGGCAYAGGGTTTATCCGATAGTCTAGCTCCCTAGTAGGGGCTCCTATCCTCTTTACGAGGAAGAAGGATAGCATACTTAGGATGTGCGTTAACTACCGAGGCCTAAACGCCGTTACTATAAAGAACCGGGGCGCACTACCTTTAATCGTGGAGTCGCTAGACTAGTTAGCGGGGGCTAAGTACTTTACTAAGATCGACCTACGCCACGTATATTACCGGGTGCGCATCCGCGAGGGAGACGAGTAGAAGACGGCGTTCCGGACTAGATATAGGCATTTCGAGTATACGGTAATGCCGTTTAGGTTATATAATGCACTAGCGGTGTTCTAGAGCGTTATTAACAAGGCCCTAGCGGGGCTAGTAGACGTTTTCTACGTCGTGTACCTAGATAACATCCTAATCTACTCTAAGACGTTAGAGGAGCACGAAGACTACGTCCGCTAGGTGTTAGAGAGGCTAAGGGAGCACAAGCTCTACGCTAATCTAGGGAAGTGCGAGTTCTATAAGGACTAGGTCGAGTATCTAGGATACATTATTACCCGAGAAGGCCTTAAGGTCGATCTAGAAAGGGTTAGGGCGGTCTAGGAGTAGCCGACACCGAAGTCGATTCGAGACATCCGGGTCTTTATTAGCTTCGCGAACTACTACCGGAGGTTCGTAAAGGGCTTCTTACGCCTAGCGATAGCCCTAAACAGATAYACCGAGGGGAAGCGTRGACTAAACCGGCGTAAGGAGGAACGAGCCGCCTTAGAGCTCGAYAAAGAAGCCCTAGAGGCATTCGACAAAATTAAGAAGGGGTTTACGGAGGCACCTATCCTTCGCTACTTTAATCTAGAACTACCTAGTAGGGTAGAGACCGACGCCTCTAGAGAGGCTATCTTAGGCATCCTGTCCCAACTATGCGATTATAGCGGTAAGGCGTAGTGGTTTCCGGTAGCTTTCTACTTACGGAAGATAATTATAGTAGAACGAAATTACACGACCGAGGATAGCGAACTACTAGCAATCGTGGAGACTTTTAAACATTTTCGACACTACCTAGAGGGATCTCGCTACTAGGTAGAGCTCCTAATAGACCACGCAAACCTCTAGACGCTTATAACTACGAAGAAGTTATCGCGTAGGTAGGTACGCTAGGCGGAGTAGCTATCTACGATTAACTTCCGCACTACGTACCGGCTAGGGCGGGCTAACGTAGCAGCGGATATACTTAGTCGTAGGCCTAACTACGTAAGTAAAGAACACTCTAGCCGATAGGCTACTAAGGAGGAAGCATCTCTAGGTATAGAGGTGTTTAGGAGGGCGTTTACTCCGGCGGTGGAGAGGGACGGTCTAGTAAGCTACGTCGGAAGTACCTCCGACTAACCGAGCATACGGGAGGCCGTTATACGAGCCCTAAAGGAGGATCCGACCTAGGAAAAGGTCAGAAAGGGATAGAATAACCTAGGCCGTAAGGACTAGAGCAGCCGCTAGACGACGGAAGAAGGTTTAGCCTACTAGGCTAGCAAGCTATACGTACCTAAGGGACTAGTACGGTTATAGGTGTTA